CTTTAAAACTGGCTTTCTCTGCACACTGGGTTTACAACTATTAAAAACTCATCGTTGCAATTTGTCCCGTGCACCATCGCCATTACAAGACATCACCTTTTTCACCCTTCATCAGTTATCAGCACAAGGGAATGATTTTGTTTCTTCGTTTGTTTATTTCTTTGCACCAGGTTTTAAAGGTAGTACTGGTAGTGTTGTACAAGAAAAGAATACAGAAGACAAACTAACGCAGGTTAGATTCGTGGCTGTTTTCAATGCTGTAGTGTACGAGTAAGTTTTTTTTAATTATTATTTTTACACTAGGATTATACTTTTCTCTTATTTTTAGCCCGATACCAAAGACGATCCACAGGGAAACTCAGCTGAAGCTCGTTCAGCAAACGAATATGAGAAACTGGCGCACATGTGTTTGAAGCAGAAAAAGTAAGTGATGTGTGATTTTAGAAGTTCCCGATGACGTGACAAGAAAGAAGTTGAGAGTCAAGAAAGAACAGTATTTGCTGACAAGGGAACGAAATGACTGCAATCTTGTTCAGAAAGTGTTGAAAATTTTGCACTTTCTTATCCACAGAATGCCTATCCCGCGGATTTGGTACCGCTATGACCCCTCCCCTCGCCCCAACCTAGTCAAAGTTGTTTAGTCGGGATCAGAAATGGTGCAGCGTGACTTCAAGATTGTTTCTTTTTCCGGTGGAAGGGGCAGTATTTGTAGTTGCTAGTGCTTTCAAGAGCTTTATCTTGAAACTGGACATGGTAACGTCCATTTTTCTCAACATTTTAGTTCTCCTCTCCATTTCACCCCTCATTCGCGCGCGGGCGTTTTCGAAATGTTTCTCATCGCCCTAAAAAAAAATATTGCCTTGATGAATTAACTCGACAATCATCGTGCAATGTTTATCGTGCTCACAGTCAGGTTATTTGTTATTTCTGAAATTAACTTTTCATTTCTTTATTCTTTTTGCAGTGCTCAACTTGCGCTGGAGTATTGTGGTAAGGTAAGAAACTTCTCTCGGTTGTGTAATTGGACGGTCGAACCGCTGTTCTCAACGGCCACACCCAGCATGCATTTGCCACGGCCAACTCAGCGCAACAGAAACAGCCATATTTTTTGTATAAAATAAATTTTTCTGTGGTTAATTAACATAATTTAACACGTGAACTCGACCATATGATAAAACCTCAATTTTAATTTACTACCGGTACATATGGAATGGGCTAAATCCCTTAAATCGATGTAGCGAGTAGTTGTGACTTTGAAAAAAGGTTTTATCTTCGTCGTTGTTCATCTCGCCAACCATAGGTTTTTAGGTGGTCGGTAAAACACCCTCACCTTTGGTCTAATATCCCATAAAATCAAAGTTTTGTTACATTTTTATGCTGCATTGCATTTATCTGAAAGTTCAGCTCTTTAGTGCCCCATAAAAAGCATACTGAATTGACGCGATTGTCTGAAAAATTCACTAGGCTGTCAAACTACGGCAATCAATCTACGGAGAAGCACATCCAATAACGAAACGAACATTGGATCTGTTTACTGTCATATATGCGGAGATGGGAAAGGAACAGTACTCGGGTAAGAGAATTTGCGTTTTGCCATTTTCTTTAGCCTGCGAGCAAGCTCTTCTAGGAAAGCTTGCCATTACGTTTCCGGAATTTGAATTCCACCTCCAGTTCCCTGTGGCTCCTCGTGGACTGAGCTGTCAGATTTCCGCCAATCAGCGCGAAACGGAAACGAGCGCGAATGTAAAACAAACATTGAAAAACACGTGCTAAGGGTAATGACGTCATTACTAATGTCATCTGCGCCAATCAGCATTTCGCATGGACTTTTTTGATGCATATATATATTTATATAATATGCTGTGTATATTTATTTGGATATATCCAAATTCCAGAGACGTAGTTGCAAGCTCTCCTTCCTTTTCCCTTCCCGCAGCCAGAGCGCCCCGGAGAGCTTGCTCGCAGGCTAGATTTGCTTCTACGGGACAGACCATTAGAAACCTTATTAGAGGGGGGGGGGGAGGGGGTCGGGCGAAGTAACAAAAAAATATTCGCGCGGGGGAAAATTCATGCAAGCCAATTAATCCTAAGAAATATTCATGCTATGGCCTAAAAAAAATTCATACAAGGAATTTGATAACGAAAAAAAATTCCTGCAGCTCAAAATCCCCTCCCCATAACGTTTCTAATGGTCCGTCCCTAATATCAGTTATATAGCAGGCGACGATTGATCGTTTTTATGTAGGAGTATCATAAATGTTCTCAAGAATACGTTAACGACGATTACGTCATAGGGTCATTGCCCCTGAAGACCCGGGAGTACAAAGAACGAAAAAGTAAAGAACTTTCAGTTGAAAAACGTGGTTAAAATATTAGATCAAATCTCAATTTGCCTTTTCAGCGTGCGTACGGAACAAATGCCCAATAATGACGTTTTATCACTAAACGCCCGGCAAGAGTTGTTCAAAAGATGGATAGCGCTATCCACCGGATAAATCACTATCCAGTGAATAAGTATTAGGAAGTCGTGAATCGCGCTATCTAGTGGATAGAGATTTATCAAGTGGATAGCCTTATCCACCTTTTGAACAACTGGGTCGAGAAGGAAATTAATGGGTAATGATGACGTTGCGTTTTAATAAGTGCCTATATATAATTTATGCAAAATTACACGTACTCCTGTTGTTAATTATAAGCTATCATGACGTTTAGATGTTGGCCCTTCATTCTTTTTATCAATTTAAAGGGGACGTCAAAAAATCCACACTGTTCGCTCTGATTGTTTTTTGTTTTTTACTTCTTCTTCTTCGATGGTGACATATTCAACAAAATAATTTTAGATTTTTGTTATCCTTGAACCTAAAATCAAATCTGGAATTGCTAGCTAGTACTTTATTAGTGATACAAGGTTAACGGTAGCCTGCGAGCAAGCTCTCCATCTAGGGACATCGTGAGATGTCACGCGCGATAGGAGACGCGAGATCATTTCTTTGCCCCTTACGGCTACGCCACTCACTACTGAGCAAGTTCTCGCACGGCTCGCTTTGTTCGACACTCAAGTTGGAGAGCTTGCTCGCAGGCTACAGTAACAGCATCTCGAATTCCTTTCAGCTGCCATGCAGAAATTTAATGAAACCAAGGAATCTAGCGAGGAAAACGCTGACAACACTGCACAACCTCCTCAAACAAAAATATCAACTGCGGAAAACTCTGAAGGAGATGTAAAGTCGTCAGCGGATTCAAGACAGAGCCCTGTTGGGGAGTCTCACCAGGGGGAACCCAGTGCGGCCACGCCCGATGCACAGGACAACCAAGAAAACAGTACGTAGAGAAATTACGTCCTGCTAAAGACACTTCATACTCTGCACTCCTGCCATCGTCAAGAGTGCAACTACTTCTTACCTTCCACTTACTTTAGAAACTTCCATTTCGAAACCAACTCCTCTTTTAGCGTTTTTTTAGAATTTTCTTCCTACTCGCAGGAGTTAGAGCCGCATTTTACAAAACTGTAGACAAAACGCATCATTCTGCGTTTCTGGAAACTGCCCACCTACCCCTCCCCTAAGCCAACATTAACATTCACTTCTCACTTAGGGCAAGATGTTGGCTTAGGGGAGGGGTAGGTGGGCAGTTTCCCAGTCAATTCCTCACAGTAGGCAGATTTAGTAACGACAGTGACAACAGCGCGCGCAAATCAAAATCTGGCTTGAACAATGGCAGAGCGGCAAATAGAACACCAGAGAGCGGGTTTAATCCTTTCTTTGCTCTTTGGCGTTGCCATTTGATGTTACGTTGTCTTTGATAAATCTGCCTGCGTAAGTGTCGAATGCGTCACACTTCAACTCCACAGGCTTGAAGGCTAGACTACCAACAACGTATTGCACAACTGGTTTAAGGCATGCTAAACAGTACCACAGGGAAACAGCAGCCAATAGTTTTTTCCTGAGTACTTGATAGCATTTGTACATTGTAATCTCCTCCATATCCGAAAAAACAGAAGAAAAACAAAGAACTCTATTAAAGGACTGTATGCCCTCTTTTCTTGCAGGCTACAAAATTGGAATCACTCCTGGTCAAGCTATGTTTTGTTTTTTCCTTCTGACAACAGCAGTAGCAATTTGCGTGACCTTACTTTGTTGTCATGTAAGTGGCACGGACCCCCTGACAACGTACAAATACATTGTGACGCGGCTCAAATTTTATTATTACTATTATTTGAGACGGGCACCTTCAGGAAACAAATACTTCTGATGCAGGTCTTCCATGGAAGTCTCCTGTCTCAACAACTGTAACTGATCTGAAAAAAAAGAGAAGCAGTTATAAGCTTGTCTATGCTACGTGCTACCGCCGTGTTCAAATACCTCTATAAGTGAAAAGATCCACCAGGAAAAAAAATAGCCATTCCGATATTCCGTTAATAGTTACATATATCTTTTTATTTCTTGTTACCAAACATTTTTACATTAGCCCCACTGATGAACTTGTTGCATTGTAGTATTGTTCTTTTATTTTGCGTTTTTATGTAAATCGCGTCTTGTAAATAGAAGTCAATCTTTTGGCAAAATATTTAACAAATGTACTAAGTGGAAGAATATTCTATTTAACGTATCTTGTTTAATGTAACGAAAAATCGATGAATTAAAAGGTTGTTTTTGTATATATATTGGAATTTCTTTTTGCTATTATTTAAGGAAAACCCGCTGCGTTGCGGTGGCTTGATAACATACCGTAAAATTCCGAAAATAAGCCCTGGGGCTTATATTTTTCAAAGGCCCTTTTTGATGGGCTTATTTTTGGAGGGGCTTATATTCGGAGGGGCTTATCTACGGGGGGATATTTGCATTTCAAAATCGATTGGGCTACCCTTAAAGTTGGAAGGAAACTTACCATTTTTGCTTTGTTTTGCTTTGTATTTGATATATGAGGGCAATCCAGTTCCAAGTACAAGCCCCCGGTGGGACTTCTATTCGGAGGGGCGATTTAACGGAGGCTTTTTGCGTTACGAGTTTGGGGGGCCTATATTTGGAGGGCCTTATTTTCGGAATTTTACGGTAATTACTTGCAGCTAACTTGTTTACTAGCCTGTTCAACTGACTGTGTGGAAATGTAAAAGAAAAGTTTCTGTCTCGTAGCTTATGTCACGTATATAGCTTTAAAAGGTTAGCATAAGTGTCAATGGGCGAAGTAGGGTTGGACACCTCGTGAGGTTTACTCAACGGATTATCTCCCTTACATAGAATTGCGCTAACCAAGCGGCGGTTCAGTTCTCGGAGAAGTGCGAATGTATTGTCCTTTAGATTGTCCACCCCTTGAAATTTTGACTAAAAGCCGTTTGGCGCTATTGGAGCCGTATTCTGGTCACTTGCAGACCAAAAAAAGAAACTTTCCAAAACGTTATTTTCAAGTCGATCTCAGACAGGCTTTTGTTCTTGCTGGTAACTTACAGCCTCCGAAGTACGGGCACGTGGTTTTATTTCTAGGCAACTGCGGACCCTAATCGTGCAGGTATTTTGTGATTCCATCGCGCTTGGATCACATTTTCGACAAGCGAATCTTGCGAGAACCTCGCTACGCCCAATCCCCAGTTCGGCTCTCGCTTCGCGAAGAACAAATTAGGATAACGCAGAGCTGTGCTATTATCCTAGCATTAAGGAAGATGTTTTTTTGAGTCAGTGACACGGCTGGCTCGAAAGAAAAAATCTAAGCACTTCCCACAGAAGCTGGCGAACCCATAACAGGGACCGCGGAGGGGGAGGGGCTGGTAGGGCCGCGGCCCCACCACTTTTTTGCGCTAAAAAGAAAAATAATTAAAATAAAAAAAAAGACTTGAAACAAGTTTTTTCCGTCTATATTCCGCTATATTTTCTGTATTTTCTTTAATTTCAAACGCCAGGCATTTTGTGGGGCTCCTTTGCTTTTCGCGGTAATTGTGCCCTGTGGCTGACTTGCTCCTTGATCAAAGGCCATGCCTTAGCCACCCCTTCGCTTCGTTCGGCAGCGTGTTTTGTTCTTCCAGCTCCGGCAGAGTTTTTTTTATCAGCTTTATCAGACAAAATGAAGAAAATTACTAGCTTTTTCAAGCCAAACGAAGGTGAGTAGTTGTTTTGAGTTGATAAAAGTTTTATATTTTGTCTTTCTCCTGTCGAATCAATGAAATATTCGATGGCAAGAAGAATTACATTACTTGAACAGTGAACGGCCATAGTTAGAAATTTTTCAGATCACTTCAGTGTAATATTTTCTATACTAAAATTGTAATCGCGTCTTTTCTTGCATTGAATCTGAACTGACCGTGTATGTTGGCCGACCTATAAAAAGCAACAAATACTGGATAAAGTATGCAAAGTCACGTGACAGAAACAAATCAAATACTATGATTTTATTCTTTTTTTCGATTTTCAATTATTTTCAATTGTCAGCCCTCCCACTTTTCACCTTGCTCCGCGGTCCCTGCATAACCTTCTGGTTACTAATCCAGATGCTCTACCCCTGAGCCACAGGACACTCGCGGAAGCTGGGGCCACTAAACTAAGCGGCCAGCGGTCAGCGAGCACAAGATGAGCGCGTTTTTGATGTAACGTTTTCGTGTGCATTTGTTTATTTATAACACCCTGACTTAATTGTCCAGTTACTTTTCCGCATGGCCCAGCCACTCAGCGCGATTAAGCTAAGAGTTAAGCTACGGCTAAGGTGGTCACTCCTCAAGAGTTGAATCTCCCTTGTTTATGTTTTATGCTTCTGGGTTTAATACCTGGACCAAATTTCTGCAAGAAAGAACATATTTCTACGCTGTTTAAGGACGTCCGAAAAAAAAGAAGTGCACTTTGCACGCTAAACGGACCTACACATATTAGAGGCCTGGACGCTGAGTAAGGCAGAGCTAAGGCAGGCCTGGTGCCTCAGTACCCTGAAACCATGTCGAAGCACAAATATGGCGGCCCAGGAGGAGTGGTGTTTTGAGGAAGAAGGGTGCTTACAATTTAGTGGCCGACCAATCTCAGTCACATTTTCACCCACCTCGAACTGCTTCATCTGTACGNCTTGAAACCATGTCGAAGCACAAATATGGCGGCCCAGGAGGAGTGGTGTTTTGAGGAAGAAGGGTGCTTACAATTTAGTGGCCGACCAATCTCAGTCACATTTTCACCCACCTCGAACTGCTTCATCTGTACGCTCGAGGATGGAACGATTGAAGTGGTGGATGCGCGTTCCAGTCTGCGATTAAAGCACACCGCTCCGGCAGGTAAATTGAGAATTGATGAAGCATGTGTTTAAACTTTGCACATGAGTAACTGCGGATATTTCTCTGTTCGCAACTGTTACTACCTACACACAGAAAATCTTTTTTATGTTCCTCCCAAGTATTCATTGGGGAGTGCTGTATCTGAACTATAAACATTTTTCCTGTTTAAAACTGTCTAAGGATGATCGCAGGAAGTGCTTCATTTGCCTCAATCTAAGTGGTTGATCGATTTTGATTGATTATTACTCATTTGGTGAGCATGATTGAGGCTTGATTGAAGGTTACGTAATACTCTTTCTAATAACTATGTTATCTTTGCTTTACTTTTTAAAATATGTTCAAGTACAACGAAGATGCAATTAAACCCTTTAGTGGATTAATCTTCATAGACTCAAGCTTAATTGAGTTCTGCCAGTGAGAGTTTCAGTTATTGGTTACCCTAATTTCCTGGTCAACAAACTTACTCTTTTTTATCCTGTTAGTGGTGAATTGTGATTAGCAGGGGTATTTTGCAGAATGTCAAATACTGAATATCTCTGAAGTTTGGTAATTATAGGGTTGGAAAACTGAGTGAATTAATGGTTACCGGACGTTACGATACAGCAGTGTTCTCTTTATCAGGCAGTAACTGGTAAAATTTACCGTCTGAAGCAACATTTCTTACTGCCTTGAACTGATTGCAATTTAATTAAAATGAAATAAGTTGTTTTAAAAAATATGCAAGTTGTGATCCGATCCAATCTGATCGAGGTAATGAATGAATATATGGAAGTGTACTAAAGTATACGCAGTGATCAGGCATTTTGGAAAGAGAACATGGAAGACAGAGTCAAATTATTGGAATCAAATATTTTAAATTATTGTTTAAAGATAACAGCGGCTGATTTGCATAAAATAGGTCTTAAAATGAGGGAATGACGTTTCAGGGAACTTAGTCCCTAAATTTTGCAGTGAGATCGTAGACATGTCCCTTACTCCCTTACTCCACTACCCCCTTCCCCACTGGAAAGTGCGCCTCTGGCACATTTTTTTTGTCTTTCCGGCCATGAAAAGAATGGTCCCTTACCTGCTGAGCTAAAATTTAGGGAGAACACTGTTCAAGTCATTATGATACGAGTATATTCAGTGTAGTTGTGAAAAGTTTAATGTGCTTGGTTTAAAGAACAAAGACCATTAATTTACTCAAAATGTTTTTCTTGTTTATGCACAAAATTTACTTGAAGTAATCGAAATTTCTGTGCAATTTCACTGCTTGAATGAAATGACTTGTATCAAAATGACTTTGTATCGAAACCACCAGTTCCCGAATCAAGTTGCAGTTAGGTTCATTATACAGTGAGAACTGAACTGGAATTTGTTTCTCTCAGCTTTTTCACTCTAATCACTAAACTTCAGAGTTGATTGTCCACAGTGTTCTCCTTATCAGGCACTAACTGGTAAAATTTACCGCCTGAAGGAACACTTCTTACCGCCTGCAACCGCTGAAGGTTTACTAAAAATAAATATTGTAAAATTAAAAAAATACGCAAGTTGTGATACGATCCGATCAAGGAAATGAATGAATATGTGGAAAAGTACTTAAGTATACACAGCTTTTCTTTTTATGGACCAAAAAAAATATTGGAATCAAACATTTTTAAATTGTTTTTTAAAGATAAAAGTAGCCGATTTGCGTAAAATAGGTCTTCAAATGAGGGAATGACATTTCAGAGATTTAGCACCTAAATTTCCCTGCGAGGGCAGAGTCATGTCCCTCACTTCACTACCCCCCCCTGCCTCCCATTTCCCCTAGGAAAGTTTGCCTCTGGAGCATTTTTTGCCTTACCGGCCATGAATGGTCCCTCACCTGCTGAGCTAAAATTTAAGGAGAACACTGTGTCCATTCGACTTTTCTGCAAAATACTCCTGTAGGATGGATATGCCTTAAAACTGCAAAAAACTCCTCGTGTGAAAAGGTTGTGAAACTTAAAAACTGAATGTATCTTTGTTTAATTCTCTTTAGGAAACTCTGACCCACTTCAGTGTAGATTCTGTCCTGAGGTAGAAAAACTATTTATCACAAATGGCTCTGTATCTGGGCTTAGAAAGGATCTTAATGGTGTCTTGCTGCTGGACAGCATTTTACAGCCACCTCTCAAAGGTTCTTGCAGTGAACCAGTTGTTCTCGAGTTTACACTGCCAGATGTGAGTAGTATATCAAATACGACATATGGTGTGTCATGTGATATTCAGAAACCAAAAAATGCAGATGAAAAAATGAGGTGTAGCCAAGTTTTTTTAGGAGCGACTTGTGTCTAAAGTTAATACCAGGAAGCATTGAGTAAAGTGTTTGATGATAGCTTGTCAAATAGACAATAATTGTTTTTGATAAATTTGAAGCTTAAGTGCTCAAACACTCTCTTATACAGTGTCATTATGTTTCCCTGAATTGATTTACACCCGACAAATCCTGGTACACAGGTGGGGAAAGGGGGAGGTGGGGGGGAGGGCGGAACAATGATTTCAGGGCTGTTTTTTTGAGACAACTTTAACAGAGTTTAGTTTCATGTGTGGCACAGGCTAGTGGTATTTTTGACACTTGAGCTGAGGCCTTTAGTCGACTAAATCACAGTAAATGTCATTGTGGCAGTGACTTTAATGACATGATATTTTGCTAGGCTCTTCTGCTGGTGTCAGCAATGGAATTATGCATGTCTGGTGGAGAAGAGGGTTTAAAAGTAAATGGTTTAAAGGAAGTTCATCTCATGCTGAAAGAAGAAGTAGAGAAGGCCCAGTCACTGTTGAATTCCAGCCATGATAAGGCAATTAAGGTACATGTGTACATATGCAGTTGAATTGAGTTGTAGCATGACTCCTTCCGTTACACTCTTATAGTGAACCTAGGTTGTTGGAGTCGCAAGCAGAAGCAAAGGACTAATAATAATAATAATAATAATAATAACAATAACAATAAAGAACAGGAAAAAAATACCAAGATTTAAAAAAAAGCGGAAACGTCTGTGAAATTGGAAAGAAGTTGTGCTTGTAGCGATCATCATTTGTGCCCTCGGAACAGTCAGTAAAAAATTCCATCTGCATTTAAAGAAAGCAGGACTTGACAGAAGTGTAATAACAATAATAATAACAATAGTAATAATACACAAGAGTGAAAAGACATTGAATAATACTCTACAATGCAATACTTGTACCTAAACAACTACTATAGGAATACCTAGAGTTCTTTGTCTACTACTAATCGTGTGCCAAGCAATGACTTGCCTATAATGGTGAACTTCAGCAACATACATGTAAGTTGACACCATAAGTGCGTTTTTTTATTTATTTTCTTTTAGTGGTGCACTTGCCAGATAAAGTATCCCTGTGGCTCTTTGGACACTGCATTTGGTGACCTGACCAGATATTTAGAGAAAAACCATAAAAATCATGCTGCCCTCCCTGTGGTTTCTGCTGTACACTTGAGGAACATGTGCCTGTTCGATGTGCAGGGGAAGCTACCCATGTGTTTGGAAGCAGAAAGAAGGAAGACATTTGTGTCTTGGCCTCACAAGGAATACAGGTATAGTGAAACCTGGACAAACGATCAACTCTGTTCCAGTCAAATTCACATTACTTGTCTCGGTTGAGTTGGGAAGGTTCATGGCTAAGTAATCAGTCAGTGGCAGATCTAGGGGGAAGGGTCCAGGGATCCCTCTAATTGAAGCAATTGAGAAGAAGCAGTGGCAGATCGAGATCTTCTGATAAGGGCTAGCCCTGTCATCCAGACCCTGAGATAATGGGGGGGGGGGGGGGGGTCCCCCAAAAATTTTTTTTTACCCCCTGCCGCGCCCGGTTTGGGGGAAAAATTTTGCCAATAAAAAAATTTTTCCATTTTTGGCTTCCCTTATTAAAAACAGGAAGGGGGGGCAAATAATGCACAGCATTGTAAAAAACCCACACAGACTAGGAGGGTCTAGACATCAAGAAAAATGTACACACCTTCTTTGTAACGATTTTCCAAGTTTCAGCCGACGAAGGAATGGGTAAATAAAGTAAACTTTTTGAGTTTTGAACTCGAAAACTTTTTCAAATTTGTGCTTGCGTGATTAGCACGCGAAAAACCAAACAACTTGACGCCACAACCATGTTTACATACTCTCATGCAAACACTGCTCTCGGCCAATCAGAGCGCGCGTACTATCTTAGTTATTTTATAAAAGGGGGTGGCAGCCCCCCTGGGCCCCTCCCCTGATAAGTGCTGAAAACTGAAACTGCTGTCATAGGATGATTGTGTACTCCTTTCATCTGATACTTTCAAGGCTTGCCAAACACATATGAAGGAGTGAATAAAGGTGGACGTTTGGACCCCTTGCCAAAGATTTTTGGATCTGCCCTTTTCAATCAAATTGTTAGCTTAGCGGTAATTTTTCAAATAATCATATTTGTGAATGACCTTCATAACTCTCCAGGGTCAAAAGAAAAAAAAGACTTGCCTGTTCCATTGTACCTTACTTACTTGCAAAGAAATCCTTCTGTTTTCAAGCCCCACAATATTCATTATCATTCCCATAACTTTACCTCAATATGACTACATGTAGTTGAATGCCGGGTGAGTCTAGATAGTAATTTTTTGTTTTGTAAGTTACATTTTATTTTTGTATTTGCTCTTAAGGTGGGCATACCCTGAAGCTATGGCAAAAGCTGGCTTTTACCATCAGGTAATCTTGAGTATATTATGCAGAATGTATACATGGCATAATGTTTAACCTGTACATGTACATTGTATTTGATGGACTGCAAGAAGGTTTAACTATAAACCTTACAAGGGAAGGTAGACTATTGTCAGAGTTGTCTGATGAACTAAAACGAGGTTTAACCCCAAAAAGACTTAGGCTGTACAAGGGATGGCACACTATAATCAGCCATGTGTAAAAAAAAACTTCAGACAGGAAGGCGCACTGATGACTGGCTTGTTTTGTGGACTGACAGGGGTGTTAACCACAAATCTGTTAAGAAGAGGCCACTTTGGTCACTGTAGGATGCAATGATTAATTTTAGTCTAAATTCTCTTTCAGCCAAGTAACCGAGGAGATGACAGAGCTCTTTGTTTCACTTGTAATGTTTGTTTGGTGTGCTGGGAGCCAACAGATGAACCGTGGTCAGAGCATGAACGCCATTGCCCAGATTGCTCATTTGTTAGGGGGGACCACACCAAGAATGTACCTATGTCAGGTAAGGGAAGATACTGGTCAGTGTTCAGTCTGTAGTTGTATACCCAGTAGTTTTCTATGTCCTTAAATATGTAGCAAACTACTGGGTATGTGGTATTTTATTTAACCTGACACATATTTTGGGCAGTGTGAGAAGTGTTTTGAATGTTTTTGCTGTTGTTGTTGTTTTTTGTAGTATCACTGGCCACTGCACCAGGTTATGACCATCAGACTGCTGCTCAAGTCAAGGTAAGTGTATGAAACAAGTTAAAAGAAATGTAAACTGATATAAGTTCTTATGGGCCAGAGCACAAACAAAAATTAATGAAAATATGTAAATTAAAGTTAATCAGAGAGGGTGACACTTGTCAGTTTTCAGAAATGATAAACCTGCATCTCTCAAAATGTCCTCAACCAATTGGAGATACTTTCCAGGCCCCAGTTGTTCAAAAGGTAGATAATGCTGTCCAGTGGATAAATCTCTATCCAGTGGATAGCGCAGTTGGTTTTCCTAATACTTATCCATTGGATAGTGATTTATCTGGTGGATTGCACTATCCAATGTTTGAAAAATTGGGGCCACATCATTTTAGAATTTGGTCTTGTTAGTTTTTGGAGAGAGCAGCAACTGGAGAGGAGTACCCAGAGGAAAGCCTTTGAGAGCTCTGAAGAGTGCCAACAATAAACTCAACTCACATATGGCATATGGAGTGCTCTTGGCACTGCACCAGCCCTGTTCTCCCAAGGTGTTAAGCACTGGCTAAACAATCCAACATTTTCATCCAACATTTTGTTGGAGGAGCAACTTCCACTTTTTAGCCCTCTCTCTTCAACTTTGCATTTAAATATCTTCTGATGCTTTACCTCTATCGGGTATTTTTATCCATCATTTTGCATTGCAAACAAATGTTTGGTAGTTTAGTGACCTACAAAGTAAACTCTAGCGGGAAAAAGCAACCAACGGAAACCAAGTTCATAAACATAATAAAACTAATAAGTAAATGAATAACAATTTAAATGTAGCACATCCATGTAGTGTTCTTTGTCAAACATTCCTGGTCAAATTGGGGTTTGGAAATGTTGCTTCATTTTAAGGAGAAGGGAAAACTGGAGTACCCAGCAAAAAACCTCTCAGAGTAAAGGAGAGAACCAATACCAAACTCAACCCACAGATGGCATTGACACCCGACCTCATGGGTGGGGGTGAATGCTTTCACCACTGTTCCACCCTTCAGGTGCAATAATGGCAAAGCTTCATTTGGATGTACTCTGTTCAATTTTTAGTCTGGCATCTTTTTCTCATTTAGCCACACCATGTTGTGTTGGACACAGACATGATGTTGGTTGAAAATGTTGTGTTGTTTTTGAAGGGCTTTATGAATGTTGCACTGTGCTGTACAGGAGTGCTTGTACTCTCTTTAGTTTTAAACCAGGTTACCATTATCTACAGTTGTATGCCTTTTTTCAGCATTTGTTAAATTACTTTTCTGGTTTTCTCTTTTAGTTTATCAGTGAAAGCTCATGTTGCCATTATATAGTGACATGTAGTGAAAATGGCGGAATAATCATCTGGAACATCCAAGACGAACTAAAGGTTAGAAGTGAATATTTAAATATTGTTTTGTTTATCCAGGCATGCCCAAATCATGTTAAAATTTTACAGCAACAGAGTGTGGCCAAAAAGGTAAAATTTGAATGGTTTTATCACAGGAAATATGAAATGAAGCCTTAAAGGTCGACAATTTGGGTGTGGCTTGGGATTTACTTGACTTTCTAAACATACTGTTCTATAACTAAATATAGCCAAATAAGAGCCAAGGACATATATACACATCCTCTCCTTACCATAGGTTTATTTCTTCTGGTTGCTCAGCATTTTTGTCTGTGGTTGTTTGAAAGGGTCTGAGAAGGAATAACGTTAACCACTCACCTGAATGTTTTTTATGGAAGTTTTTGAAGGTTACATCACAAGTTGATGTGTTGTGAAGCATTGAAAGAAGGTGCCATGTTAGTTCTGACTACCTTGCCAGATCACTTACATTTTCACTGTATTTTCTTGTTTAAGGTAATTCCCTTGAAAAGGATGTACTATCCAGATTTTTTTCAAACTTGACACAAATGTCAACCATATATAGGACATTCATAAACTGCAGTAAAAGGATGGGGTCACCGTGCTTATTTTTGCCCTGTGTGCTCATAATTCTGAGTGTTTTTTTCTTGTTGTGTACGAAATGCTTGAAGCTTGAAAAACCGACAAAAATTCTTGAATTATGGCAAAAAATACGAATTTTACTAAAACCTAAAGATGACTACTTCAAGTAACCAACATAAAATAATGACTCGTTCAGTTGTCATGTTTATGTCTGTCTTTTCTTTTCGCCAAAGATCCATACTGAGTTCCAAGTGGTGTTACCTACTGAAACTGACAAAATGCAAGAGTGTGGCATGTCAACAAACTTAGGCCCTCCAAAGAGCTTTGTTGCTTGGTCAGAACCAGAGAATTTGGAAACAGAGGACAAATGTACAGAGCAGGACAAGAATGTGAAAAACATCAGCGAGGAAGCGGAGAATCAATGTGATGAAGGTTGTGACAAGGAAACACTGTCTTCAACGAATTCCTGTGATCAAGGCTACACAAAGAAAGGTGCTGCCACTTGTGACATTAGAGACCTTTTAAGCCCCAAGATCCACCTACAAATTCTCCAGACTGATGTCCATATATTTCCTTACAGAAATTGTTGAGAGAATTTGATAAAGGATCAAGCATTTTCCCTTTGTNATTGAAAGAAGGTGCCATGTTAGTTCTGACTACCTTGCCAGATCACTTACATTTTCACTGTATTTTCTTGTTTAAGGTAATTCCCTTGAAAAGGATGTACTATCCAGATTTTTTTCAAACTTGACACAAATGTCAACCATATATTAGACATTCATAAACTGCAGTAAAAGGATGGGGTCACCGTGCTTATTTTTGCCCTGTGTGCCCATAATTCTGAGTGTTTTTTCCTTGTTGTGCACAAAATGCTTGAAGCTTGAAAAACCGACAAAAAATTCTTGAATTATGGCAAAGAACATGAATTTTGCTAAAACCTAAAGATGACTATTTCAAGCAACCAACATAAAATAATGGCTCTTTCAGCTGTCATGTTTATGTCTGTCTTTTTTTTTTGCCAAAGATCCATACTGAGTTCCAAGTGGTGTTACCTACTGAAACTGACAAAATGCAAGAGTGTGGCATGTCAACAAACTTAGGCCCTCCAAAGAGCTTTGTTGCTTGGTCAGAACCAGAGAATTTGGAAACAGAGGACAAATGTACAGAGCAGGACAAGAATGTGAAAAACATCAGCGAGGAAGCGGAGAATCAATGTGATGAAGGTTGTGACAAGGAAACACTGTCTTCAACGAATTCCTGTGATCAAGGCTACACAAAGAAAGGTGCTGCCACTTGTGACATTAGAGACCTTTTAAGCCCCAAGATCCACCTACAAATTCTCCAGACTGATGTCCATATATTTCCTTACAGAAATTGTTGAGAGAATTTGATAAAGGATCAAGCATTTTCCCTTTGTTGATAATTCTGATAACATTTTTTTCTTGATTGAGCTTTTTCCTCATTTATGATAATTTGATCAATTGAGCTTTCTGTGTAACTGACCACCTACCCCTCCCCTAAGTCACAATTTTGTCCTAAGTGATAGTCTTTATGTTAACTTAGGGGAGGGGTAGGTGGTCAGTTAGTCAGAAACATCGATTGATGTGATAATTCTCATAACCTTTCCTCTTACCCCTCCCCTTAGTCTTAATTTTGCCTAAGTGAGAGTAAGTGTTCATGTTAACTTAGGGGAGGGGTAGGTGGTCAGTTTCTCAGAAACTTCAATAATATTATTGATCTGATTATCTTCATAACCTTTTCTCTTACCCCTCCCCTAAGTCTTAATTTTGCTTAAGTGAGAGTAAGTGTTCATGTTAATTTAGGGGAGGGGTAGGTGGTCAGTTTGTTCTTTGGATGTCATTTTGCGAGGAAACCGGTGGTGTTGTCTGCAAAATGTTGGCTGTTTTCCCAGGCTGGTTCGCAAATTACTGCCCTTTGTTACTTTTTAATTTGCAGCTGAGCAGAAGAGCACAGATGTTCCATCTCAAAGTAAAGATCCAGAAGAGCAAAGTCTAAAGGACAAGCTGAAAGTCTGCGCTGTGTCTCTTGTTTGTTCGTGTGGAAAGGATCCCACCAGCACTGCGGGGCAGAAATGTCAATCATTTAGACACACAGCCACTTTATTTCTTGCAGTATACATTGAAAAGCATTCTCCTTCAAGTGATACTGAAAAGACAGAGGGCAAACACGTATCGTTTTTAACAGCAGAGGGTTGCTCCTGTCCTTACATTTTGGTGTATGACATTATGGCAAACAGTGAAAATTCTGCAAAGCCACAATTCAATGTAGATAGCTGTATTGAACTTGAAAAAGAAATGATGTTGCAGGACCCGTATACAACTTCTGGCAGTGACGATGACTGGATGTACGATCAGTTGCCCATTCTTCCACCGGATTCTCTTAACCTTCACTCTTCTGTGCTGCAGAAATTTGCCGAGGCCATCGCTGGGGAGGAAAACATCAAGAAGTCAAAGGTTAACAAATGTAAAGAAGGAAATAAATGCGCAAAGCTTGTTCAATGCTTGGATTTATCAGGAATTTGCAATGGTCGGCTTTGTAAAGTAACAGAAATTGTCCCCTTTGGGGATGGTCAGAATATTTTAGTTAATCTTCATTGTTTTAATAATTATTTTATTGACAAGGGTTCACACATTGGTGAAACTAATCCGGAAAATGAAGAATCAGGGCAATCCAGTGACAATTGTACAGCTATACCGGGAAGTGATTCTGCAGGAAACGGGAAATGTCCTAGACCTGACAGTCTTCCTCAAAGCACTCTTGCAGTGTACAAAATAGCAAGCAGTGGTGGGGAAAGAACGTTGTCCTCACAGCCCACATTAACAAAGCACTTTCCCTCTTCTGATGGTATTCTTAGTAACTTAGTTACCCTCCCAGTGGAGAGCCACGAACTTTTGCGGCACCCAGCTGGCCATTTTCAAGAGCTAGAAAACGTGTGTTCCGAATCCAGGCAATTTCTTGTTGGTGCGTTTAACGATAGTGTTGTCATCATCGATGCGGATTCTCTGAAAGTTGTTACTAAGTTCAAGGTCTCCAGCCAAGGTACAAAGATATCGCATATTTTGAACTGCCCTGGAATGGACTGCCTCTGTGTGTGCTGTGAGGATGGAGTTATGCACTTTTTGGGATTACGGAATCAGGCGCAGGTTGAAGCAGGTATAGGCACGGCAGAAGACACCAAAGATTGTTCATCTATCTCCGAACTACCATTGGGAAGCTGTAGTTCACAGTCAGGTAAATTTGAGTAGGAAGCTAGTCGAGCCGTTTTCTGGTTACTGTCTGGGATTTTCTGGTTTTCAAATGACATCATCAAATTTCAAACCTAAAGAATTATCGATCCTCCTGAGTTTTTACTTTCCTGAATTGTTAGTGCAGCTAAAAATTTATATTTTTACAAATGTGGATAGAAATTTATTCGTTGGGTAGCGTTATCCACCCTTTTCACGACTGGGACCAGATGGAATAGACTGGATGATGTTACATTTGTATATTTTATCCAAATCATGGTTTGATTTCGTTTCTGTAGCGGCTGCTTTCAATCCAGATCAGCCCATTTCTATGGAATTTCTTCAGCATCTGGTTCAGCTGACGGAATTTGTGACACTGATGCCAAGGTTCACAGCATCTGTCCCCTCCTCTTGGGTTGAAGTTCAACAAGATCAACAGCGTCTTCATCAACACACCTTGGTCGATCCAGTGTTGCATACCAGAACATGGAAAGTACGATCAGATGGTAGTAGGTATGTATGAGCCATAAAGGAGCTCTGTCACGGCGAATGACGGTCAAGTCGCCCGAAAGTCATCTCGCCCGAAGTCATGTCGCCCGAAACCAGAGTCATGTCGCCCGAAATTTCATAATGCTCAAAAAGATTCTAAAAATGCTACTCAGAGTGACGACATCAATACATATACGTTTTTCGAGTTTATTCCTTGCGATTTACTTAAGATGTTACCTTTCCTCAAGTTTATACACTCGATAAAATTGCGGGCGACATGACTTAGGATTTCGGGCGACATGACTATGTATTTCGGGCAACATGACTCTGGTTCCGGGCGATATGACTTCGGGCGAGATGACTTTCGGGCGACTTGACCGGTTACCGTCACGGCTGTGTATTTCACTGGGTTAATAGGGAGCTGAAGCAACACGGGCGGTTAGGTACCAGTTCTCGTTAAGGTATTTGTTCAAACAAGGTAGTATGTTTTTAATCAGGTAATGTTTCATTTGCTTTGTTAGTAATCAACTGTCTAAACAGGGATATTATCTATTTAATTTTATTCAATGTCGTCCCTATTCCTCATCCTTCTCCTCCCTTCCAAAGTTAGCCTTTTCCTCTCCTTCTTTTCGTCGATATCAATGCCATCAATACTTCATGTCTTGATTACTTTTAAACGACGCCAGGAGCCATAGAAAGTTTTGAGGAAGCTCACTGTTGAATGATACGCCTGTAATAATTTAAAAACTTAGAGTTATTGAAGAAGGGGCCGTGGGGGTTCACTTTTTCCCTGCCAACTCTATGCGCACAGTGTATCTTCATGCCTCGAGTTTTCAATACAAGAAACTCTGAGACAACATGCATGCATGCGAGCAGTACAGTGTAAAATTGTTAGTTGTGTCTGTCTGTACTGCTAAAATTCAATACCTCATCTGTTACCTATTAATCGAGAAATTTCCTTTTTTGAAGATTTCTGGGGAGGGAGCAACTTGTCGAGGTTGTTCTTCCGAGATATTGTCACGTGGGCCACATCGATATCAGATTCTCGCTCAGCCCGATGATCACTCAGCCCACCACAAATGTGTACCTTCTGAACCCACCTTACGTCAGCTCTTTTAAGTCCTGTCAGAATGCCTCTGCCCCTGCTTTGGCAGAACAAGACAAGAGAGGAATGCTGGCCTCTGCTCAAGATCAAGGCCATGTCGTATGTGGCCCTGTGAGTTTAAAGCTAGGGCTTGACAGCACTGGGCGGCATGGTCGTGTCACTTTGACCAGCCCGAAATTGGTCAAATCCAGCGGTCGAATTTTCTTGATTGTGTTTGACAGTCAAGGGCCGAGTGAAGATCTCTCTGAGGTGTCCATCACAGTGACACGGTTTAAAAACAACTCCACTTTGGAATGCCACAAATTGAGAAGCAGCTTGCTGGAAAACAGCAGCGTCGGGCTGCTTGATATTGTTGTCGGATCTCTGCCGGTGCACGGAGCAGCTAGAGACGAAGATGGCAGGAAACTTGCTCTTGAACTCCTCTGTTGGATTGCTGGCGTGTGTGTCAACTACAAAGCAAGGTTGGATTTATTATTACTTACCTTAACATCTTTTAAATGCACGGCCGAAAAGTACCACGTGTACTGATGCAGGGTCCAAGAGAGTCTGGTTTTTGGGCAATGATTTAGCGTAAACTGCTGTTTATAAGCCCCCAAACCCCCACCCCCACCCCCACCCTAGTTATAGGTCCATCTACCTGTAAACAAAAAAATCCAAAATACGTATTTTCATCAGACACTGTAGCTGTCGAACCTACTTTTGTTGCTTTCCTTTAACACTCGGAAACCTAAGTCCATGGCCTCTCGTGGCATTCCTGGCATTCCTTCAAATTTTTTTGAAGATCAGTGAACTAAAAACTACCCACAATACCTTTGATGATTGTCGCGTGCACTTTTTCCGACAACTTTTCTCGAAATGGCTGTATATTTGGGTTATACATGTATGCCCCTTCGGATATAGGCCCTTCCTTTTATAAGCCCTCTTAAAGCCCCTTACGAAGCCCAGGGCTTATAAGCGGGAGTTTATGGTATCTTAGTCAAATCCAACTAGTGGTCTATTATCAATGCTACGTTCTGATTGGTTGAGCTACTACTAGGCTATATGTTATAGCCCACTAGTAGAGAAAAGCGCCGGCTTTGAAAACCAAAATAATGGCGGCTGAATCGCGTTTTGCTAGGTAAAGTTGTTTTGTCTCGATATTTTTGACCAACTATTTGGATTCTACTAAAAACAATTATTCCTCTCGTCCAACGACGACGCCCCAATATCAGGAACAGTGTATTGATCATATCCCATATTACCTTTCGGAATTGTCGCGTGCACATTTTTTCCGATAACCTTTCAAATAGCTGTAAAAAGCGCTTTAAAACAAGTTATAGTGCTGATGAAAATGGCCTCTGAGCGGTATCCTCTCTTTACAATTTTGTTATGCAACTTTGCATGTATCTACCGCAGGCCTAAGGAGTGAGGGCTCAAGGAAGATACCAAGTTTAGCTTACTTCAACACTTTGTGCCTCGTTGAACGACGTCAAATTGCTCCTGTGCCCAGACAACCAATGTCGGCGCCTTTCAATCCTAATCCGACCTGGTAGACTTGAACGCATGAAGTTATGATCAGTCACGTTTATTTGAACAGCGAAAGTTGCATTACAAAATAACTGGAATCAAGATCAAACTTAGAGCTTTGTTGAATATGACCTTTTTTGTTTTGTTTTGTTTTGTTTTTACTAGGGATTACAGCGATATGGCATTGATACAGGAGGTGGAAGCTTACTTGCCTAAGTTGATTCAAACGTGTTATCTCTCTTCTGGGCGAAGCATCGCTCACAAGTGTAGCCGACTTCTGATGATGTGCGCGAGGTAAACCACGAATTTTTACTATTCAGAGTTATTTTTCTTCCTTTCCTACAAATGTGTACCTTCTGAACCCACCTTACGTCAGCTCTTTTAAGTCCTGTCAGAATGCCTCTGCCCCTGCTTTGGCAGAACAAGACAAGAGAGGAATGCTGGCCTCTGCTCAAGATCAAGGCCATGTCGTGTGTGGCCCTGTGAGTTTAAAGCTAGGGCTTGACAGCACTGGGCGGCATGGTCGTGTCACTTTGACCAGCCCGAAATTGGTCAAATCCAGCGGTCGAATTTTTTTGATTGTGTTTGACAGTCAAGGGCCAAGTGAAGATCTCTCTGAGGTGTCCATCACAGTGACACGGTTTAAAAACAACTCCAGTTTAGAATGCCACAAATTGAGAAGCAGCTTGCTGGAAAACAGCAGCGTCAGGCTGCTTGATATTGTTGTCGGATCTCTGCCGGTGCACGGAGCAGCTAGAGACGAAGATGGCAGGAAACTTGCTCTTGAACTCCTCTGTTGGATTGCTGGCGTGTGTGTCAACTACAAAACAAGGTTAGATTTATTATTACATACCTTAACATCTTTTAAATGCACGGCCGAAAAGTACCACGTGTACTGATGCAGGGTCCAAGAGAGTCTGGTTATTGGGCAATGATTTAGCGTTAACTGCTGTTTATAAGCCCCCCACCCCCACCCCAGTTATAGGTCCATCTACCTGTAAACAAAAAAATCCAAAATACGTATTTTCATCAGGCACTGTAGCTGTCGAACCTACTTTTGTTGCTTTCCTTTAACACTCGGAAACCTAAGTCCATGGCCTCTCGTGGCATTCCTGGCATTCCTTCAAATTTCTTTGAAGAACAGTGAACTAAAAACTACCCGCAATACCTTTGATGATTGTCGCGTGTACTTTTTCTGACAACTTTTCTCGAAATGGCTGTATATTCGGTTTATACATGTATGCCCCCGTCGGATATAGGCCCTTCCTTTTATCATGAGCCCTCTTCAAGCCCCCCTTACGAAGCCACATTGAGTTTGTGGTATTTTAGTAAAATCCAACTGGTGGTCTATTATCAATGCTGCGTTCTGATTGGTTGAGCGACTACTAGGCCATATGTTATAGTCCACCAGCAGCGAAATGCGCCGGCGTTGAAAACCAAAACAATGGCGGCTGAATCACGTTTTGCTCGCTAAAGTTGTTTTGTCTCGATATTTTTGACCAACTATTGGATTTTACTAAAACAATTATTCCTCTCGCCCTCATGGCCTCTGAGCGGGATCCTCTCTTTACAATTTTGCTATGCAACTTTGCATGTATCTACCGCAGGCCTAAGGAGTGAGGGCTCAAAGAAGATACCAAGTTTAGCTTACTTCAACACTTTGTGCCTCGTTGGACGATGTCAAATCGGCGCTCCTGTGCCCAGACAACCAATGTCGGCGCCTTTCAATCCTAATCCGACCTGGTAGACTTGAACGCATGAAGTTATGATCAGTCACGTTTATTTGAACAGCTAAAGTTGCATTACAAAATAATTGGAATCAAGGTCAAACGTAGAGCTTTGTTGAATATGACCTTTTTGTTTTGTTTTGTTTTTACTAGGGATTACAGCGATATGGCATTGATACAGGAGGTGGAAGCTTACCTGCCTAAGTTGATTCAAACGTGTTATCTCTCTTCTGGGCGAAGCATCGCTCACAAGTGTAGCCGACTTCTGATGATGTGCGCGAGGTAAACCACGAATTTTTACTATTCAGAGTTATTTTTCTTCCTTTCCNGGAATCAAGGTCAAACGTAGAGCTTTGTTGAATATGACCTTTTTGTTTTGTTTTGTTTTTACTAGGGATTACAGCGATATGGCATTGATACAGGAGGTGGAAGCTTACCTGCCTAAGTTGATTCAAACGTGTTATCTCTCTTCTGGGCGAAGCATCGCTCACAAGTGTAGCCGACTTCTGATGATGTGCGCGAGGTAAACCACGAATTTTTACTATTCAGAGTTATTTTTCTTCCTTTCCTTCGCCGTCATATGTGATTCAAGCTCCACGCTTCCCCCGTGATTTACACCCCGCCCATGAAGCGCATAAAAAAGACGCTTGTTGTACTGCCCGTAAGTAATGGTAGTAGGACTTAAGTGGACTGAAGTGTAGCCGAGGACGAAACGAATTCCTCTTACCTATTATTTAACTCATCAATAGAGATGAGCGTGGGGGAAGATGCCTGTGAGGCTTGTGGAGCCCCGAAAGGTAGCTCACTGCAGTGTGTAACCTTAACAACCCTGTGAGTGGCATCAACCCAGGCACCGTCACACTCCTAACCAGTGGAACCTACCATACTTACCATAAGCAGGGGAAGGGTAGGGAGCAGAAAGAAACTATGCCAGCACAAGCCACGAAAGGCAACGACACGCGATCGTAATGGCATGAGCTGAAGAGAAAGGCTGTAAAAAGACCCATGAGCGCCTGCAATGGGATTAGGGCGCTCCCGCATATCTCCGACGAGAGACTGCTGGCCAGCCATGTCTCGAGTTTATACTAAGCCTAAATTTCATTTAGCCACATTTCATCACTGTAACAAAATTTGACAACAATACAGAGCTAATTTGAAGGTTTCGTTAATCAAAACATAGGATCGTCCTTTTTTTCTTCCCGCATCTCTGTGTCTGGATGTTGGGTGAAACACTACCTCCTGTGCTTGATGTTGGACTGGGTCAGTGCGAGTTGCACTGTGGCACTTTTTTGGGGGAAAAATTTTAACCTAGATTCCTTTGCGACCTCTTAATAGCCAATAAAAGAAGCGACAGCATCCCAAAACAGTCCCACAATGCAGTTCGCTGCAACTCCTACCCAGCCACACGAATATCCTCAAAATGTCCAATATTACCTCTAGTGCGTTACCAGATGTACTGAGATTTTCTATATAAACTTTTCTCTTCTTCTTTTTTTTTTTTCAGGAAAGCCGTAAGTACCAGGACGTCCACTGACTCGACATCGTCTTTCAGGAGTTCTCTGTTGAATGCAATCCTTGATGTTTTACGAGACACCCCATGTGCAGTATCATCTGGAGCGGTCCACTGGCTTTTTAAGTTGCTAACAGGGTTTGCAGCCCAAGCAAACGCCTCTCTGACAAGTTTTGTTTGCTTGGAATTGCTGGAATTTCTGTCATCAAAGCTTGCCACCACAAGATTTCCTGAGCATCTTGCTTTACGTTCCAGGTTAGATTGCCAACAACTGGTTCGCTACTTGTGGAATTCGCTTCCTCCTAGTTCGCAACAAATTCGCTGTGTATTACTTTTTGTAAACCGCTGAAAATAGTCCCTTAATCGCTCCAGAAAAAAAAAACCTTTTAATATATTTCTCGCTCTTTTAAACTGGCCCCTACAAGGGTGCAAGTTTTGGACTTTGCCTATAGGCAGCGAGACGAATATGTAGGTAGCGAGTTCGAACGTAGCGAATTTGACAAGTAGCTAAACCGTTGTAAAGCTTAGAAATGAAGGGACTGTTAATATATTTCGAGAACTGAACTGGTGCCGAAATGAGTCCCGTAGTTGTTTCTGGGATAGTTACTGGGGACGCGCCGTTGACTTGACTTGTCCCTGGTAACAGCCCCGGAAGTCTTTGCGAAAGTTAAGTCGACCCAGTCTCAAAAGTGGTTCAAACTCGTTTCAAAAGTGGCGAATTTCCAGGGGTGGGAGGAGTGGGAGCAAAACCAGCAGATATTACAGGCAGTGAATAGCAATGATCCACAAAGATCAGCAAAGCAAAGCAAAGCAGAGCTGAGATATGCAATCACATGTCAGCCCCTGCAGACCAAGCAGCTACCCCGCACAAGCCTGCCTGCCCGAGGCTCAACCACTGTGACTTCTCCCCCCTGAGATGATATGCTCATCCATGGTGCGAATATAGCCACCTTTCATTGCTTTCAATCAACGTTAAACAATATTTACTTCGGTTATTTGTCAGATTTGGATTGTATGGCTGCCCTCTGGATCCTGTCCTATTCGATTCTGTGCCGCAATCCTGCAGCCAACAGCAAAGTTCACCAGTTGTCAGCAACCTGACTGCGCCATCTTTGGCCAGCAAGTGTGTGAGTTCTGTTTCTGCTTCCACTGTGGCCTCAACTTCTGAACAAGTCTCATGGAGCAGTGTGAATTCTTCGCTGGCTTCTCAGGGTCTCCTGGAGGTCCAGCCTCTTCATTTTGTGTGTTGTTCTACTAGCGATGGTGCTAGAGTGGAGAGGGGTGATATACAACCAGTGAAAGGGAGCCTGGGGCCTGTGGGAGCACCTGTTACTGTTCCTTTTATGGCTTCAGCAATGAGCATGCCTCCATCTTCAGCGTTGCCAACTGATTCGGCATCTTTGGTTGCTCTGGAACAAGAGCTTCAAGTGTTAAAGGTAACAGTGTTAATTGATTAAAACGCAATTACAGTCAATTCTCTCTAAGACGGACATATTTGTGACCGGTACTGAGTGTCCATCTTACAGAGATGACCGTCTAATAGAGAGTCAAATAAAAAGAGTAAAGAAAGGCAGGAACAAACTCTGAACTCTAGGTGTCCATTTTAACAAGGTGTGTGTCTTTTAGAGGTGTCCGTTAAGAGACAGTCGTCGACTGCATGTGGCTTTCTTTACAACAGCTGTATTCTTCATAACGTATGTGTTTAGGTACCTTAGAAATCAAAATCTTCATCTCGTGAACAGTTTCAGTCAAGCGTTATTCAACAGAAACTAGACTGTATTCCAGCTGTAGCCTGTTGTGGAGATGGTGAAGGCAACAGTCACGTTATTGACGTTATACGATGACCTATCCGTTCGCTTTTCTCCCTCCAGTCCTTTTTTACTCCAAGGGATAGATTCTCTTCAACTTAACGGGATGTGCGAATTAACAAAGTTCTAGGAGGCGTTCAAAAAGTCTAGATCGGGTTAGCTTTTGAAACCCAGTCCCTAACCTTTTGTAATTTAGTGACTAAAGGGATTGATCGAATCCAGGTTTTCTTGACGCCTAGTTCCAATTAGTCAATACCTTATGGCTGTAATAATAGGCTCCAGTTTCGAAGGAGAAATGCACGTTGTTCTAGATGTGTAGTGTGTATCGTTTCTTCCATTATTTTGACTGCTGACCTGGTATTGCAGTCAAACCCCGTTAAAATTGAGGCTGTGCGGGCCATAGAAAGTGTCAGTATTGACGGGGTGTCCGTAGTAGCTGGTTCAATTAAGCGAAAATGTAAGGGCTTTCTTTCCCTAGGGACAAAGCAAACTGTCTGTAATAATGAGAGGTTTGACTGTACTCTGTGTTCCTTTTGTAATACAGCAGCACCAGCAGCAGCTAGTCAGCCTGCAGCAACACAAAGAGCAACTGGAGAAGCACAAGAAGGAGTTGGAAGACCTGTCCTTGTGGTCTTTGTGGTCCAAAACTGATCCATGGATGCCTCCGCCCCCCAGCGCGCAGGCATTTCCACCACCCACCCTAGCACAGCTTGCCTCTCCATCAGCTTCCTCTCCCATCAACCTTGCTCAGCAGAAGAAGCAAGCAGGTTCCACCCGGAAACAGGAAGGGGTAAACGGTGCTCCTGTGTCACAGCCTGTTCAGCAGCATGTCATGCAGGTATAAATAGTCCCCCCCCCCCCCCCCCCAGGGGGGGGGTCTTTCTTAAAAGGCCCTCGGGGGGGGGGCCCCCCCGAAAAGGGGCCCCTTTTTTGGCTTTGGGGTTAAAGGGGGGGGGGGTTTTTAGGTGCGAGGAGAATAAGAGGGGGAGAAAAGTATTGCTTTTTGGGGTGTTAAAAAGTATAAAATAAAAAAGGCCCCCCCCCCCCCCCCCAGAGGGGTGGTACTTCCTATAATGGCCTACGCGGGGAGGCTCCGCCCGAAAAGGGTACCCTTTTTAGGCTTCGGGTTTAAGAAGGGGTAGGGATTTCGCTAGCTGAAGTATATGAAAGGGTAGAGAAATCTGTCATTTCGGTCGGTTAAAAAGTTCAAAAAGCCTAGCAATGCATTTATAGCTGTGAAAAAGTCAAAAAACGTTCTTGTTTTGTGATTTACACGACAAGACATTGCATTTACAACCATTGAAAGGGATGCAAAGTTTGAAACTGGGTGTGTGAAAGAGGTACCATTTGTCAATAGAAAGTATACGAAAGGGGTACCTTTTCAGTCAAAAATGGTATATAAAAGGGTAGGGGGTCGCAGCTCGGGCCGGAGCCCCCCCGTCGGGCCGGAGTTCCCCCTTCCCCCGGAGTACACCCTTCGACGGTTTTTCACCTTTTGACAAGGACCCTTTTTTGTAGACACCGCCGGTAAGAGCGCCTTAAAATCTCTGAAGTTGCCGACTTGGAGATTGATCTGTTGAAAACTAACGAAGATACAACTTTGCAAAGTCGCGAAATTTTACAGAGTGGCGGCTGAATGGTTGGGGGCAAGTTTTTCCCACCTCAGGTGTGTGAAAGTGAAAGTAAACAGCGTTTCATGTTTTGTCGGGGTTAGATCGTTTTCACTCACGTGATCTGCAATTATGTAAAAGAATGTTTTTACATGAGAACAGAGTTTAATCCCCATAGGACTCTTACGGTACACCAACATGGCCGCCGTTTCATTGTTTTGTACACCAATATGGCCACCGTGACGTCATGTGAAAACGATCTATAGGGTGGTAGCCGAATTTTCTTTTCTTTTAGGCGAGCGCCGTAGATAGCATCAACTTGTACAATGGGCCATTTTAACGATTACGACATAAGACTACAACTACCAGAATTCATTTCGTTTTTGCTCTCTTATTCAAATTTGCCAATCCCTAATTTGCACAAGAAAACAACAAACTGAAGGATTCTGGTAGTTGTGTTAAAATGACGTCATCATGCAATTGCCCTCTTGAGCCGTCATTTTGCCCAGTTAAAGTAGGTGCTATACAGCGCACACTCTTCCTGTGGAATTTAAAATCACTGTTAATGAAAATTTTTCACAGTAGTTAGGTAAGAAAAGAGGTTTGCTGCGCTGATCAGGTTATGTTTTTTCTCTACAGCTTCCTCATCCCCAGGTGCTTGTAATTGACCGTCTTCACGCAGGCGCCCGTCATCACGTTGTTATAGACTTTGGCTGTGTTGTCCAGTTGACGGATATACTTATTCCTCAGTGCACGGACATTATGTCGCTGTCTATTGATGTTTGGTCGCAGTGGGATGATCCGGATGTGCAGAGGATAGCTGCGGTGTCAGATATCAACCTCTGCGCGTGTGTTCTGAAAGACCTTCTACCACCGCCGCTCTGCAGATACGTCAAGGTAAGCCGTCTACTTGTTTGTTCTGTAAAAGGTATCAAAGTGGGAACATTTGAGGCGAGTGCATTCCTGCAAAATGACATTTCCTGTGCGTAATAAAAACATCTCAAACGTAAGCCAACCATCCACACAATCTAGTGTCAAGGTATCAGTGAATTGAATTGACCATCAGCGAAGCTTTTTTTTTATTTATCGGCAAATCTATTCTGACATCACTGAAATATATCATCAACGAAGCTTTTTTTTTCATTTATCGGCAAATCTATGCTGACATCACTGAAATATATTTTTGTTACCTTAGTAACATGAGCTTATCATTCAGTGATAAATTCCCTACGCAAGGGCCGTAGGTTCTCGCTTTGCGAGGAATAAGCTCATGTAAACAACGATTCGCCTATTCGTTTCTTACCTCCACATTTCATTTGTTTTCACAAGGTGACAGTTGTTGGAAGACCGAAAAACAATGCGAAGGCTCGAGTAAAGATTGGCGAATTCTATGGTTATCCATTATGTGGTCAGACGTCCTTGAATGGAGAAACTACGCTGCTGAATGCCAGTAGTCAGGACCAACAGTGCCTACCAATACTACAGAATCTTTTGGAGGACATTCACTGTCACTACAACTTGACCAGTACCCAACTGAGAATGCTGTTACAGTCCGCAGAACCACGGAGCCCCAGGTTCGATATCACTGGAAGGGGTGCATCGCTCACGGAAGAGGAAAGGAAGGTCCACAAAGCGTACAATGAGTGTATGGAGCTCCAACACCAACTCAACCTTGTCGAGCAGTCAATCTGTAGACTGACGTCTACTACAGAAAGCGGCCGTGCCGCTTCGTCCCTTCATGATGCCAAGTATGACCACATACAGGTCATTTGCAACTGTTTGTTAGACACTGTGGTCACCCTTATGGGTGTTGGTCCTTCTTTAGATGGTTTTTTGGCAAAGTCCAAACTAACTATCGAATGGCAGCCTTGGTTGAGTCAAGTGACACCAGTGATGTGTGAAGGTCTGTTCAGGAATCTCTGCGTTCATGGGTCTCCTCAGAAGCGTGAGAGAGTTGGAGCCCTTCTTCTGAATGCTTGTGGTAGTAGACCATGGTGGGGTGAATTTTTGTCGAGCGTCTTGAAAGAGTTCTTTTCTTCAAGCCAGAAGTGTACATTTCCTCAAGAAAGGTACGGTAGTGAAACTTTTGTATTTACAGTGTGTTAATAAAGAAAAGAATGCTGTAATGAGTGTAATATTGTATGCGATCATTCCACGAATACAACGTCTTGAAACACGTTCCAACAGAAAACCTGCTGAATACTGAATGCTGAATATTCTGCCTTTCTGGCGTGCTGTGGTATGTGGCGAGTACACTCAAGTCATAAAAGTTACTTCTTGTTTATGAATTCGCCTTAACTTCGGCAATTTAGGTTAGGGCCTAGTATTAGCTATTAAAGTGCATATGACACGAATTTTGTTTTGCTGTATTTTATTCTTAAATATGTGTAAAATATGAATCCGAAATTTAAACTCGTCAAAAATCTTGCAAAACTTATTTTTTGTCTTCGAAACACGCAAATTTTCCTCCAGAAAATGTCCGCCTTATCGCAAAACCAAATTCAGAAGGATGACGTAGAATGATTGACAAGAATGTCGAATAATCAACAAGATGGCACCAAATACGAAGGATCGTCGTTGTCGACAACTCCCCAATCACCTTCAGTATCTTCAGTTGCTTGGCAATACCTTTTTCACAGTCAAATACATTGCTTAATTCCACAAAACTCAAAGCAATGACTAGAATCGGAAGCGAGGCTGAGCAAATCAGCTGACGTCACATGACGTCATCAGCCTTTCTTTGGTCCTTTAATTCGTTCCCAGTCTCTCAAGGGAAAAAGCAGCTTTTGGACGGCCAAAATTCAAGAATTTGTTTGCGAGACACATTTGTAAAGTTTAGAATTGTTACTTAAACTATCTGAGGACCGAAATCAGTGTCAAACTATTCCATTTGCACTTTCTACTTCCAGGTTGTTTGCTGTAATAGTGAATTTGAGCCAGCAGTCTCCCTCCGTGGAGCCAGTGCTTACAAGTTTCTTGAGTCTCTTAGATGATCTTCTTCTCCTTAAGAATCTCAAAGTAGATATAGACTCAATAGATCTGACATTGGTTGGGTGGCTGTTGCTCCTCTTGGCACATGTACTGGACGCCTGCATAGTCCAGTGCAAACCTTCAGCCACTGCAGCAGGTAAGGAAAATAATTTTCTCTTTGTTGGGCTGCCTGTGGCAAACCCCAATATTGTTCTGAGTAGCGTGTACGTCGAAAAAAGACAAAATGGCGGATGCATGACCGAAAGGGAGTGGGTTCCAAAAACTGCAATTTTCTTTTCTACTTTCAGATGATGCAGACACTTCTAAAGTATCAAATGGCAAAAACGGAGGGACGTCGACTTCTAGCAAGAGCAAATCATCGAAGTCTTCTAAGAGTAGCAAATCCAGTAAACGAAGCCGATGGGACTTCATGCTTCCGATGCTGTCAAGCCAACCAGCGAGCTCTGCAAGTGATATTAGCTCTTACCGCTATCAGCGTACTCATAAGTTGATGAGCAAGTACGCACTACCAAAGAAGACATTGACTGAATCGCAGTTACAGCAGAGCATTATCAAGGGCAATGGCAAACAAGCTTACAAGGTAATGGCCAAGGTTTTAGAGTACTATACGCTACTCCGCTTCACAGGCTATCAGGCTCATTGCTGAGAATAGAAAGTTAAAGATGTGACAGCATCAGCGTGCGTCAACGGATCCTGAGAGATATTGAGATTTTTTAGAAGAAGACTCCTCTGTATTTTACGCGGATTGCCGACGGAAATTACAGGCTCCCAAGAATGTCTTGACTATTTTTTTTAATCAGTGTTGACAGACTTGATAAACTCGCACGTGTATAAAGTTCCTGTCACGAACTTTATTCATTTTTTAACATGTGAGAGACTCATCCAATTTGTATAAAATGTTATGTTCCAACTAGTTACTTTCAATCAATCTCGGCCACGATTTTAACACTAGTAGTGCACTGGAAATATTTGTGTCAGTATAACTTTTCCCATTATCGCCGTTGATAGAGGAACGGTTCCTCTATCATTCTTCTGCATGTAGAAAAAATTTTGGTAAAATTGCCTGAAGAATGTTCGACCAGTGACTTACAGCCAGGCCGGTGTTGGCGAAATGTAGATCTTAGCCGAGATTCACTCCCATGAGCGTAACCTTCCTGTTAACTTTAATTTTTATACTTCAGCAAACGAAAAACTTGTCTAAATTGGTTAAAAGATCCTCCCAACCAGTTTCTGCCAGCCACTGAACGCCAAATTTGAATCTCACTGTAAATCTCATTTTCTTTGCTCTATTTTTCTTCAGCATATGAAAGACTTGTCCAAATTGCGTCGCCATGTTGACGAGGGAAAGCCACAGGTTGAAAAATCAACCCACCAGCCACCAGTGTTCTCTGCAAGTTCTCCGCTTCCAGCGGATACCACATTACCTGTCATGCGCAAGATGATCAGCTTTATTCTTAGTATGGACTCCACTTGCAGCGTGGAGCTGTTTTTGATTTCTTGCAAGGTACATTACAGTCAGAGAACAAAAACTGTTATGTTTGTCCTAGTTGATAAGGTAAACTGGGCGCTGTAGAAGCAATATACTTGAACGTGGTAGCGTGAAAAGCAAACAAGTTGGAAGCAAATCTGAGTTTCTGATAAGATTCGAATCCATTACGTCCCAAAATACTGGTGGAGAGAATTAAGTTTCCTACTTTTTTTATTATTCAGCCCTTTCGAATTTACTCCTCGACCTAGTTATGTCGTTATTACTTGTCACTCCAACTTCCAAAACCGTGGACGAAATTGTATGGTGTTACCATTCAAATGAAACCTCTTTAGCAGTACTTTGACTTGGAACTATTAATTTAGTTTGTATTTCAAACTTTTGAGTCTGTCTATGAAATCCTATTTCGTGACCATTCAATTAAAACTCCCTTGTTGAACTTTAGCATAGTACAATTTACTTCTTAAGATTTTACAAAGAGAAATGTGAATTTTTTGAGAATTTTTTTGGGGTACTGCTTCCCCATAGCGCTTGAAACTTTGATTTTCGCAGTTGCCAATGATATTATTGATTTATTCCCTCCTTCCCTCCTTGTGATTTTCACAGGTCGTAGCCCACTTAGCTTGTGTAAGTGAACCAAGTGTTTGCCTTACTGATGTCATCACTGATGATCAGTTGGAGCAGCTGTTAGAACTGTGTGTGATGTCAAGTGAATCCCAGTCTGGTGCTCACTCAGGGGGACCCTGGACTTCTCATTCTCTAACTTCCCTGCTACAAGATCTTCTTCAAGGTGTGAAATAATGGTGCTCTCGCTAAGAGCTAAGGTCTCTGAGAGCCTGCACAATTGTGTTTTGTTCTGCTTACGTATGCACCACACACCCCTACCACGCTCCCCTCCCCAGAGGCTCGTGCTGGGTATCCCAATGAAAATAGCAGTAAGTAAAAAGGATCAATTTAAGGTTCTGGGAAACTGCCCAACTACCCCTCCCCTAAGCTAACATTATCACTTACTTCTCAATTAGGGCAAAATGTTGGCTTAGGAGAGGGGTAGGTAGGCAGTTTCCCGAAAACCTGAATTGATCCATTAAAAAAAGTAACCGCGCAGGGGACGATGGGAAGAGGGAAAAGGCGGAAGTCTCGGGCCTCCCTTTCCCCCTTTCCCCTTCCCATCATTACCCGCGCGCTTTCTTTCGCTCTCCCCAGCCTCCCTACGACCCAAAGAGGCCTCTGCTGATGAGAGAGCCCCTGCAACTGAATAAAAGCAACATACATTTGCATGCTTTTGTTTGAATTTCGAAATTGAAAACTGACCAGTATTGTAATGTTGTTTTAGAAGATCTCTGTATTGTCAGTGGTTATGTGTGCATCCAAGAAATTGTGGTTTGACAAAATCGTCCTTCCCTCTATGTTAGCGAATGTTAAATGACACATTAACTATGAATCCCAAGCGTACACAATCGATGTTTAACTTGATATTGGACATCAATCTTATGGTCAGTTAACAGCTGTCAAAATAGGGTATCTGCTGAGCAGTGTCACGTGACTCCATCGCGGACTCTGGTCTACAAATTATTGAAGTGGCATCTTTTGTAAAATTTATCTTCTGAACAGTCATTGCTTTTTCATGCTTTTCAATAGATTCTCGGCTTTCCATTTTTCAAGAAGAATTCAGCTTGCTTCTTGTTGATCGCGAAAGCTGAATTTCTTTTACAAAGACGTTTTTAAATGATTCCACGAAAACGTCGCTTTTGGCCTTGGCTAAATCTATATATTAATATTACCACTTCTTCCACTGATGACAAGGTCTGTTTTGTGCATGTGTTGATCTTCCTTTTCTCTCCCCTGGGGTTTCTTAGGAAGGCAAGGTAACAAAGTAACAGTCAAACCTAAACCAGTAACTACGCAAAGTCCTGTGGCTCAAGAAAATGACAGCTACAGCTCTACAGTGACTCACGGCATTTTGGTAGACATTGAAAGCAGTGATTTCTACGAGGACTATGAGCTGCCTTCTGAAGGAGAACTTCAGACCCCTGGTTGGGTAGGGGAGTTTGTAGACATTGGAAATGGGAACGACGTGCCACAACCAACGCCAGTGCACGAGAAACCGGCCGTGCTGTCTTCTTGGGAAGCAAAAGTCACTCCACCTCCCATTAAGCTGTCTTCTGCCATCGACATGCGACTTGAGCTTGGTCTTGAGATGGAAGCAGAGCAAGATCTTAAAATGCTGGAGCTTTTGCAAGCCGAGGCAATTGCCAAGGCTTTGAGCACAACGGTGCCTCCTTCACGGGGAACGCCCAGTCTCACGAGAGAGCGTCCAACTCAAAATGGAAAAACCGGTTTAGCAGAGTTAGCTTTGCAGTCCTCTTTCAGTAAGATCTTCTCAAAACCCCAAGTTGATATGTCCTCTCTTTTGAGCGTGTGGCTGAAGATTAAACTCTGCTGCAGCAGTTTGAAACTTGACACTGCATCGATTAGACTTTTGCTTTCTCATTTGGTGAAGCAGCCGGAATCATCTCTTCAAACCCGCCACCTCTGTTTGCAAGTTCTTACAGTGGTGTCTGATCAGCAGTGGAAAGCGTGTGCTGATCAAGAACTGTTGACGTTTCTCAAGAATGAAGATCTTTTGGATTTTTTAGTAAACCTTTTATCCCAAATACCGTCATTTGGGGCGCACTCTATTTTGCCCAGTCCAAAACCTGTGAAAGCATTTCTATCGTCTTTGCAGTCGGCCGTCGAAAGCCACAGTGATGTCAAAGTTGTCCTGATTTTCCAGGACCTCTTACTTAAGGTCATTCTTGAACTTTGCAAAAGAAGGTAATGTTCTCTAAATACATCGCAAGTAACTGTATTTGTGTGAGTGTTGAGAAAAAAAAATTGTCGATTTATTGATTTTAATTTCAATTCTTTACTGATTTTATCGTTCTCCGTTTATTGATTTTATCCCAAAAATGTGGTTTCCTTGGTTCGCATGTGATAGGGCTCTGTGCATCACGATTGGTGGCATTCGATACCTTTAATGGAACCTCTTAAAATTAGCAGTTCGTCGTATCGACGCAATGCACGCCATCGATATAACTTATTCTGTGTCTGTGCAGTGAATTTGAAGATTTCATAGCTTGAAAATAGGTTTTTGTGCTTTATCATATGTCGAACATCATAATTAGTTTTTCTTGAGGCCCTGTTTTCCTAAGACGAGATAAATTCTCCTGGTTTATAAACTGTGTTGTATTTTTCGTCAACTTCTTGCAGACTTTCCGACAGAGGGTCAGTGGTACAACTACAACCAGTCATTGACCTCTTACTGGCAAACCCGAATGTTGCATCCCGACAAGCAAAACCTGATGTCATCTTGAGCCTGGTGAATGTTACAGCCCAACTAACACGGGATCACCTAAATCACAAGAAGAGTGTTAGTCTTCTGCCGTCTGCCGAGATTCTTATACCAACCGCAACTGGAACTGGTGTGGACAAGCTAGATGACAGTGCTTGGCTTCTTCAGTTGTTCTTTTTATTAGTTGAAATATTGCAGGACTCTGTGTCCAAACTGCGCGAAAACAAACGAAATCATGAGGCGCTTGTTGGTAGTACCGCAATAGATAGTACTGAAGGATCGACTGAAGTTCAAGATATCACGAACACTTGTAACAGTAGTAGCAACCTAATTGACAAGTTGGTTTCTACGAAAGAGATTCTTCTGTGCTTGATGGAATGCCTTAATCAATGCTCTTCTGACAAGCTTTTGGGATCACCTAACTTATCCGTGCTTTTATCGCAAGATAAATGGCCTGCGGATGTGAAAATCTCCGTGAAGCCTACTTCGATTGAAGATGGAGTCCTTCAACTGTTAACCGTAGTTCAAAATAATGTTACTGACAATGAAGTGTTAGTTGATGGAATTATTACATTCCTTCGAATGTCCAGCGCAGACGCCTTACAGTCAGCACGTGTCAAACATCTCTCAGATCCTTTCTTGTGGCTCTTGTTCAAAGTTTTGAACTCTTCTCAGGCAGTAACTCAGTTCAGCCAGAAAGGTAAGTCTCAGTGAATGCAGACTACGAGTAGTCCCCATTTTTCCTTAGGGATAGTAGAGCGAGCGAGACGCGAGCGTGCGTGAAAATCACCCCACGCGAGAAAAGGCGACACGTCTCGTCTCGCCTTTTTCGCGTGGGGTGATTTTTTCACGCGCGCCCGCGTTTCGCTCGCTGTACTATCCCTGAGGACAAATTGGGGACTACTCGTAGTCTACAGTGAATGGGGATATAATAGAATTGGCAGCTTACTATGTTTGCCACCTTTGTTGCATCACCAACATTAACAAGAATTTCGTATTGTCCTATGGCTACCCTTCAAAACGGTCGCCCTGGAACCTTTTTACGGTGACTAGCCACCTTCCCAACTAAGCTAATAATACGGCCTTCTTGTGTTTCACTTCCTTATCAATGAAAACCCACAAATGTGTTATTACTACGGCTCGGAGCGCAGGAAATTGCATTTTAGAGGGTCCAGTTTTGAAAAATTTCCCAAGGGAACGTGCCCCCAGAATCCCCTAGACGTTCGTGGCTGCGGCACGAACGGTGCAAGTCCGCCAGCTGAACCTCTGCATCCGGTACTTCCAAATGCTACCGTAAACCCTGTTTGGTGATCTCAAACTGGTTGTCCCCCATGCGACATGTATGACAAATAGCCCACGTTCGATATATTAAAATTCTAACATGCCTCCGAGGCTTTCTGGTCATTTTTTTTTTATTTTGTTTAGTTTTCTTTGTACTCAGGTCTCTTCTGGCAACTGCGAGACAATGGAGTCGTTAACAATTTGCAATTTTGACCCTACAGCCTCGGAGTCATGTTAGAATTTTAATATATCGAACGTGGGGTATTCCCAAGCTTGATGACTTTCTTTGTTCTGTCTGACTGCCTTTGATTCCTAGGTGGTCTTGACACGGTGTGCCAGTCAATTGTCTCTGGGCAAATATCATCACTGGACAACACCTCTAGTGGCTTGTTATCTGTCATGCAAGAGTTATCAAGACAATCAAGCAGAAGAGAAGCTGCCAAGAGCACAATAGCTGCAGAGACTGACTGGACCAAGAAAATTGTGAATTTTGCTCCTTATGGTCAGTGTATTATGTGTTTTAATAGCGAGCTTGAGCAACGAGAACGCTGACGTCCCGGACGTCATGATAGCAACCGGAAGTTCAATATCTTGCTTGATGGAACGTTTCTGTTTCACTCAACGAATCTGAATGCCTTTGTTTTAACTCTCACTGTACGAATTTGTCGAGTCAGCACTAAAAGAGAGAAAATATCAACTTCCAGTTGCCATTTTTGACGTCCGGGAGGTCAACATTCTCGTACTTAAGGTCCCTAATGCTGGGATTACTCTGAGAATTTCACAATTGGGTATACTGTTGCACTGCTTTTAAATTATTAGTCTACGAATACCAAAACAAATCCGTTAAATGGCAGAAACGAAACGATGAACCTTCAGTGTTGTTATTTGGCACCTTGGTCTTTTTAACTTGAAGTTTTAAAGTTGAGTTTATGCTCAGTTGTCGATTGGGTAGCAGAAGAACACTGTCCCTGTTCGTTCGAGACCGGAGCCCGCTGGTTTTACGCTCTCGACCTTAAGTACAAAAAAGAACCAACTAAAAGCAAAACAACAACAAAAACAAACAAGCAAACAAACAAACAAAAATCCTACTCCTGCTGTTGTATCTGCTTATCACCGAATGTTATTCTTTCCTCAGGAAGTATTAAGTGCCCTTCATCTCCAAGGCATCCTCCTGATGCTCTGTTAAAGGTCACAGCTCAGCATCGTCGAGCGCGGTCTGCAGCGTGGTCTTATCGCTTTCCATTAAATGAAGAATGGTGTGACCTTGTGATTAGTCTTCCTACAGCCATTTTGTTACATGAAGTTCATATACAACCACATACAACGGGGCTTTCGAGTAAGTGCTGGCCATGTTTTTGTTTACTAGGGCTATGTAACAAATTTGCGTAATCACAAACTAGTTGAGCGCTGAAACCAAGTGAATTTCCTTTTCCTGTCGACAAACGTGGTAAACGTAAACTGCAATGCTAGAAATGGGCCGATTTTTGCGAGTACTTCTTACTACAATCAATTGTAGATTCCCCTCCCTCTTAAACTTTCTAACCACTGAAATTTGCGTCAGTCATCTAGGTAGATTTCAGGGCCTAGTTCTGGAAAGGGCTATTAATGCTAATCCAGGATTAAATTTCGGTAGTGTAGATTGATCAAAGCATCACTTTGTGTTATCATAAATGGCACTCGGATAAAAGGTTGGCAATATATCATAAGCTCCAGTTACATGTGCCGAGACAAAAAACGTTTAAAATTTGGTTGATTTTGACTCAGCTATCTCAACTATCTGTTTTGTAAGTATTTAGTAATAATTGAATTCGGCTTTCGTGTCATCTGAAGAATTATGGAGATCGCGGAAGATGTCGACCTTGGCGGATAACACCCTTTAAATAATAATAAATAAATAAATAATAATTAAGGGATCCGATCCCGAGATCCCTAAATTCTTCAGATGATACAAAAGCCGAATTCAATAATTGTTTTATTATTCATTCAAAGTAATTCCTAGTTTAAAAACAAGCTAAAACATGCTTACCTCCATGGATTTTAAGTTCATCTTCGATAGTGCATGTTTACTGTCGTCCGTCGAGTTGTCTTGTTGCTGTTCTTGCTATGCTTTTAGCCAATAGTTCGCCTATTTCTTACTCTTGAAACGAGTGAAATATTCCGCCATTTTGAAGTCACAACCAAAACAACTCTACCTCGTCCCCAGGTCTACTCGTTTAACGCTTCAATAATCTGGCAATTTGCTGCACTTTTGACGTCATCAGTTCACTTATCGTGGGATTTTAGCCAGTCAGAAACAGAGAAATATTTTGAATGAATAATAAGAGGTATTTTTAGGGGGGGGACGACATTGACGTCAATGACGTCATCACATTGACGTCGGTGACGTGTCGGTGACTCTTAAATAATGTACATTAAAAAATTTACTGTATCACTATACTTCCCCGAAGCTCGGTAGTCCGACGATACAATTCGACACAAAAGCGGCCCAGTATCACTCCCGGTATCAAATTATACAGATAGCGGCACCTGATTGGTTCTTATTTATTGGTATTGTTCATCAGCCAATCACAGTGCGCTATTCTCTGAGATATTTGCATTTTATTTCCTTGTTTTTGTATTAAAACTGGATTGCTCTCAGCCAATCAGATTCGATAAATTGTGTCATGTATATTACTAGAACTATTATGGAGCGGCCTTAGAATTAATTTCTATGCTAAGTATTCATATATAACGTTTTCAGCATGTCCTTCACACGTGTCGCTAGACGTCAGTAACGACGCTCAAGTTCTTGTACCTGTCTGTGAACCGATTCTCACCTCTGGCATGACAGTTATCAAACTGAAACTTCAGGATCCTCAAATTGCCCAGGTAAAACTTTCTTTTCTTTTTTTTTTTTGCGTATTTTTTTGCGTTTTTGGATGCATCACGTGGAACGGCAATATGCAACACAGGACGACCAGTCCAAATTTTGATGGGGAGGGCAGGCATTCATATAAGAAAGGATTTGACAAAATTTACACTCCCAAAGCGGAATTGTTAGGAAGATCATTTCGAGATTGACGCTGTAATCCTGTGTTAGTGCTGTCATATGTTTGTCACAGAAAATGCGATGTGGTTCATGCATTCAGTTTCTTCCAAAGAGTGAATAGAATAGATTAAATGTATGCCATATCTTCATATCAAACCATCATGACTAACTTTATTGATTTAGTATTATGCAGTCAATAATGTTGTTTTTATTATTTTTTCCTAGCACATCCATATTCACTGTCACTGTCCACGGGACTCGCGGGGTATGGGACTGTCTCAGATCAAAGTCTTAGGAGCATCACTACACGGCTATCAGAGTCAAGTCAATCAGGAGCTTCAAAACTTGAAGGGCCAAGCAGCTAGGCATGTATTATTAATAATAATGATGATAATAATATTATTATTATATATTAGCAACAGCCCTGATATAGAGTATTTTCACTCACGTGGCCAGCATCTATGCAAATTTACTGGAACAAAAGAAAGCGTTTGCATAAGAAAAGAGTTCAACTCCCACAGGATTGGTTTGGGACACCAACATGGCCGCCGTGACGTCATGTGAAAACACTCAATATATAACGTTACTTGTCTCAACGGGTCTAAGAAAACATATATCGCGTTCCTTATTGTAGGCTTGGCTGGGTACAGTTACTTGGTCAGTGCCTTTCAAAAGGGCCTGATCTGGACTTAAAAGAACCTTCGACTCTGTTGACAGACGTGTTTAGTACCTGTACGTCCTTACTGTTAACACCACAGAGGTAAGACTACTGCTCTTTCTTGTCAAAGAAATCTTTACCCCTTTAAGCCCTAAGAGTGATCAGCATCAAATTTCTCCTTGTGATATCAATGCTTTGTAAAACAGAGTGGTCATGAGAGTTACGGACATGATCACGTAAGATGACTTTGCTTGATTTTTTATCAACCTCTCCCCACTACTTCTGTAGGAATGAATAGGGGTAACACATGAGAATTAAAATTTTAATCTTAGGGTTTAAAGGGTTAATGGAACCTAAGAGTAGGTAGCTGCACAGTACAATTTAAAAAACCTTTCCACAACGGCTACCTTGGGAACAGAAGAAAGTGGCCGTTCGATCGTGGCTGTTCCTTAGACTCACTAAAGTAAGTATTTACAGTTTTGCCATGTTTAAATGATAATCTACTTTTCCACATTTTAGTGAGGCATATTCCTCATGTCTGGAATTGGTGCTCATGAAGTTGTCGATACAGTTTCCTGAACTTGGAACCGTGCTGATGAAACAGCTTCTGAAATGTTCAGGTGAAAAGCAGAAAACAAGATCACCTGTTGTGAATGTAGCTACAGTGGAACTTATATATCAACTTGGAAAGAAGCAGGATTCTTCATACGAAGACAGGTCTGGCATAACGATTTATACTCTTGCACGATGTTATATGAAGCAGCGTATGCTGTAAACAAAATTCAAGTAGCTTTGAAGAGAGCTTTCGGTTCTTTATTTCTAGACTGTCTGACTTGCTTAGTGTTACCACTCTTTGGCCTGTCGCAAGGAGAGCCAAAATTGCGTGTAGTTTGTTTGCTTGCGTTGTCCGCACGGGTATTTACGTAAGTTTCGATTCTTTCACTGGAATTTCTGGGTTTCTTCTTGTGCTGTTTGGTATTATGACACTCGGTGGATGTAAATATTATTGCCCATTGAAGTTATTTGATCACAGGAGATGTAATATTTTCTCTTGCTGGAAATGAAAGGTGCTCGAACACGAAAATGACGAATACTTCCTTGAGAATCTAGCGAGACGTTTGTATCACGTGAAAGACCAAAGCCGATTTATTTAAGAACTACTATTCAGTACATAGCAAAATGAGAGAGCAAACCAGACACCCACATTTGGTCCTGAGGAAGTGTTGGAGTTTGTAATACCAAAGGCTATAGAAGATATCATTTTGTTTATTATAGTAACCCTTTCTTTTGCTGTATAATTCTTTCATTTCTTTCATCCTGTTGTAGGTTGTCAGTGATGTCGTCATGGTTAAGCTCCTTATGCGAGTGCCCAGCCACTACCATGGTAGCACCTGGTCAGGTGCAGGCAGTAGCTGCCGTAATCTGGAAGGCCAAGGACACCGAGTCTGAATCCATTGTTACCAGAACATTTTCTGAGACGCTTTTCAGGTGCGTTGCTGTGTTAACCAAACTGTTAGTAAATTGTATCAAATATTTCAAAGTTATCCTGAAGCTCTAGTCCGCTACATGGCCGTTTTTAGTGTCTTCAAGCAACGCTCCTCCCCAGTTATGCGACGAAACTAAAAACTGCTCCATTGTGCGTGCCAAAATAGTCTGAATTTGATATGTACCCTCTCCAGTGTACTGTAGCGCTGGGAACATCGACGTATTGTCAACTGAAGCTTTTGTCTTTTACATTTGTGAAGGAAAGCCCTGTTACAGTACAGGTTGACAATGAAGTGTCCGCATCAACGAGGTTGACTTTCCACGAGAATCTGTTGATTGGGCAAGAAAGAGAGTGTCGGTTGTCCGTATTAACGGGTGTCCGTATTAAGCGGATTCAATTTAGGGAAAATGTAAGGGCTTTCCCGAGGGACAAAGAAAAGCGTCCGTAATAACGAGGTGTCCGTAAAGCTGGGTTTGACTGTATTGGAGAAAACGTCAGAGAGTGGTGGGTGAGTAGGCTGAACTGCTGTTCGGAAAATAAGCCTGCGTTACCCCCCACCCCACCCCGTGAAAAAGACTCTCTTCTCGGGAAAGAACAAGACAGGACCCGAGAAGACGGCTGATGGCTTTACAGTTCTTGTGTCACCCCAATGTTTTTGTTTCCAGGTTATGCTGCTTTTACGCGAAAAATTCATGCTTCTGAAGCCTTTTCTTAAATTTTATTTCCCTTTCTTTTCAGGAGGCTGTTTGAGTTGTCTCAAAATGTTAGCGATCAAGATTCTTTAAAGCAAAGCATTGACCACCTCATCGGTGCATTAACATACATCTGTCCAGAGTATTATGAGGTACTTTTGGAGTTAACTGGGATCAAGAACCTGCTACAAGAACATCACAAGAAAGAAGGAAACAAGGATCGCATGTGGTCAACCCTTTTGTCGCCTCCATCGCGGCTTGTAACACTTGCAACCGCTACTCAGTCCTCCATCACAAGCCGGATGCTGTTAAATTCTGGCCTTCTTGAACTGTGCGTTGAAGCCATTGTAGACTTCTGTCATTCGATTGGAGATTCGACCCAAGATTCGTCTGTAGTGAGCTCACCAGAAAGGAAAAATGGTGTCCCTGTTAATCTGCTGCCACATCTTTTGCGTTTTCTCACATCTTGTTGCCAAGAACCAGCGATCAAGGATTGGATGGGAGAAGGTGGTTACCAATTTTGGTTTCCTCTTTTATCGAAACTCTGCGGGGGTCATAGTGACTACAGTAATTTGCAAGGGAGATTACCAGGCATAGCGTCTTCCATCTCAAGGTACAGTAGCTTCGCGGTTGAAGTCGCAACCCTTGAACTGCTGTGTAGTTGTGTGCGTTTTCATCCTCGAAATCAAGAGAAAATGGCCTGCCTTTTGGTTGAAATTATCGAGGGACAGGGTTCTTTGTCGTCATCAAACTTGTCGAAGAAATCAGTGAATACTACTCGAGTCAGTGGCTTCATCCGACAGTTGATCTTGAAGATGTTGTTGGAGGACGAAACAATTCCCATCTGTTTGCATGTTGAAAATGATTCAAACTTACAGTCGTTTAGAGGGACGGATTTTTATCATAGACCTGGTTGGCACCCTCGCCTTGGAGCAGGACACTCATTCGTGTTGCTTTCTGCTAAAATGTCATCAAATCTTCAAGAACTAAGCAGGCAAATTCTTTTACCTCAATCAGAAAAACATGTTGAGACAATTCCCGAGGAAAAGACCTTTAAGTCGTCAGCAGAAGGAAGTACAGACCCATGTGACTTTGGTCTGTACGAAGGATTTGAATTTCTGGAGTCTGTTAGTCTTGCTGCGGGGCTGAACGTAAAGAACAAAAGGGCGGATAAAAGTGACAATTTATCGACAAAGGACAATCCTACTACTTTACAGAGTATCAATCAAAAGAGTAACTTATCTTACTCACTTTTTCATGAGATCTTTGGTGATAAGTCTTTGCCACAGTCTTGGACATTGGCCCAATTAATGCAGTCCTTGATAAACAGTGGACTCCCTTGTGGAAGTTCGTTTCTTGAGCTGACCTGTAGGAAGCAAGAAGAAACGAAGTTGGTAGATTCCTTGCCAACTGTCACGTCGTTGTCGACTCCCCTGGACATCTTTGCTAAACAGGATGGGCTTGCGCAGTTGTCAATTCACTTGCCACGCCACATCATTGTCTCCCCCTCAGTTATACCAGCTACAGACCTCGAAGAGAGGGATGCTGATAACAATGGCGTAGGTAGACTACCCTCGTACCCCACCCAGCTTCCGCTGCCTCTGGTTTCTCTCCCCGCATCAGTTGCCAGTACTGTTCCAGCTCATTCTCTTGTTGCATTTGGCTTGTTCATTCGCCTTCCAGGGTACAACAAAGTGCTTCTACAGGATCGTCGCAGAGCTCGCTATCTTCTGAGGCTGCTTATGGGCACCAAGCAGGATAGTGATGGAGGTAAGAGGTCACAGGTGGTTTCGCCTGAAAGTAGATTCGCCCGAAGTTGTTTCGCCCAAACGTACGTCGATTCGCCCGATGTTTGTTTGTCGTTCTTTAGGCCTAAAAAAAGGATTAAGCCTGAAAAGACTGACTGTACATGTGGATCAATAACTTTTTCTTGTGAAAACTTCACACAAAATATATATATCAAAGCACTTTAAACCCTCGACTTCGATTTAGTGAGAGAGTGATCTGGTAGTTCACTCTTTTAACCTGGGCTTTGATGTCCTGGTAGCCTGGGACCAGGCTCCGCAGTGGGGGAAAAAGGTAAAACACCGGGGTCAAATAGGAAAAATATAGGACTCTCGGCTCGCTTCGCTCGCCAAGCTGTTTTCTTCGCCAACGTCGATTTTTTTCTCCTTTTTCCCACAGTGCGGAGCGTGGTCCCAGGCTAATGTCCAGGACACTATTTGATTAAAGTCTTCACGTTTCAAACTCGTTTAGGCCGGTTAAGTAAACATTTACTATAGAGTGCTTGAAGGTACACAAGCGACTAACGTTAAGTTGCTTGCGAGAAACCAGCTGAGTCACCTCGTTTTCAACTTGTTTGATGGCTTTTTCCCAGCTGTTGTTTTTATTCACCTAATCTGTATTTTTAACGTGATGAAAGGGAAAGAATTTCTTCGGACGTAGACACTGTCAACTTTGAGCTTCTTATAACTGCGGTCAAACCAAATATAGCAACAAGTGAAGTACACCAATATAAATATGACGAGCTGTGACTGGTCTAGGATAAGGCAAAACAGACAAATGGCTGCCTGAAATTTGCAAGCTGTTGCTCAATACATAGAATATTTACTTCGTTCGGTTCGTTTGAGCCAATAGTAGAAGCCGTGAAATGCAAAGCAAGTAATTCTGAAACCATTCTGTCATTCCCAATGTATGTTTTTGTTGTAGAATCTATCCTGTCCTCTCCAGTAGCCAGCAGCCTGTCCACCCTGCCATTCCAGTTGTTGTCCTCCCTGTTCCAGGATGATACATTGACTTCACTGGAGAGTGTGGCAGTTCAGAGGGCAGCTATGGAAGTTGGTGCCATACAGATGGTTTTACTGTGCCTGGCAGTGCTTAGTCACCACAAGCCGCGTGCATCTAACCACTCTCACAATCTGGCCCTCCAGGCACTTTCTGCTCTGACTGGAAGGTAAGCTTAATCCTTTCAACCCCAATATCCACGCACAAATTCTCCAGACTGGTCTGCATACATTTTCTTAAATAATTAGTTGGGAGAATTTGATATTATTTTCCTTTTGGTGACCATTTTATAACTTCTCATAACCTTTTCTCATGATGATGTAAGAATATTGTTAGGAGAACACTGAATGTTGGTCACTCGTGGGACTTAGAGGTGACGTTACGCAAGACGATTCGCAACGACGATTTTAAGGGCAACCCAGCACATTGTGGCGACATTAGTGTGTTTTGTAACTTGTGAATTTTGTGTGGATAAAATCCTGCGGTGCGATTCAAGTGAAACCTATTCAGCAGAACTTTCACATAGTAATATTTGTTTTTCCCGATTTTCCAAAGTTTGGACCATTCTGGGAGGAAAAGTTTAAACTTTTCTTTGTCCCATACTCGGGTCATGTCGAGCTATAACCTTTGAGATTGTCTTACTGTTCAGTCCTACCACTTTCTTTAATCTCCATTTCCTTTCTCACGGTACTACAATGTTGTTCGCTTGTCCCGAAGAAATATAATCTATTTTCCTTTCCAGCGTATGTCGTGATAACGATACAGGGTCAGGCAGTGAGAGGAGCTACTGGGCTAAAGGAACAGGCTTTGGCACAGGCTCCACCTCCTCTGGCTGGGATGTGGAACAAGCCATGCTGAAACAAAAAGCTGAAGAGGAACATGTTACTTGTCTACTACAGGTAAAAAAAAATCAGTTGATAGCCATTTTTGTGCGTTTTGATGGGGTGCCGTATTAAAACGTCTCGTCTCAAGACAGTTTCGGAAGACGAGATTTTGAGATGAATGAAGCAGCTGTACCGACTTATACCAAGAAAGCGATAAAAGTTAGCTTTTATTATCGATGTTTATTGGAAGGTAGAATTTTTTTTCTTTTCCTTTCTTTTCATTTCTTTCATCCTGTTGTAGGTTGTCAGTGATGTCGTCATGGTTAAGCTCCTTATGCGAGTGCCCAGCCACTACCATGGTAGCACCTGGTCAGGTGCAGGCAGTAGCTGCCGTAATCTGGAAGGCCAAGGACACCGAGTCTGAATCCATTGTTACCAGAACATTTTCTGAGACGCTTTTCAGGTGCGTTGCTGTGTTAACCAAACTGTTAGTAAATTGTATCAAATATTTCAAAGTTATCCTGAAGCTCTAGTCCGCTACATGGCCGTTTTTAGTGTCTTCAAGCAACGCTCCTCCCCAGTTATGCGACGAAACTAAAAACTGCTCCATTGTGCGTGCCAAAATAGTCTGAATTTGATATGTACCCTCTCCAGTGTACTGTAGCGCTGGGAACATCGACGTATTGTCAACTGAAGCTTTTGTCTTTTACATTTGTGAAGGAAAGCCCTGTTACAGTACAGGTTGACAATGAAGTGTCCGCATCAACGAGGTTGACTTTCCACGAGAATCTGTTGATTGGGCAAGAAAGAGAGTGTCGGTTGTCCGTATTAACGGGTGTCCGTATTAAGCGGATTCAATTTAGGGAAAATGTAAGGGCTTTCCCGAGGGACAAAGAAAAGCGTCCGTAATAACGAGGTGTCCGTAAAGCTGGGTTTGACTGTATTGGAGAAAACGTCAGAGAGTGGTGGGTGAGTAGGCTGAACTGCTGTTCGGAAAATAAGCCTGCGTTACCCCCCACCCCACCCCGTGAAAAAGACTCTCTTCTCGGGAAAGAACAAGACAGGACCCGAGAAGACGGCTGATGGCTTTACAGTTCTTGTGTCACCCCAATGTTTTTGTTTCCAGGTTATGCTGCTTTTACGCGAAAAATTCATGCTTCTGAAGCCTTTTCTTAAATTTTATTTCCCTTTCTTTTCAGGAGGCTGTTTGAGTTGTCTCAAAATGTTAGCGATCAAGATTCTTTAAAGCAAAGCATTGACCACCTCATCGGTGCATTAACATACATCTGTCCAGAGTATTATGAGGTACTTTTGGAGTTAACTGGGATCAAGAACCTGCTACAAGAACATCACAAGAAAGAAGGAAACAAGGATCGCATGTGGTCAACCCTTTTGTCGCCTCCATCGCGGCTTGTAACACTTGCAACCGCTACTCAGTCCTCCATCACAAGCCGGATGCTGTTAAATTCTGGCCTTCTTGAACTGTGCGTTGAAGCCATTGTAGACTTCTGTCATTCGATTGGAGATTCGACCCAAGATTCGTCTGTAGTGAGCTCACCAGAAAGGAAAAATGGTGTCCCTGTTAATCTGCTGCCACATCTTTTGCGTTTTCTCACATCTTGTTGCCAAGAACCAGCGATCAAGGATTGGATGGGAGAAGGTGGTTACCAATTTTGGTTTCCTCTTTTATCGAAACTCTGCGGGGGTCATAGTGACTACAGTAATTTGCAAGGGAGATTACCAGGCATAGCGTCTTCCATCTCAAGGTACAGTAGCTTCGCGGTTGAAGTCGCAACCCTTGAACTGCTGTGTAGTTGTGTGCGTTTTCATCCTCGAAATCAAGAGAAAATGGCCTGCCTTTTGGTTGAAATTATCGAGGGACAGGGTTCTTTGTCGTCATCAAACTTGTCGAAGAAATCAGTGAATACTACTCGAGTCAGTGGCTTCATCCGACAGTTGATCTTGAAGATGTTGTTGGAGGACGAAACAATTCCCATCTGTTTGCATGTTGAAAATGATTCAAACTTACAGTCGTTTAGAGGGACGGATTTTTATCATAGACCTGGTTGGCACCCTCGCCTTGGAGCAGGACACTCATTCGTGTTGCTTTCTGCTAAAATGTCATCAAATCTTCAAGAACTAAGCAGGCAAATTCTTTTACCTCAATCAGAAAAACATGTTGAGACAATTCCCGAGGAAAAGACCTTTAAGTCGTCAGCAGAAGGAAGTACAGACCCATGTGACTTTGGTCTGTACGAAGGATTTGAATTTCTGGAGTCTGTTAGTCTTGCTGCGGGGCTGAACGTAAAGAACAAAAGGGCGGATAAAAGTGACAATTTATCGACAAAGGACAATCCTACTACTTTACAGAGTATCAATCAAAAGAGTAACTTATCTTACTCACTTTTTCATGAGATCTTTGGTGATAAGTCTTTGCCACAGTCTTGGACATTGGCCCAATTAATGCAGTCCTTGATAAACAGTGGACTCCCTTGTGGAAGTTCGTTTCTTGAGCTGACCTGTAGGAAGCAAGAAGAAACGAAGTTGGTAGATTCCTTGCCAACTGTCACGTCGTTGTCGACTCCCCTGGACATCTTTGCTAAACAGGATGGGCTTGCGCAGTTGTCAATTCACTTGCCACGCCACATCATTGTCTCCCCCTCAGTTATACCAGCTACAGACCTCGAAGAGAGGGATGCTGATAACAATGGCGTAGGTAGACTACCCTCGTACCCCACCCAGCTTCCGCTGCCTCTGGTTTCTCTCCCCGCATCAGTTGCCAGTACTGTTCCAGCTCATTCTCTTGTTGCATTTGGCTTGTTCATTCGCCTTCCAGGGTACAACAAAGTGCTTCTACAGGATCGTCGCAGAGCTCGCTATCTTCTGAGGCTGCTTATGGGCACCAAGCAGGATAGTGATGGAGGTAAGAGGTCACAGGTGGTTTCGCCTGAAAGTAGATTCGCCCGAAGTTGTTTCGCCCAAACGTACGTCGATTCGCCCGATGTTTGTTTGTCGTTCTTTAGGCCTAAAAAAAGGATTAAGCCTGAAAAGACTGACTGTACATGTGGATCAATAACTTTTTCTTGTGAAAACTTCACACAAAATATATATATCAAAGCACTTTAAACCCTCGACTTCGATTTAGTGAGAGAGTGATCTGGTAGTTCACTCTTTTAACCTGGGCTTTGATGTCCTGGTAGCCTGGGACCAGGCTCCGCAGTGGGGGAAAAAGGTAAAACACCGGGGTCAAATAGGAAAAATATAGGACTCTCGGCTCGCTTCGCTCGCCAAGCTGTTTTCTTCGCCAACGTCGATTTTTTTCTCCTTTTTCCCACAGTGCGGAGCGTGGTCCCAGGCTAATGTCCAGGACACTATTTGATTAAAGTCTTCACGTTTCAAACTCGTTTAGGCCGGTTAAGTAAACATTTACTATAGAGTGCTTGAAGGTACACAAGCGACTAACGTTAAGTTGCTTGCGAGAAACCAGCTGAGTCACCTCGTTTTCAACTTGTTTGATGGCTTTTTCCCAGCTGTTGTTTTTATTCACCTAATCTGTATTTTTAACGTGATGAAAGGGAAAGAATTTCTTCGGACGTAGACACTGTCAACTTTGAGCTTCTTATAACTGCGGTCAAACCAAATATAGCAACAAGTGAAGTACACCAATATAAATATGACGAGCTGTGACTGGTCTAGGATAAGGCAAAACAGACAAATGGCTGCCTGAAATTTGCAAGCTGTTGCTCAATACATAGAATATTTACTTCGTTCGGTTCGTTTGAGCCAATAGTAGAAGCCGTGAAATGCAAAGCAAGTAATTCTGAAACCATTCTGTCATTCCCAATGTATGTTTTTGTTGTAGAATCTATCCTGTCCTCTCCAGTAGCCAGCAGCCTGTCCACCCTGCCATTCCAGTTGTTGTCCTCCCTGTTCCAGGATGATACATTGACTTCACTGGAGAGTGTGGCAGTTCAGAGGGCAGCTATGGAAGTTGGTGCCATACAGATGGTTTTACTGTGCCTGGCAGTGCTTAGTCACCACAAGCCGCGTGCATCTAACCACTCTCACAATCTGGCCCTCCAGGCACTTTCTGCTCTGACTGGAAGGTAAGCTTAATCCTTTCAACCCCAATATCCACGCACAAATTCTCCAGACTGGTCTGCATACATTTTCTTAAATAATTAGTTGGGAGAATTTGATATTATTTTCCTTTTGGTGACCATTTTATAACTTCTCATAACCTTTTCTCATGATGATGTAAGAATATTGTTAGGAGAACACTGAATGTTGGTCACTCGTGGGACTTAGAGGTGACGTTACGCAAGACGATTCGCAACGACGATTTTAAGGGCAACCCAGCACATTGTGGCGACATTAGTGTGTTTTGTAACTTGTGAATTTTGTGTGGATAAAATCCTGCGGTGCGATTCAAGTGAAACCTATTCAGCAGAACTTTCACATAGTAATATTTGTTTTTCCCGATTTTCCAAAGTTTGGACCATTCTGGGAGGAAAAGTTTAAACTTTTCTTTGTCCCATACTCGGGTCATGTCGAGCTATAACCTTTGAGATTGTCTTACTGTTCAGTCCTACCACTTTCTTTAATCTCCATTTCCTTTCTCACGGTACTACAATGTTGTTCGCTTGTCCCGAAGAAATATAATCTATTTTCCTTTCCAGCGTATGTCGTGATAACGATACAGGGTCAGGCAGTGAGAGGAGCTACTGGGCTAAAGGAACAGGCTTTGGCACAGGCTCCACCTCCTCTGGCTGGGATGTGGAACAAGCCATGCTGAAACAAAAAGCTGAAGAGGAACATGTTACTTGTCTACTACAGGTAAAAAAAAATCAGTTGATAGCCATTTTTGTGCGTTTTGATGGGGTGCCGTATTAAAACGTCTCGTCTCAAGACAGTTTCGGAAGACGAGATTTTGAGATGAATGAAGCAGCTGTACCGACTTATACCAAGAAAGCGATAAAAGTTAGCTTTTATTATCGATGTTTATTGGAAGGTAGAATTTTTTTTCTTTTCCTTTCTTTCCTTTCTTTCTTTTTCCCGTTTGGTTTGTTTTTTTTGTTTGTTTTACTTCCTGAATTTGTATAGAATCGCAAATTATAAATTCATGTCTTAATCATAAATCTAACTCATTTATCAAACTGATTACGGTAAATACTAAAACAACTAACGGGCGGTACATAGCGCTAGATATATGCCTCGACGCTTCTCTTGTTCGGTAAAAATTCACTATTTTTCACCCTCCCTTCGGGGGACAGTTCACCTGTCCCTCCCCTAGGCCAACATTAACAATTACTTCTCACTTAAGGCAAAATGTTGGCTTAGGGGAGGGGTAGATGGGTAGTTGCCCAGAAAATTGCCAGCCTCATATTGAATAGTGAATACTAGGCCTCTCCAAATAGTTATTTGTAAGTGTGCTTATTTTGTAGGTTCTTGCAAGCTATATCAAGACCTTTAGACAAGAGCGCGAGACTAATGAAGTGGAGTGTTCAGAATCAAGCCTCGCGTTGTCACTGTTAGAGTTGTTGGGAGAATCGTGTCTGATTCCTGCTCTGTCGTCCTACCTGAGGAATGACTCCGGTTTGTAGATGTGCCTTGCTACAGTTAATATCATTTCTCCCGTGACAGTTATTTTTCTTAATTCTGAATTTACGGTTGTTTAATTCATTTGTTCCTGTTCATCTTTTGGTCGCGTGACAAACGTGTCCGTTATCACTCGACAAGAAGGGAGTCAAAAGCTCGTGCGAACTCCTGTCCTTAATCCTGATTGGATAGAAGGGAAACTCGGGGGTGTTTATATTGTAGGTAAAATCTGTTCTCCGGTCAAACCAGTGTTCGCCATAGTTTGATTCTTAATTTCCTGTGTTTTCAAGCCCTGGTTATTCACAGGAGACAAAGAAAATTGTGGTATAACTTGAGAGCGGTTTTTGCTGACAACATTTACAGCTTAACAGTATGTGGTGGAATCCCGTTAGTTCGAAGCTTCAGGGGAAACTGAAATTGGTTCCAAAGATTTTCTGGGAGGTTTGGACAATGAGACGTAAAATTACATCGTCTGGTTGGTTTTAGCACTGCACGAAAAAAATGGATTTACACAAATTTACTCCGTGCAAATATGGTGCAAAAATGTGCAAACGGAGGGAAATCAAAAGCAAAGATGGTAAATACCACATTAGCTTGCCAGTTTACATGGGGTTGTAAATTTGAGGGCAAATGCGGTATTTACCATCTTCGTCCTTTATTTAACCTTAGTTTGCACTTTCTTGCACCATATTTGGACTAAGTAAATTTGGTGTGAATCAAATTTTTCGTGCAGTGCATGGTTTGAATGAGTATTCGGAAGGTTCAAGAGACTAACGGTCCTAGACACTCCCTGCCGGAGTCACGGAGTAACGGAGCCATTGCTTTTCTTTTATTACAGTGCTGGACATGGCACGCCATGTTCCTCTGTACCAAGCTGTCTTGAATGTCCTCCGTGCCATTGCCTTGTGCCCAGTTCTCCTGCCTCTGTTGCTCCCTCGATCAAATGGTTATTCGCCAAGTCACCAAGACAGAGCTTCGTTAGAGGCCCCTTGTATAGCCACACTTCTGGACAAGATGAGGCAGTGTGTTGACACTTACTCTAGAACTTTACGGTTTGTATCTCAACATTCCTGATGACAATTTCACAATAAACAAGACGCTATCAAAACGTATACTTGGGCTTTGAACTGTAGGGTAGTTCTTATACTCTGAGCTTGGGCTTACTTTCGCAAGGGCGTGGTTGGTGTACAATGAGCCTACCGCCATCAGTGGCGGACTACGCACGCGCATCTGACTCCAATTGTGTTCAACGGCTAGACCAGATTCAAACTTGGCTATTCTATTGGACGCCCAATTTTACAAAAAGGATTAGTGAGCTCGTCCACAAATTACATGTACTTACCCCAATATTAAGCGTGTTTTAGACAGGTTGTACAGTTGCCTAAGTAACCTTTTAAACCATGAAATAACCTTAAGTTGTCTGGCAGTGATTTGTTACAACGGACGAATATAATTTGGATTGATCCGCGGAAGTCAGCTACCTTGTTAAAAGGAAGTAACCGTTCTTGTATTATTTTTTGACAGCTCAACTCAGTGGAAAAGAGAAGATCCTACTCCATCCCCCACCAGTGCGTCAAGCACCGCTGGTTCAAGTACAACAACCGAGGAAGACACTTCAGCAGGTGCTAGTCCATCGGGAACAAAGGCACAAATGCAAGGCTCAACAGAGGAAAAGAAGGATGCCGAGGCAGAAGGGCTAGCGCAACTTATACCGGACATCCAAGAAACTGCAAAGCTGTTGCAGCAGGTAGTTCAGAAATTTCGTAAGCAGAAGGCCGTCCACACCAAGTCAATGGAAGGAACCGGAAAGGAGCCTGAAAGCGAAGCTGCATCTCTCTCACCCGAAGAGAGGTATTTGGCCAGCATGAAACCTCTTCAGTTTGGTAAGTGTTGTCACGTTTTTGAGTTCCTCGTTGGGGTTGGGAAATGAATAGGGAGTCTGCCTAAGATGTCATGACGGCGACGGCACCAACAACGTAAAAAAAAGAATAGCTGTGGATTACCAAAAAGAACAACTTTGCACGTGCGGCACACTTTTTGATATATTTCTTTGGTGTTGCCGCACGACGAGGACGTAAAAATGCCTAATTTCGCGTCCTATGGAGGACGGAAATAAGTTAGGACGGATTTCTCCTGTTTTTGAACATGGATATTTTTGCGGAATTCAACTCCAGGAGAATTCGGCTACGTTTGACAAAGTGAGCAGGTTGGTATAATCGCGCTGAAGTTTTGAAAAACGCGAAGTCGCTTTTTAAATATTCAAACTCCCTGATGTGGGATTCATGACCGCGAAGAAACAAGAGGCTCATCATGGCGCGATTTTAATTGCTTAGGCCTTAGGCCTTCGCGCGTCCTTGTTTGTGTTTTTGGTCTCTGTCTGCCATGAACTATGCAAACAACATCTTAGAGGGATATTTTATTACAATCCTGTTGTCTTTTTCTTTTCTTACTCCGTCTTTCTTCTTAACAGGAACTCACAAGATTGTGGTCGAAAAAGATGGAAAGTTAGAGTTCGATTCTGGTGGCTACCATTTTGCGTCTTCCGTGCGGTCAGCGGGTAATGGTACTGGAAGTGGTGGCATGGTGCGGGCCAGACGTCTGGCACAGGAAGTGTCGTCATTAGCAACGTCACTTCCACTTTCCTGCAGTTCGAGTGTGTTTGTCCGTTGTGATAAAGAAAGACTGGATGTAATGAAGGTAATGACCAAACAAATGTGGAAGTCATCATGATGTAGTCCCGTTATAATTGTGAAGTTTAACGAAAGATAAAGGGTGTTTTTTTAGCGGATCTCAGCGCGCGCGCTAAGGGCAACCAATGTAAAATCTCACACTTTCTAGCTAGTGTGGGAGCCTGCAACCTTCTTCTGCACATCCATGTTGTGGTCAATTGACAGCTGTCAAAACAGGGTATCCGCTGACCAGTATTACATGACCATATCGCCGGCTCAGGTGCCGAGTCATCGAGGTTTTGTGTTTTTTTAAGTAATCCGCTGACAAGTTACTAGTTTTCAACCGACCGCATGCACAACTCTAAGTGGATTTCTTTGCGATGGTTACTAGTTTAAGTTATAAATCTATTCATGGGAGTTTCACTTTTAGCTGTGGGTAAATCCTTATTATTATCATTATTTTTAGGTGCTTATAACAGGTCCTTCGGATACTCCATACGCCAATGGATGCTTTGAATTTGATGTGTACTTTCCCCAGAACTACCCTGAATCTCCCATGTTTGTCAACTTTGAGACAACTGGTCATCACAGTATTCGCTTCAATCCAAACCTGTACAATGATGGAAAGGTAATGGTGCAAAGTCACAATTTGATGCGGTCGATATCATGCGTTTTATAACAAAGTTCAGATATAACGCGAACTCTGATTGGATGAAAACAGTGCTTTATGAGAGCATAAAAACACGGAGTTAAAACTGTCACCGCCATCTGCTAATACTTTCTTTTTAAAGCTGGAATTAAGTAATGCGTGGGGAATTTAACGGCTTCTTTGTCACATAGATAATGAAGCCTTGTCTGTCCTCTGTTCTGTTTCTCTCTGGAAGCGGCTAAATCACTCAAGAAGCAGGGAGTAACACGACTACATCTCTCTATTCGTTCGTGCTCTTGCCGCTTCCTGCGTGCTTTACAATAGAACAGAGCACAGTCAAGGCTTCTTTATTTGTTAACTAGAATTTGACCCATTTAACCCATAGTGAGAGCAGGCAGACGGCTCTGAAGGCTAATTTGTCGTATTTCTTATGTGGCAGGTTTGTCTAAGTATCTTGAACACTTGGCACGGTAGACCAGAGGAGAAGTGGAATCCACAGAACTCAAGCTTTCTTCAAGTAAGTGAAGAACAGCTCCTATTCTTTACTTTCACGGTTGCATTCATTGTTTTCAATCCAAATGGCCTGTCTCCGACGTAGAAATAGGGCGGCGCGCAGGGTGAGACTTAAGGAAAAAGCGGCGCAGGAACCTATTTTGTCTCCGATCATCCTATTTCGTTACGTTCCCCACGATCGCCCGGAACAAACTTAAATCCAACGTGAAGTTGTGTTAGGTTTTTTTTTCTCCCGCATTTAGCCTTTTCCACCTTTTTTCCCCTCAAGTTAAAGTTCGTTTACGTCAGTTATGCTTGGTGAACGTTCTTAGCCTAAGAGTTTTTCCAACCTATTGTAGGTTCTGGTGTCAATTCAATCGCTCATTCTGGTTCACGAGCCATACTTCAATGAACCTGGGTACGAGAGGTCGAGGGGTACACCCGCTGGCCAGCAGAATTCGAGGGAATACGACGCCAACATTTGTCAAGCAACTGTACGCTGGGCTATGCTGGAACAGTTAAGGAAGCCTTCGCCCTGTTTTAAACAGGTCAGACTAGAGTCTATTGTAAATATAGACGCTGATCAACAGCACATTCTCATTGAAATTCATTAGATCGGCGGTAAAATGGGGACGAAGAATCGCCAATTTGGTCCAGCACATGCGTCATTCAGGGGCAGCAATTTGTAAAACCTCTATTAACCGATTTAATCCTAGACGTTTTGCCATAAACGGCATTTTCAGTAGCTTAAAGCTCAAGTAAACATTTCTTCCGGGTTGCATTGAAGCTACTATGTAAGTTTACGGTGTGGACGTAGCTGATTTCAAGCTTTCGGGTCTAAAAGACGAAAACTTGTCACTATGCTACATCAGCCCAGTGCTCTGAACTAGGACAAGTTTTTTTTTCTCGTGTTGTTAAGAATTTGAATGATACTCAGGGCGTTTGTTATGTCTTGTGCATACAATTAGGTTATCCAAGCGCACTTCTACTACAAGAAAGATGAAATCCTGGCACAGTGCGAACGATGGATCAAAGACACAGAGAGTCTTTTAGCCGGGAGACCCGTGGGGCGAGCCATATCTCATCATGTACAGTCCTTGAAGCAGAACACAGTTCTGCTGAAACAGGAGCTGGAGAAGCTAGAACCGCCTCCTGAACCCAGGGAAGGGGAGGAGGACAGTGATGAAGATAGTGATTGACACTGTCACTCACTCAATAATAATTAACATTGTCACTCGCTCAATAACGGAATCGACAGTTGCAGCAACTGTTTTATTCACAGAGTATTCGGCGCGGTTAAGTGTTAACCTCCATAGGCGCTGTGGTTTATTGTGCAATTCAAGACGTCATTTGCGAAATGCGAAATGAGCTTTGACACACGTGGAACCGACACGTTTCATTTACCACGCCTAAGAGCATTTAAAATACGCGAAAACTACTGCCAGGTATTTATCCTTCAAAGGAGCAGGATGTGTGCGTGCGTGCGTGGTATAACATGACTACTGGGCCATTGCTGTGTAAAAGTAAAGGACGCGATTGCGTGTGGGACATCAAGCGGTAATATGAAATCACTTTGTTTCCTTGTTTGTACACCGCATTTACTGAAAAGAAAGTAACTGCTTTACCATCAAACAAGAACAAGCTGAGTTATCGAATCACTGACTGAACGATAAGATGTGATAGTTTCTTGCCAGCGTCAACATTGTAATCATATTCCAACTCGATCTGGCTTCGGTTTCATTCCCAATTCACCAGGTCACCTTTGGAAATATCGTTGCACTCTTGGGCATGTTCTCTAATTAAGCAAACCTTAAAACTAAACTCTGATTCGAAAAAAAGCTAGCTAGAAGATGCAGCTAGCTTTAAAGCAAGCACATAAGGTTGTGTGCGATCCTTCCGTGGACCAGTTTCAGTTCCGACATTTTTAGTTAATTACCCAAAACATAATATGGATATGTGATTTGATTAACAGATTATTTTATTACATTGGGGTATCCGAACTCTACGGACGCACCGCACTATATAAGTGGTATTTGTTTAAAGACTCCTGACTTCATCCCCTACGTAATTTTGATTTACATAGTATCCTCATGAATTACTGTAAATTGTATAGAGACCAGTGCGCTATAAGGGCAACTAAATGGTTTCAAAGATAAATAGATGTCTCAACCAGTGGATACTAGATGGAGGGACTGAATCGCAACAGCTAAAACCAGGCCCCAGTTGTTCAAAAGCTGGATAGCGCTATCCACCGGATAAATCACTATCCAGTGGATAAATACTAGGGAAACCAATTGCGCTGTCCAGTGAAATGCAATTTCACCTCATAATAGTTTCAGTCCTTTTAAAAACGTGTGAGAAAGATCATGGAGATAGCTCCAGCCGATTGCGTGCCTCCGTGGATAGAGGTTTATCCAGTGGATCGCACTATCCACTTTTTGAACAACCGAAACCAGATGTAGTGACCAGCGGGGTTTGGCAGAGGTTTTCAATGTCGTAGGGTCACAAAGGTGGTTTCAGTATATGTTGTAGAGAATTTCTGTACTGGGGGGTGGGGCTCCGAAAAGCTGATTGGTGCATTCGCCGCTTTAAAAACGGGAAAGGAACTAGTGCCGAAATATGCCCTACAAGTGTTTCTGGGATAGATACTGGGGACGCGCCGGTCAGCTATTGGCCATTTTTCTCGTTCCCAGTAACAGTTTCACAAGACCAATATTAACACTGATGGACACGTGTCAACTCCGCGGTATGGCCATTACCTGTCCATGGCCGCCACTACCGGGGTGATATGGTTGTGTGCATGCTTAAGGGGAATGGCCATACCGCGGAGTTGGTACAGTCCCACAAGTCTTGGCAACCGTTTACTTGGACCAGTTCCCAAAGTGGCGAATTCTGCCCACTTCGACAAGCACCTTGAAGGTTTGCGTAAAATCTGTAAATTTATTTAAACATAGTTAGGTACTAACTATGATTTAAATGCACAGAGTTCGTGTCAGGACTACTGTGATTAAATATAAGCTAGTTACCTGCGCAGGTATCAAACGTTAATAATTTTTTTAATTATTCACTGTGAATAGCCAATTCGTCTTTTTAACATTAAGCAGCTTGACTCAATTTAGCTCAGTGCTTTTGCTCTCGGTCGAAAAGTTGTACTTAAGTTCCTCCCTCTCGGCTTTGAAGAGGTTGAGAATGCTAGGGTAGGGGAATGAAGCCATTCATGCCAAGTAAATTTTTCTTCTCTATCTAATAAACTTGTTTCTGTTAATCACGTCATGATTTAGTACCTTTTTGGGAAGAAAAAGTGGGTAGATAGGTAATTGTCTACCAGCTTCAAAATAAGCCATAAGGTATTTAGAGGTCAAGCGTCCTCTCCATGAGATCATGGTCACGTGACCACCTTTTTTTTTTACTTTCATGTTGTTACAAGGGATACACTGTTAAGTTTTGTATAAGTAATTCATAGTGGCCATTGTTCCAAGTTACGAAATTGCCAACAACATTTTTCATCTTCCTCAGAGTCTCCCTATCATTTCACGATAGGTGGCTTGCTCTTGCCAAAAAAAATCCCTCAGAACTTTATATCTTGACATATGCTCCCACACTATGTTTAAAGTATTTCTGGCGGTAGGGTGGCAAAATCTCCATTATTGTATCGTTGCTCTTCGCAAGGAACTGGCCGGAATTGGTAACTCTTATTTTTACTTGATTTGTACTAATAATTAAGCAAAACAGGTCATTCGACACTTTTCACCGGTTAATATCTTTTGAATCAATTAAAACTTTTCCCGTTCCGACCACAGAAAATCTATGTGTAATAAACCAAACATCGCCCATCGCTACCCTTTTTAGAATCTTATTTTGAATATCAATATGGCGTCACGATTCACGCGACTACATCGGTTCAACCCTAATCAACAAGACACATCGAATTAGAGTTTCCGAAAGTTCCCATTTAGTTTAAAAACTGAATGGTAGTCAGAGGAAAACAGTTCCATTTACCAAAAAGTGAGCCATGCTTAACATAATTGAAGGAAGGGCCGGCGTTGCACGTTACGTACAATGAGGGACAAAAGTGTTGACACACTACCCTAAAATGGCAGCATTTTTGCTTAGTAGACATGTCTATCCCCTCCCATGAAATCAATGTTGTATATTCCCTCGGACTTACACGCAAATTCATACCCCCACCGTGGTACAATGGGGGGGGGGGGGGGGGGGGGGGGGGTCCCATAGAAATGGTTGTGAGAAAAAAATTTCACAAACTTACAATTAGCATTGTGATTTCGATCAACCCCCCCCCCCCCCCCCCTTTACCCCGGGGGGGGGGTAAATTTTGGGTGAGACCCCGGGGGAAAAAAAAAAAATTTTTATGTGGGGGGGGGAGAAGGGTCTTTAAAAAAAAAAAATGCCCCTTTTGGGGGTGGGGTTGCAAAATTTTTTCCCCCTTTTTGTCACAAGACATGTCAACACCCCCGACTGAAATCAATGTTTATCTTCCCCTGGGGCTCCCAGCAAAATATTACCCCCCCCCGGTGTAAAAGGGGGGGGGGGGGGGGGGGTTGATCGAAATCACAATGCTAATTGTAAGTTTGTGAAATTTTTTTCTCACAACCATTTCTATGGGGCCAACATCAACATGCACAGCGATCATAGTTTTATACATCATTTTAGTTGATCAAGCCTTTTTATATGTATATTTCAATTTGGTTGAAGATGACATTGCTTACATAGAAGTCTTTTAAAAGCTTTTCGAAACTCCTTGTTCCTAGCGCAGTAAATTAAAGGATTACAGACCGAGTTACAGAGCGCAAGAGATCTAAAGGCGTATTCCATTACGAATTTCATAGCGGGTGAACTCAAGAAAGGCATCATAAAAAGTCGAAATAGAAACAAAGGCACGAACGAAAGCAGGACCACTCCAATAACAATTCTCGTAGTGTTCAAAGCTTTCTTTTCTTTTAAAAATGTTTCTTTGGCCTCGGTGGAGATTTGTTGAGAAGCGATTTTGAGCATCTGCGAACGAGCTTCTCGATAAACGGCAATCTGACAAAAGATGAGGATAGAAATACTAGCAACTATTAAGATAACGCGAAAAACAGAGTTGAAGACATTGTTAAGCGAGAATATATAAGTCAGAACAGTCATCAAAGCAGCAACTGACCAAACAGTGACCGCGCTTGCGACCAAGCGATATTTGGTGATAATTTCAGGATATTTGTAAGGGTGCATAATCGCGAGGTAGCGTTCGATGCTTAGCAACGCTAAATGTTGAATAGAAGCAGTTACAGACGTTACAGTGACGGCTCCCTCTAGGAGGCACACGGAGTAAGAATCCACCGAGCTTCCTCCAAGACGGCGTGTTTGTTTTGCCACCGTCAGCGGCTGTCCAATGGCGCCAGTCATCAAATCGGTTCCAGCTAAAGAGGCCAGCAACATGTTGCAATTGGTTTTCAGCCGCGGAGATGTCTTGACGGCTATCATTACCAGGACATTTAGAAATATAGTACAAGCAGACATAAGCAGATTGATGACAGATAAGAAGATAAGCGATACAGTCACTGGGGTGGTTAGATATGCTGGAAGCCAATCAGGCATACCATCGTAGACGTAACTGCAAACATCTAATTGCGATATCTGCTTGGAAGAGTTTGTCATCTTCAAAGGCCTCAAATTTCAAATTCTCGCCGTCCGCCGCAATAAAGACTTCATGTAGCGGTGTTGCGTTTTTAAAGACAAGATTAATTAACAGAATAAAAATAAAGGATGCACTCTTCTACTTCTTAAAAGTGAAAGGAAGTTATTCTTTGTTTCAGTGTAGTCCCAAGGAAGTAAAACAAGTGTTTTTATGAAAGATCTTTTTTTTTAAAAGCTTATGTTATTGTCGATGGCACTTTTTTTTTTGTTAAAGCTGTCACTGAAACAACAAAAAATTTTGATTTTAATTCTATAAATGTGTATTTGCACGAGTCTGTCACTGATTTGTTTGTCAATGCCCAGGATCAACCAAATTGTGCAAACTTTGCACGGAGAATTTTCGAACAAGTATGTTATTACGCATTATTACGGTAGTACATAAATTATTAACAAAAATACCAAAAAAATAAGTGTCCATTCAAAATTTGATAGACTAGTGCCACATTTAAAAACTAACTATAGTTGATGAGAAATTTGGAAAAGTGTTTCTTTTCTGCATATGCCTTAAGATGAACAGTATTTGCTCGTTATTTTTGTCAGGAAACTTCCGTAAACTGCTGCTTATGAGCCGCTCCCAGGTAAAGGCCCATCTACCTGTAACTAAAAATACATGCCATTATACGCCCTCCCTCGCCCCCTCTTCCCAAATATAACCCCCTCTAAAAATATATTGCATCTTGAAGCTTATAAACCAGTAAATGCAAGACGTATTTTAATCAGTACTATTATAGCCTGTTTCGAAGTGCATTTTTTTATTTCGGTTGAAAGAGCCCCCTCGGATATAAGCTCCCTAGGATATAAGTCCCCTCGGATATAAGTCCCCTGGGATATAAGCCCCCTCGGAAAGAAGCCCTTCCAAAACACCTTACGAAGATATATAAGCTCAGGGCTAATAAGCAGCTGCTTACAGTATACAACAAGAACCCATGCCACTGTCTTGTCTTCCTTAGACAAAACTGTCCCCCCCCCCCCTCCCTTTTGAAGAGTATCACGAATACCGTTTAGTGAGGCAAAGTAATATTAGCATAATAGTTGCCTGTAGTAATCTTTTCAATGGCTACATGTTAGTAAGTAAGGAGAAGCGCAAGCGACAGTTGAAAGCCATTAGTTCAAAAGGCTGGGTTTTCTCATTGTACCCTTTTTGTTTGCTAACTGAATACAAACCTAGAATTTCTACTGCCATTAAAATCGGTTGTCAAACTGTCAGACTATAGCGTGGAATGGCTGTCAGCAAGGTTGAATTGCGAACGATTATTTAGGAAGTTTTAGAATCGTGAAGCTTGCGTCAAAAATAAATATTAAATAGAAGTAATTTATGATAATAAAACACCTTCCTTTTTGCACAACAGTTGAAACCATTATGCAAACACTGTGGTTTTAATTGCATCGGAAATGATAACTGTGTTTGATCTGGATGCGGCCTAAATGAGAAAAAGAAACCGAGAAAATGTATCGGTCAAATCGTTCTTGTCTCAGGCTGGAAAGAATTTTATTAACACTGTACATAAACGTATATGTATTTCCATACTTCGGTCTTGCGAAAGTCGCGGAGTTTAATCATTTATCCTACAACAAAACTTATTTTGTTGAAGAGAAACTGTTAGTATTCACCTTTTATAACAAGTTGTTTTGTATGCACTTGGTTAATTAATTTCAAATAATATATCAAAATCAATACTAAGCTGCACCGTCTATTTCTCTTGATTGAATGTAAAAATATTTCTAATTTACTAAATGAAACGAGTTTAGAAAATTTTTTCCCCTTTACTTTCCAAAATAAGGGCCTGAGAAATTTTCAGCTCTCACCGGCTGCTTCGAAGTATCTTACTAAGTTGATTTTAGACTTTTGTATTCCCCAAAATAAACGTAATTCACTATTATTTGTCAAACTAAATCGAGTAATGAATGGCGGTTGCCCATTGGCAACCCAACCCCCTCCCCTTAAGTGCTCCTTGTAAAAATATTTCTTCCCAGTGGAAATATTATGTAGGGGCGTGAATCGTGAAGAAAAAGAACACGAAATTAAAAGATTTCAGTTAACAACTTCTTTAATACCCTTGATTTTGGTTAAAACAAAGAACTTGGATTTCAGTGTTTTATTATCTTTTTAAATGTTAGCAAGTAAGGAGTACTGCACGAATGACAGTTTAAAGTTATTAGTTCAAGAGGTTGAGTTATTTTCTTGCCCCTTTTTTGACCCCTTCAAGAGACAGCCGGATTCCGTGCTGACAGATTTCCGCACCCATTAAACCTACTGCCAAGTAACACAATGTTCAATGGCCATTGCCGAAAAAGTGCTTCGAGAGCATATTGTTGGAGAAGAAGCTTTCAGTAATCAGTTACAACTTTTAAGAGAAAACCCAGAGAGCTTTGTCAGAACAAATTTATAGGAGTGTTTTGCAGCCGAACAATTTTATGTCATTTGCGGTAAATTTGGATTTAAAGGAAATTTTTCTCTCTGAACTACAAAAGACCGAGAAAATGTTATCTAAATGAACGTACAAACCTACCATTTTAATAAGAATGAGTCTCTTTGATTTTCACGCGGTCTTTTAATAACCATTCCTTTAATAAATCATTACATTAGAGCCGCCATATTGTTTTTCGTACCTTGGATTTTATTTTCATGTACTGCCGGTTTACGTATTAGTTAATTACTTTTACAAATTATTTCCTTTTGGAAAAGATTGATGAAGTTTTCTTTTATCCGTTGTCCTTTCACTTTTTCAAGCCGGTCCTATCTGGTTTTGCCTACGTAACAGTCTTTCAAAGGCCTTTCGGAACTCCCTGTTCCTAGCGCAGTAAATTAGAGGATTACAAACTGAGTTACAAAGCATAAGCGATCTACAGGCGTATTCCGTCACCAATTTGGTAGCTGGTGAACTCAAGAGGGAGATAAACATAAATCGTTGTAATATGATAGGCAGAAATGAGAACAGAACAACTCCAATAATAACTTTCGTGGTGTTCATAGCTTTCTTTTCCTTTAAAAATACTTCTCTGGCCTCCTTAGAGACTTGTTGACTTTTTATTTTACGCATCTGAGCGCGAGTTTCTCGATACACAGCAATGTGGCAAAAGATCAGAATAGAGATACTGATTACAATTAACAAGGCGCGAAATGAGAAAGGGAAAATGTCTTTAACAGATAACACAACAGTCAAAGCTGCGAACGACCAAGCAAAAACCGCGCTTGAAATCAAGCGACGCTTGGTCATAATTTCGAGGTATTTGTAAGGATATGTTATGGTGACGTAGCGTTCAACGCTTAGTAGCATCAAATGTAGTATGGAAGCGGTGATAAAATATACACCGGTGATCCTTGAAATGTTATTTAGGAGACAAACTTTGTAGAAATGTGCCGAGTTTCCAGAAAGGCGATATATTTGTTCTACAACAACAGGTGGCTGTGCCATCGCGCCAGTCATTAGGTCGGTTCCAGCTAATGAGGCCAGCAAAATGTGGTAGTTGCTTTTTAGTCTTGGCGACGTTTTGACCGCAATCATAACCAGGGCATTTAACACCATAGTACAAGGAGACACGATCAAATTGATGACGGATATGAAAATCATTGATGCAGTCACTAGGGTGGTTAGATATGATGGCTGCCATTCAGGCATTCCATCGTGGACATACTGACTGCATGACAAATCTGACTGCGATGTCTGCTTGGAAGAGTTCATGCTCAAGGCCTTACAATTTCAAATAAAGTCTTGCCATCCACTGCAATATCGACTCGCGATGATGTTTGTTTTATACGGGTGAATGACGTACACTTGGACTACTTTTAAAGGAACTATATCTATTAAGACCCATTAAGCGACCACCCTCTTTTAAGCTGCCAGTCATCAAAGTCCCGAGATAATTGTAGAATAGAATGGGGAATTAAACGTCTTTTAAAAGACCAGCTCTATCAAGCGGCCGCGGCCATCTTTGACCGTCCCAACGAGAGTTCTTCCATTGTTGTCACCTTTATTAGGCGGCCATCAAGTGCTTGATACATTTTGTTTAGCTTTATTTCAAGAATAGGTAGGTAAAGGCGCACACGAGCCAAAGGCCCACACGGCCGGAGCTTATTTCTGGTTTTTGTAGCAAAGCAAGCCTTGGAGTATTGCTACTTCCCCCTGTGCGGGATGCTAGTCCATTCCAGGGTTACCCCGCAGAAGTATGTCACCGGTACACATTTATACACCTGGGTGAAGAGAGACAAAGTGGAGTAAAGTTCCTTGTCTAAGGAAACAACGCGACGGGGGAGGCTTTCAACCCCGGACCTGCAGATCCTGAATTCGAGGTGTTAACCACTCGGCAACACACGCCTCCAATATGATAAGGAAAATACAGTCCGAGATGGAAGTTGAAAACCGATTGTTGTCCAGTGATGCTGCATCCCGTCGCGTTTTTGTTTCAAGATAAAGTGCGATGTTTCTGCTAAAGCCATTACGTTAATGTTATATTAATTTATGACAAACCTCTATTGAGCGGCCAAGTCGCCATTAAGCGCCAACTTACGGGTATTCAAAGGGTGGCCATTTAATAAAGGTCCAACGTAATTTTTTCCAGTAGAGAATAACAAATAGTTTTCTTACATATGTCGATGCTGATTGCACTTATTGGTAAATGCTTTGAATTGTTGATGGAGTTGTCACTTAATGAAACTTCTTAAAAGTAATGTAACATATTTAGTTCATTTCCTCAGGAACCTATTTGGTCGAGTACCTCATAATTTTCCACCAGAACTTTTTGGCTCAGCCAAAGCCGGATAACCGTTTGGAACTGTCATTCAGGATGAATAGCTTACCAAGATTGTTCCAGCCTTGAAAGGCAAAAGTTTATGACAAGTTTTTACAATAGCGCGTAACGTTCTGACTAAAATGAGAAAATTGGTAGTTTGCTATGCAAAGATATAATAGAGTGTGGCATTTAAAACTTAACAACGGTAATTAACTAACAAAATTGGCAAAACATTTCGTTGTTGTACAGTTTGCTAATTGATTCCGGTTGGATTAAAGTTCCTGGATTTCGATATTGTGCAATTTTTCAACGACTAAAAGTTAGTAATAAATGCTAGCCGAAATAACAATTGAAAAGCATTACCTCAAGAGGGTGATAGGTTATAATTTTCTTTTATGTGCTTGAATCCGTGCTGACCGATTCCCACAACAATAAATAGTCTAAACTTAATTGAAGATATGATAGTCACAGTGGTAATTGCAACTGAAAATTAACCCGAAAAATAGCAAGTAAGGAGTACTGCACAAATGACAATTTAAAGCCATTAGTTTAAGAGGTTGAGTTACTTTCATGCCTCCTTTTTGATCCCTTTAAGAGAAACTCACTGCCAAACAACACAATGTTCAAAGGCCATTGAAAAAGTGTCTTTGAGTTGGAGAAGAAGTTTTCAGTAATCAGTGACAACTTTTAAGAGCAAAACCCAGAGAGTTTTGTCATTACAAATTTGCAGGAGTGTTTTGCAGCCGTACAAATTTATGTTCTTCTCGGTAAATTTGGATTTAAAAAAAATTTTTCTCTCTGAACTACAAAACGGCACCGAGAAAATGTTGTTTAAATAAACGTATAAACCTACTATTTTAATATGAGTGAATCTCTTTGATTTTAACGCTGTCTTTTGGTAACCTTTTCTTTAAGAAATCATTACATTAGAGCTAACCTAGTTGAATCAAATTTCCCACGCGGCACGACCAATCAGAGGCCGCTAACTACCCAGATCTGGGTAGTGACGCGTCATCAGTATGCAATTTCTGCGCTCGTTTCTCAGGCGTCATTTGGCGGGAAACTAGTGATGGCGTTGCCAAATGTTGGCTGTTTTCTCAGGCTACGTTAGAGCCGCCATATTGTTTTACGTTCCTTAAATCTGACCATTTGGTCACCGTCGACTGCAACACCGACTCGTAATGTTATTCCTTGAACAAAGGCAAAATTATATAAAATAAACAGCCAAACTGATAGCTATCATTTAACTTTGACCACTTTATTCTTGACCACTTCATTCTTTGTGTCATTAGATCAGTGGAGACCCATTGAAGTTAAACTAGTTTTCGATTGATACATGATAGTGATGCTGATTACACTTAAGTTTATTATCAAGGTTGTAACTTAAGAGACTTCTTAAACCTTTATAAACAATATTTATCACAAAATTTACTCCAAGAGCCTAAAGGGCTCATCTAGAGAGCTTAGGGATAATAAAGCATGGGAAGTTTTTCACCGTCCAAAACGTTTGTCAACGAAATTGGATGTGGAACACAAAGCGTTACTGATATGAAATCACTTTCTTCCCTTATTTGTACCAAAGTATTTACTAAAAAGAAAAGAATGTGTACTGAATCATTTGGACAGAAACACAACAATAAACTGTCGTAAAAAAAATTTTGATTTTGTAATGAATAAACAAAATAATAATCAATTTCGTCTCTGGAAACACTTTTTCATTGATTTTATCAAAACTAAAGAAAAATTACATCTGCCCACGCGTCATGCCGCTGTCTCTCTAAAATTTCTCGCAACGATCAGGACTCTTGGGAAAACAAAACTAACTGTTTCCCTCGACACCTGACATTAAGCGTACACTTACACAAAGTTGGGATATAACGATCGACATCACAATCGTGGTATTTTTTTGGAAAAAGTCTTTCTATCAATAATTTCGCCATATTATAGTAACCTTGAAAAGTATTTCACTGGTTTCTCTTATTTCTTTTAAAGATTTGATCAAAATGGTTTTTTCTTTGGGTCTTTCTCTGGTTTTGCCTGGCTAGTATTCTTTTGAAAGCTTGTCGAAACTCTTTGTTTTTAGTGCAGTAAATTAGCGGATTACAAACTGAGTTACAAAGCACAAGTGATTTAAAGGCGTACAGCAAAACAAACTTCCAAGCGGGTGGACCTATCAGCAACTTCAAAACTGGTCGAATAATTATCATAGGCACAAACGAAAGAAAAACTACTCCAATAACCATTGTTGTAGTGTTCAGGGCTTTCTTTTCCTTTGAAAACACTTCTCTGGCCTCGGTGGAGATTTGTTGAGTCGCGATTTTGAGAATCTGAGAACAAGCTTCTCGATAAACAGCAAAATGGCAAAAGATCAGGATAGAAATACGGGCTACCATTATTACTCTGCGGAAATTTAAGATGAAGGCATTGTTAACAGTGTATACGGAAGTCCTAACAGTCAACAAAGTTGCCACAGCCCAAACAGTCACAACACTTGCAGTCAAGCGAAGCTCGGTGATTAGTTCCAGATACTTGAAAGGGTATGTTATCGCTAGATAGCGTTCGATGCTTAGCAGCGCTAAATGTTGAAGAGAAGCAATAACAGGAGTCACAGCAGTAATCGCAGAAACGTTTCTCAGAAAGCAAACTGAGTAAGAATTCACGGACTTTCCCTTGAGAAGGTATATTTCTTCTGCTATCACCAATGGTTGCGATATGGCGCCTGTCAGCAAGTCGGTTCCAGCTAAAGACGCCATCAAAATGTGGTGATTGGTTTTCAGCCGTGGTGATGTTTTGACCGCAACTATTACAAGGATATTTAGAAGTATAGAACAGGGAGACACCAGCAGATTGATGACGGATAGGAAAATCAATGATGCAGTCACTGGGGTGGTAAGATATGCTGGCTTCCACTCGGGCATCCAATCTAACACATTACTGCAAAAATCTAACTGCGATGTCTGCTTGGAAGAGTTACTGAAAGAGTTCATTCTCAAGGTCTTACAATTTCAAAGCGTTGCCGTCGGTGCACTGCGATAACAAAATAGGAAAGTTATCAGTCTGCCAGCAGGCGAAATATAAGTACTACAGTGATGACGTCATAAAAATGAAATTTCTGAAATTATGGGATTTGTCAGGATATTCTGAAAGAACAATGTCCAAGAGGCCAACTTGCCAAAAATGAGCATTTCGGGGCAAATTGTCTCTGAGATCGTAGCCCAGTTATGCTTAGAAAACTCCATACAAACCCTTCTAAATTTTTTTGGGGTCTACCCATTTCATTTCATTATCCTTTCGCGGCTAAATGCTAGTAAGTAAGGAATACATGCACAAATTAAAATTTAAAACAATTAGTTCAAGAGGTTGAGTTATTTTCATGCCCCCTTTTTGATTCCGTGCTGCTGACTGATTTCCACGGCCATTAAACTCAGCTGTAAACTCACTGCCAAACATGACGTGTTCAAAGATCATTGACGAGATGTTTTCGAAAGTATTGTTGGTGAAAGAGCTCTCAGTAATAAGTGGCAGCTTTTAAAGCAAACGAACAAAGTCTTCGTCATTACAAATTTCTAGGAGTGTTTACCCGTCAAATAAATTTATGCCATTTGCAGTTAATTTGGAAAGAAAGGAAATTTTGTTTCTCTTAATAATTATGAAAGACCGAGAAAAAGATATTCAAATAAACGATAAATCTTCTGTTTCAGTATTTGTGAGTCTCGGTCCTTCTAACAACGCAGTTTTTGATAAAGACCCAGAAAATGAAGGAAACAAATTATTTTACCTTTTAGAGAATAAGTCATTACACTAGAGCCACCAAATTGCTTTCGTTTTTTAAATCTGAACCTTTGCAAAAGGCGTTTCCTTGCATGCAAATGTATTTTTCCTTCAAGCGCACGGTGCAACAAATTAAATGAATGTTCCTGCCTCTGAAATTTTCCAATTTATTTTCATGTACTACCGGTTTACGTATTAGTTAATTACTTTTATAAATTATCTGCTTTCGAAGAAGGATTGATGAAGTATTTTTATCCGCCGTCCTTTCAAGTTGGTCCTATCTGACTTCGCCTACGTAATAGTCTTTTGAAAGCTTTTCGGAATTCCCTGTTACGGGTGCAGTAAATTACAGGATTACAAGCAGAGTTACAAAGCATAAGCGATCTGCACGCGTATTCCTTAACCAATTTGGTAGCGGGTGAACTCAAGAGAGAGATAAAAAAACTTCGTAGTAACATCATAGGTAGAAATGAGAACAGAACAACGCCAATAATGATTGTCGTGGTGTTCATAGCTTTCTTTTCCTTTAAAAATACTTCTCTGGCCTCCTTAGAGACTTGCTGACTTTTTATTTTACGCATCTGAGCTCGAGCTTCTCGATACACGGCAATCTGGCTAAAGACCAGAATTGAAATACTGGCTACCATCAAGAAGCCTCGATATATGAAAGTGAAAAAACTGTTCACAGATAACCCAGCAGTCAAAGCGGCGAAGGACCAAGCGAAGATGGCGCTTGAAATTAAGCGACGCTTTGTGATGATTTCGGGGTATTGGTAAGGATATGTTATTGCGACGAAGCGTTCAACACTTAACAGTGCCAAATGTTGCATGGAGGCAATGACAAATGTTACACCGGCGATCTCTGCAATATATTCAAGAAGGCAATTATTTCATTGGTAGGAATCTAGTAAGTCTCCATTGAGGCGGTATAATAGTACCGCAACAACCAGTGGCTGTGCGAGTGCGCCAGTCATCAAGTCAGTGAAAGCTAAAGAGGCCAGCAAAATGTGGTAATTGCTTTTCATTCTTGCTGATGTTTTGACCGCAATCATTACTAAGGCATTTAAAAATATAGTACAAGGAGATACGAGCAGATTGACGACGGATAAGGAAATCATTGATGCAGTTACTGGGGTGGTTAGATATGCTGTCTTCCATTCGGGCATCCGGCCGTGATCGTTTAGGCAAGTGTCAAATTGCGACGTCTGTTTGGAAAAATTCATTTTCCAACTCACTTTAATTTAAAAAGACTCGGAGTATACTGTAATACGGATTTATGGTGTCTTGTTGTTGATATTTTAGTCAATTATCAACGAATTGATAAATAGGACTAACAGGTGCGCACTTGGAAGACTTTCATTCTTTTCGGCGAAGTGAAATATGTTTCACACATGTATGACGTGTGTATTAAAAGTGTGTGTGCTTTTTTTAAAATAGACGGATGGCAATTACACTTCACGTTTTTTTTAAGTTAACACTTAAATGCACTCTCGAAAGGAACTGTGTCTGCCGGTAGAGTGGCGTTCGTCTAGCCAGTGGGGAGCCATCATAGCAACGACGACGAATGACGGCAACGAGAACGTCAAAAAAAGCAACAGGTTCAACCTCGTTCCCAGGTTCTCTCTCCTACCCTTCGAGAGACCCTGGTTGGGTCTGGTCACGTGCCTCCCAGAATCTGGGAGATTACAAACAAACGATTTGGGGGAGGGGTAGATAAGTGTGAGATTTGTCTCTGCAGAGCGGAGACAGGTCAGTGGTGGAAAGTGCAGCCATGAAATAGTTCCCGGACTAGTCTAGACAAAACCTCGAACGCCCAAAATAATGCATAAAAGCCTTTGACAGCGAAAGCGTAAGAAACTGCAGAATATCTGGATGTTAATCTATGGGGGCTGCCTTCCTCTTCAAATATTGGCACATGCGGAGGAAATTGCGGATTCAACGCTTGTGCAGTCAAAAATAATTTAGGCAGTGGTATTCATACCGAAACGCACGGGATTTTCTGTCCACCATATATTGAATGTTGCGTGACCTTGTAAATTATCACGTGACATTTAATATATTCGTGGCTCCGCGGCTGATTCAACATGTTCGTCTATTGATGGTGCCTTGAACATTTGGCTCAGAAGAGACTAACGTGCTGTCCGTCGAAGGTTTCAAAATGGCTTCAGCTTACTTCTGGATTCCAATTTTATCAGCCGCTGGAATTATAGCTATTTGCAATGTTATAATCAGCTTAGTGAAGAGCTATCGCCGAGCAAGACACCTAGCCGTGTTTCCCTCAGCACCAAGTGACTGGTTTACCGGGCATCGCAAACACGTAAGGCTTTTTATATTCTTCACGATAGAGACTTATTGATATACAGCCGATGTTACAGTTTGTCTTTACTTTTACATTACTTGTTATGTTAATTCTGACGACCACGAGATTATTATAGCAGCATTAAGAATATGAAGTGACCGGCTGATATTCTAAAGCTTTAAACCGTTTATAATTATTAAAGTTAAAATTTTTCATGTCGGAGCTTTCATGAACCGTCAGTCAACGGCACACGAATCGACTGAAGAAAAATTCAGGTTTGGAACAGTTTTTGTTCAGTTTATTTCAGTCTCCGATTGTCTCGTGACTACTGCTGTTTTCTTGAAGTGTGATTATATTTGGCATTCATTAATATGCGAAGTCACGCAAGTCACGCAAGGGAAGAAAAAACAGTGAAAAAACACTGGTTTTAGGAGTCAGTGCTCTAGCCTGAACCCTTTGAGTCGCAAACTCTTCTTTCTCGGGTGTTCGCGACTCGAGGAGATGGCTGAAATTCAGGCTATCGGTGCTCTAGACATGTAGACAATTTGATAAAGAATAAAAAAGTGAAAGAAATAAAAACGGTTGCACTGTGTGTTTTCGAAAACCCAAAAAGGAATCGTACCGAAGGTTACGACAAGATCGCAAAACAAGCCCAGATCGCCCTAAAAACACAAGAAAACACAAAATATAACAGCATAATTAAGTTTATTTTATTTCTGTTCTTCACAATAAGGCTAAGATAAAGGGGTATTTTTTTGTATTTTTAGTTTCCTAGTCTTCTCGGATAAAGATGAAAAACCGCCAAGGAGTGGATGAAAAGACATTTATAATTTTATTTGTATCTTCTTGAGACATGCGTGTCGTGCGTTATGTTTTAAACGATTGGAGAGCGTTTCCCTTACGTGACCAGCATATATGCAAATTTATTGGAACAAAAGAAAGCGTTTCAACGCCCATAGGAATGGCTTGGTCTTGGTAAATCAGTGGGGACCTTGATAGCCTGAGTATCAGGCCTTCCTAAGGGGCTAGGGGAGAGGAGATTCCCTTTTTCGTTTCCATCTTACCCCTTTTCCCCCAGAAACGCCAGATACTCCGACCAGGACCTTGATGATCTAACATTGGCGACCCCAATGAAAACCTATTGCTTGCAAGTCTTGATCCACCAAAATTCAAGTTGGTGGTTGCCACGAATCCTGCGCCCTCCCCCCCCCCCCCCCCCCCCCCCCCCCTTTTACCTCCCCCCCCCCCCCCCCAAAGGCGGGGGGGGGGTGTGGGTTTTTTTTTAACACAACCACAAAACCAGCGTTAGTTCACATTTAAAAAATCTCCCTTACAATTCCTTTTTTCTTTTTTTTGCTTAAAAAATCCCCCAACCCCCCCCCCCCCCCCCCCCCCCCCACTTCTCTCTCCATTGTACTTGCCCCGCCACTTGCACAATGGTGGGGGTACGGTTTGAATTTGATCTTACAACACCTCGAAACACTGACTTGGTTACATTTAGAAAACGTTACTCTTCAATCCCTTTTCTTGTTGTTTAGATAAAGAATCATGATGGGGCCTTGTTGAAGTTCCATGTGAGATGTGCTACGGAATTCAAAAAGTGCTACGTTGAATGGCGGAGTCCTACAGTAGGATTTCTAGTTCTTTGCCACCCAGACACTGTTAGGGTGGTCCAGAGTAGTAACGCCCCTAAAGCACCTACTTACAATTTTGTAAAGCCTTTCATAGGTATGTACGGCATACTTTATTATTGGTAAAAATAATCCAAGAGGACACAATGTGTCTAATATGCCTACTGTCTTCTTTAAAAATAGCCTCTAGAAGACGTTTAGTTAACTTAGCCTCTGTACAGAACCCCTCCCCTCAAAAAAAAAAAATCGGGGAGAGTGTCTCTCCCTGATTTTTTCTCAGAGGGGAGGGGCGTGTCTGTACACAGGCCAGTGTAAACATAGCCCAAGTAGTTGGACATGATCGTCAGGGGGAGTGTAGACCTAATTAGGACTGTTGTTGACAGTGACTCTTGTTTTGATAACCTGTGTGGTAGTCACTAGAGTCAACTTGCTTTGTCTATCCTAATTTTGTCTATCCTAATTTGGCCAATTGAGTCGCGATGATTTTGGTCGTCTTTCCGTTAAGTTCTGATGTTATTGGCTGTGAAAACGTTTGCTTTGAGTGGTTCATGATACAATTCCGATTGTGATGTCTATCGCTGTAGAGTTAGTCAAATTTCTCGGTTTTGTTCAGTGAGTTTATTGTTCTGTAAAGTCCCGGGGCTGTGTATACTCTGCCCTGAGGTCAAACCCCTTACCCTGTTTTATACCCTTTTGACTGAAAAGGTACCCCTTCCTTATAACTTCCTATTGGCAAATGGTACCCCTTTCACATACCTATAGCTTAGAACTTTGTACCCTTTGAAGTGCTGTAAATGCTCTGTCTTGAATAAACCACAAAATTAGAACGTTTTTTGACATTTCACAGCCATAAAATGCATCTGTTAGCGTTTTGGGCTTTGTAAAGACTGAAATGACAGATTTTCCTACCCTTTCACATACCTCAACTAGTAAAATCCCTACCCTTAACGTTCATCTTCCTGAACCCTAAAAAAGGTACCCTTTTCGGGCGGAGCCTCCCCTTATAGGCCATTATAAGGAGTTCCCCCCGGGCCTTGAATTTGTAAATACGGCGTTTCATTTAGGGGATGCCAAAACCAAAGTTTGGGTGTGCCCTACATTTTATTATCATATGACTCGTACGGCCCCGTCGTAATTTCGTCGGAAAACCGTATGAAAAGAAGTCCGGTGTAAGGGCCGTAGGTGTCAAGTGATTGGCCCGAAAAACGGGTACGGCTCTGGTAGAAAAGCGTGCTAATCGACGAGTCAGAAAAATTAAAAAACACAACGGTCATATGATAAGAATGCTTATTGACTGAGTTAGGTCGGGCCGTAAGGAAAAATATTTGGCTCTCGGTCAGTACTCACGCACCTCGCTGCACTAGGTCCGTGCGTCCTGCAAATATCCCCTCCTCAACTCAGTCAATAAGTACATATTATTGACCCTAATATGTACCTCTTCGGCGTCTTTCATTTTTTAAAGGAGATGGGCTGATTGCCTCTAATGGAGCTAAATGGTTCAGAATGAGACGCCTGCTGACTCCAGCGTTTTATTTTGAAATTCTTAAATCTTATGTGGGAGTTTTTCAAGAGTCCACGAATGTTCTCCTTGTAAGTACCCAAGGGTCTAATAATAATGACAGACCTTCTTCACGATACCTGCCATCTTTATACGCGCTTGAGTAGAGACAGGATAAAAGTAATGTCACTTGGTATTTCAGGGGGCAAACGAGTGGTAGAATTTGCCAATACGAGTAATCGCAGTCGAGGTTTTTTTATTCTCTGAAAACAAGACGACGATTTTTATCTTCCAAAATCTACAGTTCAAGTTTCAAAACGATCTACGTCCGTATTGCTCGTTGTGAGGACATCAATTTACAATCGCTATACTGCATCCACCATTTGCTTTTATTAGTCCTATTAGTACTTTATACATCAATTCAGAAGATTAAAGGAAGGCATGACCCATTGGCCCCGGCCTCAAGTGCCTCAATAGTACAACTGTTGGAGACCGTGCTTTTAACAGTTTAGATCTTCTTATCTGCCCAGTCCAGTTTGCTGACTTTAAAAAAATCTGGTCCACCAAGCGGACTAAGAGACTTGGATAATGGATCGAAAAACTGGGGATTAGGGTTAGGATTAGATAGGACTGCTACAGAAAGCTACGCTATTAGGAACAGCTAGGATTCTAAGGAGGGTGCTTGACTTCTAAGTACCGGGAGAGTGTTCCCAACGGACCCGTGGGCATTGGTTATGATTCGCTCCCTTGGGGTGTTTGTCGGTATGAGAACACAATAATAATGATACTACTACTACTACCACTACTACCACTACCACTACCACTACCACTACCACCACCACCGCCACCACCACCACCACCACCACTACCACTACTACCACTACCACTACCACTACCGCTACCGCTACCGCTACCGCTACCGCTACCGCTACCGCTACCGCTACCGCTACCGCTACCGCTACCGCTACCGCTACTTAATAATAATAATCTGAGTTAGGCCACATCATAGGATTTCATTAAAAGGCTCACAAGCTAGAACCGTCCGCGAATTAACTGGCGCAGGGCACACCTCACTTGCCGGAATGAACAACTAGGCATTTTTATTGTCTTTTTAGGAGAAGTGGTCTTCACCGGTCAAAGGAGAGGTGGAATTGTTTCATCACACGAGTTTGATGACATTAGACTCCATCCTTAAGTGTGCCTTAAGTTACCATAGCAACTGTCAAACTGAAGAGTAAGTAACATGTATTGTCATTTACCTGGGGTTTAGCGCGTCCTTCCATTGGTTTCTTGGAAGTCACATGATTTCCAACATAAAACTGTTTCGTGCCAACAGTCTTTGAGCGAGAAACAATGCAAAATGTATGACGTCGAAATTAGTTATCTGTATTAACACCAAAGAAAATGTCTTATGAGAGCCCGAGAAAATAAATCTCAAATTCCTCAAAATGACACCTTACAGATGAAATTTTCAGCATTTTAGCTGTGTTTTCACGATTCTTGTGAAATTTGACATTCATTTTTTCGGGCTCCCATGAGAAATAGTCTTTGGTGTTATTACAGATAACTAATTACATTTTATATTTGCTGTCATCATTTCACGACAAAGACTTTTGCTCTCTACAGGAAAAAGAACTCCTACATAAGTGCAGTGTACGATGCAGTGGACGAATTTTTTATCAGAGTTATGTAAGTGAAGTTATTTTGATCCCGGGGGATACTCTCTTATGTAAGCCATAAAGGTATACGCAGCGCGAAAGGTAATGGTCTTTACTTTCTTGCGGTCATACGGTACGTTTACAATATGCCTGATGGATCTTGCGCCGGCTCGAAACCATACTGGATAGGGCTTCCGCTCTTACACTTAAGAACGGTGATTTCGACACAGTATCTGTGTGGTAACGAAGCTGCGCTGTCTTCATTTCGAAAGTCGAGTGTCACATATCGCATTATTTTATAGGCTTTGTGCCTCATTTTGACGCAGTCTGAACAGGTATTCGGACCGTAGCAAAAGTGAATAAATAGGAGCGAGGACTGGAATCCACTGAGACGGAAGTAAATGTTGAGGAGTGAGAACTGACATTTAGTTCACGATCGGTCAACCGCTCAGGCACGACGTTCGATACGTGCAAACAGCTTGTTCCAGTTCTGTACCTGGCGGGCGTTGCTGTTCATTCTATACCAGATACCTTTGGTGCTGACACGAACAGCTATCCAATATATCGTGAATATGACCCTTAAACGGTTCGTAGATTTGAACTTGCCTAGTCCCTAGGCCTCATTATTATGCGCGGCCGATGTGTTTCGGGTCACGTGGTTCGAGATTCGTCTCGGATACGTCACCGAAATGCATTGACCGAGAGGGCCTGGAAAGACGCCGTACGGGGACTAGGCAAGATTTGAACCATTAACTGATACAGTTACCGAATAAGAAGACCAAATATCTAGAATGTTGATAATTCCCGGGCGCCCTCCCCCTCTTTCCTCCCTCCAAGTATTCATCGTACTTCTAAGCAAGTAAGTTTTCACATTCCCTTTAAGGTCATTTTTCAGTGACAACCCGAAGAAATGACAGTAATTTGAACGACCTTAATCGTTATTTTTATCAAAAGTCACAAAATTTTTATTTTTGCAATAGGGTTAATCTATGGTTTTGATAAAAAAATTTGCAATTTCTTCATTCCTTCTTTCTAGGAAAAATAGGCCGACTTAAGATGGGAAACTACTCTTTCTATAATATAAAAACCTGATTAAAGAAAATAGCAAAACTTGCATCTTTCCAAAGGGGTTCGTCCATAGTTTTTGGCAAAAATTTTAAATTGCGTCATTGTTCCTTTAAAGCTAAAATAGGCCGAACTACAATGTTTGGTGAAGTCTCAGATATAAAACTAACCATTCTAGACTATAAAAAACTCAACTGAAGAAAATCGCAAATTCCGATTTTTGCAGAGGGGTTAGTCCATCGCTTTTGTAAAAATTGTAATAAGGTTTATGCATTCTTTCTTTTTAGCAAAAATAGGCCAAATAGAAGAGTTTGATGACGTTCTAGATAGAGAACTAGCCTTTCTAGACAATAAAAACATCGATTTAAAAAAGTCGCAAAATTTGCATTTTTCCAAAGGGGTTAGTCTACGGTTTTGGTCAAAAAATGTAAATTTCTTCATTTTTGTTGTAAACTGAAATAGCCCGAATTAAAATGACTCTGGCGTTTTGGATATAAAACTAACCTTTCTAGACTATAAGAAACTCGATTTAACAAAATCGCCGAATTTGCATTTTTCCAAAGGGGTTAGTCTATGGTTTTGGTAAAAAAATGTAAATTTCTTCATTTTTGTTCTAAACTGAAATAGCCCGAATTAAAATATTTCTGACGTTTTGGATATAAAACTAACCTTTCTAGACTATAAGAAACTCGATTTAACAAAATCGCCAAATTTGCGTTTCTCCAAAGGTGTTAGTCCATGGTTTTTGTGAAAAAATTCTGTTTTCTTTATTCTTTCTTTTTAGACAAACTAGGCCAAATAAAAGTCTCGGTGACGTTCTAGATAGAGAACTACCCTTAAAAGACTAGAAAAAGATCGATGTAAAAACGCGGAAAAATTTGCATTTTTCTAGAGGGGACAGTCCATGGTTTTCTTTATACTTTGTTTTAAGCCAAAATAGGAATACTAAAAGTTTTTAGCGACGTTTTAGATATAAAACTAAGCTTTCTAGACTAAAAAAACCTCGATTTAAGAAAATCGCTAAATTTGCATTTTTCCAAAGGGGTTCGTCAATGTTATTTGTAATAAAATTCTGAATTTTCTTTATTGTTTCTTTGTAGCCAAAGTGGGCCAAATAAAAGTGATTTCAGACATTTTAGATAGACGTCAAGAATTTCTAGACTTTAAAAACAGCGATTTAAAAAGCCGCAAGATTTCCATTTTCCCAAAGGGTTTCGTCCATGCTTTTTGTAAAAACTGTTAAATATGTTTTTTCTTTCTTTTTAGCCAAAATAGCACAAATGAAGTTTTTCGTGACGTTCTAGATAGAGAAATAGGCCTTCGAGACTATAAAAACATCGATTTAAAAAAGTCGCAAAAATTTCATTTTACCGAAGGGTCCCTGGGTTTGGTCAAATATTGTAAATTTCATCCGTTTTTCATTAAAACTAAAGTAGGCCGGGAAAAAATGTTTGTGACGTTTTGGAGATAAAAATAACCTTTGTTGTAGACTATAAACAACTCGATTTAAGAATACCTGTATCGCTAAATTTGCATTTCTCCAAAGGGGTTAGTCCATGGTTTTTGTCTAAAATTGAAATTTTTCTCGTTCTTTCTTTTTATTCAAAAAATGCCGAATAAAGGCGTTTGGTGACCTTCTAGATAGAAAGGATAGAAAGCAAGCCTTCGTGGACTATAAAAACATCGATTAACAAAAATTTGCAAAATTTGCATTATTTTAAAAGGGTTAGCCCAAGGTTTTTGTCAAAACTTCTGATCTTTCTCATTATTACTCCTCATTCAAAATCTGCCAAAAAACGTGTCTGGTGACGTTTTAGATAGATAAATAGCCTTTGTAGACCATAAAATCATCGATTTAAAAAAGTCGCAAAAATTGAATTTTTCCAAAGGGAAATTTTTTGTCAAGAATTGTGATTTTCTCATTCTTTCCTTTTAGTCAAAATATGCCAAATAAAATTGTTTGGTGCCGTTCTACGCAGAGCAATAGGCTTTCTAGACCATAAAAACATCGATTAGAAAAAGGCGCAAAATTTTCATTTTTTTGTCAAAAATTTTAATCTTTCTCATTCTTTCTTTTTATTCAAAATATGCCAAAAAGTGTTTAATGACAATGTAGACCGATAAATGGCCTTTCTCGACTATAAAAACATCTGTTTGAAAAAGTCTCAGAATTTGAATTTTTCCTAAGGGGTTAATCCATGGTTTTAGTCTAAAATTGTAATTTTTCTCATTTTTTCTTTTTTAGTCAAAATTAGGCCGAATAAAAGTGTTTTGTGCCGTTCTAGATAGAAAAATAGGCTTTCAAGACTACAAAAACATCGATTTAAAAAGTAGAAAATTTGCATTTTTCCAAAGGGGTTAACCCATGGTTTTTGTCTAAAATTGTAATTTATCTCATTCTTTCTTTTTACTCGAAATATGTCGCATAAAAGTGTTTGGTGATGTTCTAGCTAAAGGAATAGTCTTTCTAGATTGTAAAAACTCCGATTTGACAAAGTCGCAGAAATTGCTTTTCTTTAAAGGGGTTAATAAACCAGTCCATGGTTTTTGCCAACAATTGTAATCTTTCGCATTCTTTCTTTTCATTGAAAATATGCCAAATAAAAGTGTTTAATGACGTTCTAGGTAGATAAATAGCCGTTCTAGACTATAAAAACATCAATTTACAAAGTCAAAAAATTGGCATTTTTTAAAAGGGGTTAGTCCATGGTTTTTGTCAAAAAATGTAATTTTGGTCATTCCTTCTTTTTAGTAGAAATATGCCAAATAAAACTGTGCAATGACGTTCTAGACAGATAAATAGCCTTTCTAGACTATAAAAACATCCACTCTAAAAAGTAGCAAAATTTGCATTTTTTTAAAGGGGTTAGTCCATAGTTTTTGTTGAAAATTGTAATTTTTCTCATTCTTTCTTTTCATTCAAAATATGCCAAATAAAAGTGTTTAATGACGTTCTAGGTAGATAAATAGCCGTTCTAGACTATAAAAACATCAATTTACAAAGTCAAAACATTTGCATTTTTTAAAAGGGGTTAGTCCATGGTTTTTGTCCAAAAAATGTAATTTTGGTCATTCTTTCTTTTTAGTAAAAGTATGCCGAATAAAAGTGTTTGGTGCCGTTCTACATAGAGAAAAAGGCTTTCTAGACGATAAAAACATCGAATAGAAAAAGTCGCAAAATTTGCATTTTTCCAAAGGGGTTAGTCCATGGTTTTTGTCAAAAATTGTAATGGTTCACATTTTTTTCTTTTCATTGAAAATATGCCAAGTAAAATTTTACGGTGCCGTTTTACATATAGAAATAGGCTTTCTAGACCATAAAAACATCGATTAGAAAAAGTCGCAAAATTTGCATTTTTTTAATGGGGTTAGTCCATGGTTTTTCTCAAAAATTGTAATCTTTTCATTTTTTCTTTTTATTCAAAATACGCCAAATAAAAGTGTTTAATGACGTTCTAAATAGAGAAATAAGCTTTTTAGACGATGAAAACATCGATTAGAAAAAAGTCGTAAAGTTTGCATTTTTCCAAAGGGGTCAGTCCATGGTTTTTCTCAAAAATTGTAATCTTTGTCATTCGTTTTTTTTATTGAAGAAAAGGCGAACAAAAGTGTTTTATGACGTTGTAGATAGATAAATAGCCTTTGTAGACTATAAAAACATCGATTTAAAAAAGTCACAAAATTTGCGTTTTTTGAAAGGGATAGTCCATTGTTTTTGTCAAAACTTTTAAGTAATCTCATCCTGTTTTTTAGAAAAATATGCCGAATAAGAGTGTTTGGTGTCGTTCTACATAGAGATATAGGCTTTCTAGACAATAAAAACATCGATTAGAAAAAGTCTCAAAATTTGAATTTTTTTTTGAAGGGGTTAGTCCATGGTTTTTCTAAAAAATTGTAATCTTTTCATTGTTTCTTTTCGTTCGAAATACGCAAAATAAAAGTCTTTAATGACGTTCTAGATAGATAAATAGCCTTTGAAGACTATAAAAAGATCGATTTGAAAAAGTCGCAAAATGTGCATTTTTTAAAGGGGATAGTCCATGGTTTTTGTCAAAAATTTTAAGTTTTCTCAAAAAATGTAATTTTGGTCATTCTTTCTTTTTAGTGAAAATATGCCAAATAATAGTGTATAGTGCCGTTCTACATAGAGAAATAGGCTTTCAAGACAAACATCGATTAAAGAAAGTGGCAAAATTTGAATTTTTCCAAAGGAGTTAGTCCATGGTTTTTCTCAAAAATTATAATCTTTCTTATTTTTCCTTTTTACTCAAAATACGCCAAATAAAAGTGTTTTATGACGTTCTAGGTAGATAAACAGCCTTTTTATACTAAAAAAAACATCTACTTGAAAAAGTCGCAAAATTTGCATTTTTTTTAAGGGGGTAGTCCATAGTTTTCGTAAAAAACTGTAATTTTTCTCACCTTTTCTATTTAGTGAAAATATCCCAAAGAAAAGTGTTTGGTCCCGTTCTACATAAAGAAATAAGCTTTTTGGACGATAAAAACATCGATTACAAAAAGTCGAAAAGGTTGTATTTTCCAAAGGGGTTAGTCCATGGTTTTTCTCAAAAATTGTAATCTTTGTCATTTGTTTTTTTTTTCAAGAAATGGCGAACAAAAGTGTTTATGACGTTATAGATAGATAAATAGCCTTTGTAGACTATAAAAGCAACGATTTCAAAAAGTCGAATAATTGACATTTTTCCAAAGGGGTTAACCCAAGGTTTGGGTCGAAAAATGGCAATTTTCTAACTTTTTTGTTTAGGCAATATAGGCAAGGAAAATGTCTTTTACGATATTCTAGAACGAAAAAAGGCCTTTCTAGGCTATAAAAACAAGAAGTTCAAAAAGTCAAAAAACTGACATTTTTCCAAACGGGTTAACCCATTCATTTTTCCAACTTTTTTTTTCAGGCAATATTGGCCAGGAAAATGTCTTTTACGATATTCTAGAACGAAAAAACGCATTTCGAGGCTATAAAAACCAGAAATTTAAAAAGTCGAAAAATTGACATTTTTCCAACGGAGTTAACCCATCGTTTTGGTCCAAAAATGGTCATTTTTCCAACTTTTTTTTTTAGGCAATATAGGCAAGGAAAATGTCTTTTACGATATTCTAGAACGAAAAAAGGCCTTTCTAGGCTATAAAAACAAGAAGTTCAAAAAGTCAAAATATTGACATTTTTCCAAAGGGGTTAACCCATGGTTTTCGTCCAAAAATGGCCATTTTTCCAACTTTTTTTTTTTTTGAGGCAATATTGGCCACGAAAATGTTTTTTACGATATTCTAGAACGAAAAAACCTTTTTCTAAGATATAAAAACAAAGAAGTTCAAAAAGTCGAAAAATGGACATTTTTCCAAAGGTTTTTCAAAGGTTTTTCATGGTTTTGGTCCAAAAATGGCCATTTTTCCAACTTTTTTTTTTAGGCAATATAAGCAAACACAATGTCTTTTACGATATTCTAGAACGAAAAAACACCTTTCTAGGCTATAAAAGCAAGAAGTTCAAAAAGTCCAATAATTGACATTTTTCCAAAGAGGTTACCCCATGGTTTTGGTCCAAAAATGGCCATTTTTCCAACCTTTTTTTTTAGGCAATATACTCCAGAAAAATGTCTTTTATGATATTCTAGAACGAAAAAAGGCCTTTCTAGGCTATAAAAACAAGAAGTTCAAAAAGTCGAAAAATTGACATTTTTCAAAAGAGGTTAACCCATGGTTTTGGTCCAAAAATTGCCATTTTTGCAACTTTTTTTTTGGGCAAAATAGGCCAGGAAAATGTTTTTACGATATTCTAGAACGAAAAAAGGCCTTTCAGGGTTTTAAAAACAAGAAGTTCAAAAAGTCGAAAAATTGCCATTTTTCGAAAGGGATTAACCCATCGTTTTGGTCCAATAATGGCCATTTTACCGACTTTTTTTTAGGAACACATATCCCAAGTGATATGTGTTCCCCACCTGGGAAACACATATCTCTAGTGACATAAGTTCCCCCACCTTGGAAACACATATCCCAAGTTATGTGTGTTCCCCTACTTGGGAAACACATATCCCTATTGATATGTGTTCCCCCACCTGGGAAACCTGTATCCCTAGTAATATGTGTTCCCCCACCTGGGGAACACATATCCCTAGTGTTATGTGTTCCCCCACCTGGGAAACACATATCTCAAGCAATATCTGTTTCCCAGGTGGGGGAACACATATCCCTAGTGATATGTGTTCCCCCAGCTGGGAAACACATATCCCTAGTGATGTGTGTTCCCCCACTTGGAAAACACATATCCCTAGTGATATGTGTTCCCCCACATGGGAAACACTTATCCCTAGTGATGTGTGTTCTCCCACCTGGGAAACTCATATCCGTAGTTATATGTGTTCCCCTACCTGGGAAACACATATCCCTAGTGATATGTGTTTCCCTAGCTTAAAAACACCTATCCCTAGTGATATGTGTTCCCCCACCTGGGAAACACATATCCCTAGTGATATGTGTTCCCCCAGCTAGAAAACACATATCTCAAGCAATATCTGTTTCCCAGGTGGGGGGAAACAAATGCCTAGTCATATCTGTTCCCCCAGCTGGGAAACACATATCCCTAGTGATATGTGCTCCCCCTCCTGGGCAACACATATCCCTAGTGATATGTGTTCCCCCACCTGGGAAACACATATCCCTACTTATATGTGTTCCCCCACCTGGGAAACACATATCCCTAGTGTTATGTGTTCCCCCACCTGGGAAACACATATCCCTTGTGATATGTGTTTCCCCACGTGGGAAACAATTATCCCTAGTGATATGTGTTCTCCCACCTGGGAAACACATATCCGTAGTTATATGTGTTCCCCTACCTGGGAAACACATATCCCTAGCTATATGTGTTCCCCTACCTGGGAAACAGATATCCCTAGAGATATGTGTTCCCCCAGCTGGGAAACAAATATCCCTAGTGATATGTGTTCCCCAACCTGGGAAACACATATCCCTAGTGATATGTGTTTCCAACCTGGGAAACACATTTCTCTACTGTAGTGATCTGTGTTCCCCCACCTGGGAAACACATATCCGTAGTTATATGTGTTCCCCTACATGGGAAACACATATCCCTAGTGATATGTGTTTTCCCAGCTTAGAAAGACATATCCCTAGCGATATGTGTTCCCCCAGCTGGGAAACACATATCTCAAGCAATATCTGTTTCCCAGGTGGGGGAACACATATCCCTAGTCATATGTGTTCCCCCAGCTGGGAAACACATATCCCTAGGGATATGTGTTCACCCACCTGGGAAACACATCTCTCTAGTGATATGTGTTCCCTTACCTGGGAAACACAAATCCATAGTTATATGTGTTCCCCCAGCTGGGAAACACATATCCCTAGTGATATGTGTTCCCCTACCCGGGAAACACATATCCCTAGTGATATGTGTTCCTCCCACTGGGAAACACATATCCCTAGTGATATGTGTTCCCCCACCTGGGAAACACATATCTCTAGTGATATGTGTTTCGAACCTGGGAAACGCATATCCCTAGAGATATGTGTTCCCCATCTGAGAAACACATTTCCTTAGTGATATGTGTTTCCCAGGTGGAGGAACACATATCCTTAGTGATATGTGTTTCCCTACCTGGGAAACACATCTCCCTTGTGTTATGTGTTCCCCTACCTAGGAAACATATCCCTAGTCATATGTGTCCCCCTACATGTATTCGAAAGGGGTTAACCCATGGTCTTCGTCCCTAAATGGCTATTTTTTTTATTTTTTTATTTTTTTCAGGCAATATAAGCCAGGAAAATGTCTTTTACGATATTCTAGAAGGAAAAAGCACCTTTCTTCGGTATAAAAACAAGAAGTTCAAAAAGTCAAAAAACTAACATTTTTCCAAAGGGGTTAACCCATGGTTATGGTCGGAAAGTGGCCATTTTGTGAACTTTTTTTTTAGGCAATATAGGCCAAGAAAATGTCTTTTACGATATTCTAGAACGAAAAAACGCCTTTCTAGGCTACAAAAACAAGAAGTTCAAAAAGTCGAAAAATTAACATTTTTCCAAAGGGGTTAACACATGGTTTTCGTCCAAAAATGGCCATTTTTCGAACTTTTTTTTTAGGCTATATAGGCCAGGAAAATGTCTTTTAAATTATTCTAGAACGAAAAAAGGCCTTTCTAGGCTATAAAAACAAGAAGTTCAAACAGTCAAAAAATTGACATTTTTCCAAAGGGGTTAACCCATGGTTTTAGTCGAAAAAAGGCCATTTTTCCATGTTTTTTATTTAGCCAATCTAGGCGAGGAAAATGTCTTTTACAATATTCTAGAACGAAAAAAGGCCTTTCTAGGCTATAAAAACAAGAAGTTCAAAAAGTCGAAAAATTGAGATTTTTTAAAAGGGGTTAACCCATGGTTTTGGTCCGAAAATGGCCATTTTTCCAACTTCTTTTTTTTAGGCAATATAGGCAAACAAAATGTCTTTTACGATATTCTAGAACGAAAAAATGCCTTTCTAGGCTATAATAACAAGAAGTTCAAAAAGTCGAAAAATTGACATTTTTACAAAAGGGGTTAACCCATGGTTTTGGTCCAAAAATGGTCATTTTCCAACTTTTTTTTTTTGGCAATGTAGGCCAGGAAAATGTCTTTTACGATATTCTAGAACGAAAAAACGTTTTTCTAGGCTATAATAACAGGAAGTTCAAAAAGTCAAAAAATTCAAATTGTTCCAAAGGGGTTGACCCATGGTTTTGGTCCAAAAATGGTCATTTTTCCAATTTTTTTTTTTTTTTCCAAAGGGGTTAACCCATGGTTTTGGTCGAAAAATTGCTATTTTTCCAACTCTTTTTTTTTTTGGCAATATAGGCAAACAAAATGTCTTTTACCATATTTTAGAACGAAAAAAATCCTTTTTAGGTTATAATAACAGGAAGTTCAAAAAGTCAAAAAATTCACATTTTGCCAAAGGGGTTAACCCATGGTTTTGGTCCAAAAATGGTCATTTTTCCAACTTTTTTTTTTAGGCAATATAGGCCAGAAAAATGTCTTTTACGATATTCTAGAACGAAAAAACGCCTTTCTAGGCTATAAAAACAAGAATGTCAAAAAGTCGAAAAATTGAGATTTTTTCAAAGGGGTTAACCCATGGTTTTGATCCGAAAATGGCCATTTTTCCAACTTCTTTTTTAGGCAATATAGGCGAGGAAAATGTCTTTTACGATATTCTAGAACGAAAAAGGGCCTTTCTAGGCTATAAAAAATAGAAGTTTAAAAAGTCAAAAACTTGTAATTTTTTCAAAGGGTTAAGCGATGGTTTTCGTCCAAAAATGGCCATTTTTCCAACTGTTTTATTGAGACAATATTGGCCAGACAAAATGCTTTGTTTACGATATTCTACAACGAAAAAACGTTTTTCTAGGATATAAAAACAAAAAGTTAAAAAAGTCGAAAAATTGACATTTTTCCAAAGGGGTTAACCCATGGTTTTGGTCCGAAAATGGAAATTTTTCCAACTTTTTTTTTTTAGGCAATATAGGCAAGGAAAATCTCTTTTACGATATTCTAGAACGAAAAAACGCCTTTCTAGGCTATTATAACAAAAAGTTGATAACGTCGAAAAATTGACCTTTTTCGAAAGGAGTTAACCCATGGTTTTGGTCCACAAAATTATCATCTTTGCAGGGTTTTTTTTTTTGCAATATAGGCCAGGAAAATGTCTTTTACGATATTCTACAACAAAGAAACGCCTTTCTAGGTTATAAAAACAAGAAGTTTAAAAAGTCGAAAAATTGACATTTTTCCCAAGGGGTTAACCCACGGTTTTGGTCAAAAAATGGCCTTTTTTCCATGTCTTTTTTTTAGGCAATATAGGCCAGGAAAATATATTTTACGATATTCTACAACGAAAAAAGGCCTTTCTAAGCTATAAAAACAGGAAGTTCTAAAAGTCAAAAAATTGACAGTTTTCCAAAGGGGTTAACCCATGTTTTTGGTCAAAATATGGCCATTTTTCCAACTTTTTTTTTTTTAGGCAATATAGGCCAGGAAAATGTCTTTTACGATAATCTAGAACGAAAAAAACGCCTTTCTAGGCTACAAAAACAAGAATGTCAAAAAGTCGAAAATTGACATTTTTGCAAAGGGGTTAACCCATGATTTTGATCCGAAAATGGCCATTTTTCCAACTTTTTTTTTTTAGGCAAGATAAGCAAACAAAATGTCTTTTACGATATTCTAGAACGAAAAAAGGCTTTTTTAGGCTATCAAAACAAGAAGTTCAAAAAGTCGAAAAATTGACAGTTTTCCAAAGGGGTTAACCCATGTTTTTGGTCAAAAAATGGCCATTTTTCCAACTTTTTTTTTTTAGGCAATATAGGCCAGAAAAATGTCTTTTACGATATTCTAGAACGAAAGAAGGCCTTTCTAGGCTCTAAAAAAAAGAAGTTTAAAAAGTCAAAAAATTGAAATTTTTTCAAAGAGGTTAACCCATGTTTTTGGTCCAAAAATAGTCATTTTTCCATGTTTTTTTTTTTAGGCAATATAGGCCAGAAAAATGTCTTTTACGATATTGTAGAATCAAAAAACGCCTTTCTAGGCTATAAAAACAAGATGTTCAAAAAGTCGAAAAATTGACAGTTTTCCAAAGGGGTTAACCCATGTTTTTGGTCAAAAAATTGGCCATTTTTCCAACTTTTTTTTTTAGGCAATATAGGCAACTAAAATGTCTTTTGCGATATTCTAGAACGAAAAAACGCCTTTGAACGCAATAAAAACAAGAATGTCAAAAAGTCGAAAAATTGACATTTTTCCAAAGCGGTTAACCCATGGTTTTGGTCCAAAAATGGTCATTTTTCCAACTTTTTTTTTATGGAATATAGGCAAACAAAATGTCTTTTGCGATATTCAAGAACGAGAAAACGCCCTTCTAGGCTATAATAACAGGAAGTTCAAAAAGTCGAAAAATTGACCTTTTTCCAAAGGGGTTAACCCATGGTTTTGGTCCGAAAATGGCGATATTTGCAAGGTTTTTTTTTAGGTAATATGGGCCAGGAAAATGTCTTTTACGATATTCTACAACAAAGAAACGCCTTTCTAAGCTATAAAAACAAGAAGTTCGAAAAGTCGAAAAAGTGACATTTTTCAAAGGGGTTAACCCACGGTTTTGGTCCAAAAATGGCCATTTTTCCATGTTTTTTTTTTAGGCAATATAGGCCAGGAAAATGTCTTTTACGATATTCTAGAACGAAAAAACGCCTTTCTAGGCTATAAAAACAAGAAGTTTGAAAAGTCGAAAAATTGACTTTTTTCCAAAGGATTTTACCCATGGTTTTGGTAGAAAAATGGCCATTTTTCCAACTTTTTTTTTTTTAGGCAATATAGGCAAACAAAACGTCTTTTACGATATTCTAGAACGAAAAAACGCCTTTCTAGGCTATAAAAAGAAAAATGTCAAATAGTCGAAAAAATGACATTTTTCCAAAGGGGTTAACCCATGGTTTTGATCCGAAAATGGCCATTTCTCCTACTTTTTTTTTTAGGCAATATAGGCAAACAAAATGTCTTTTACGATATTCTAGAAGAAAAAAACGCCTTTCTAGGCTATAAAAACAAGAAGTTCAAAAAGTCGAAAAATTGACATTTTTCCAAAGGGGTTAACCCACGGTTTTGGTCTAAAAATGGCCACTTTTCCAACTTTTTTTTTTCGGCAATATAGGCCAGGAAAATGTCTTTTACGATATTCTAGAACGAAAAAACGCCTTTGTAGGCTATAAAAACAAGAGGTTCAAAAAGTCGAAAAATTGAGATTTTTTAAAAGGGGTTAACCCATGGTTTTGGTCCGAAAATGGCGATATTTGCAAGGTTTTTTTTTAGGTAATATGGGCCAGGAAAATGTCTTTTACGATATTCTACAACAAAGAAACGCCTTTCTAAGCTATAAAAACAAGAAGTTCGAAAAGTCGAAAAAGTGACATTTTTCAAAGGGGTTAACCCACGGTTTTGGTCCAAAAATGGCCATTTTTCCATGTTTTTTTTTTAGGCAATATAGGCCAGGAAAATGTCTTTTACGATATTCTAGAACGAAAAAACGCCTTTCTAGGCTATAAAAACAAGAAGTTTGAAAAGTCGAAAAATTGACTTTTTTCCAAAGGATTTTACCCATGGTTTTGGTAGAAAAATGGCCATTTTTCCAACTTTTTTTTTTTTAGGCAATATAGGCAAACAAAACGTCTTTTACGATATTCTAGAACGAAAAAACGCCTTTCTAGGCTATAAAAAGAAAAATGTCAAATAGTCGAAAAAATGACATTTTTCCAAAGGGGTTAACCCATGGTTTTGATCCGAAAATGGCCATTTCTCCTACTTTTTTTTTTAGGCAATATAGGCAAACAAAATGTCTTTTACGATATTCTAGAAGAAAAAAACGCCTTTCTAGGCTATAAAAACAAGAAGTTCAAAAAGTCGAAAAATTGACATTTTTCCAAAGGGGTTAACCCACGGTTTTGGTCTAAAAATGGCCACTTTTCCAACTTTTTTTTTTCGGCAATATAGGCCAGGAAAATGTCTTTTACGATATTCTAGAACGAAAAAACGCCTTTGTAGGCTATAAAAACAAGAGGTTCAAAAAGTCGAAAAATTGAGATTTTTTAAAAGGGGTTAACCCATGGTTTTGGTCCGAAAATGGCGATATTTGCAAGGTTTTTTTTTAGGTAATATGGGCCAGGAAAATGTCTTTTACGATATTCTACAACAAAGAAACGCCTTTCTAAGCTATAAAAACAAGAAGTTCGAAAAGTCGAAAAAGTGACATTTTTCAAAGGGGTTAACCCACGGTTTTGGTCCAAAAATGGCCATTTTTCCATGTTTTTTTTTTAGGCAATATAGGCCAGGAAAATGTCTTTTACGATATTCTAGAACGAAAAAACGCCTTTCTAGGCTATAAAAACAAGAAGTTTGAAAAGTCGAAAAATTGACTTTTTTCCAAAGGATTTTACCCATGGTTTTGGTAGAAAAATGGCCATTTTTCCAACTTTTTTTTTTTTAGGCAATATAGGCAAACAAAACGTCTTTTACGATATTCTAGAACGAAAAAACGCCTTTCTAGGCTATAAAAAGAAAAATGTCAAATAGTCGAAAAAATGACATTTTTCCAAAGGGGTTAACCCATGGTTTTGATCCGAAAATGGCCATTTCTCCTACTTTTTTTTTTAGGCAATATAGGCAAACAAAATGTCTTTTACGATATTCTAGAAGAAAAAAACGCCTTTCTAGGCTATAAAAACAAGAAGTTCAAAAAGTCGAAAAATTGACATTTTTCCAAAGGGGTTAACCCACGGTTTTGGTCTAAAAATGGCCACTTTTCCAACTTTTTTTTTTCGGCAATATAGGCCAGGAAAATGTCTTTTACGATATTCTAGAACGAAAAAACGCCTTTGTAGGCTATAAAAACAAGAGGTTCAAAAAGTCGAAAAATTGAGATTTTTTAAAAGGGGTTAACCCATGGTTTTGGTCCGAAAATGGCGATATTTGCAAGGTTTTTTTTTAGGTAATATGGGCCAGGAAAATGTCTTTTACGATATTCTACAACAAAGAAACGCCTTTCTAAGCTATAAAAACAAGAAGTTCGAAAAGTCGAAAAAGTGACATTTTTCAAAGGGGTTAACCCACGGTTTTGGTCCAAAAATGGCCATTTTTCCATGTTTTTTTTTTAGGCAATATAGGCCAGGAAAATGTCTTTTACGATATTCTAGAACGAAAAAACGCCTTTCTAGGCTATAAAAACAAGAAGTTTGAAAAGTCGAAAAATTGACTTTTTTCCAAAGGATTTTACCCATGGTTTTGGTAGAAAAATGGCCATTTTTCCAACTTTTTTTTTTTTAGGCAATATAGGCAAACAAAACGTCTTTTACGATATTCTAGAACGAAAAAACGCCTTTCTAGGCTATAAAAAGAAAAATGTCAAATAGTCGAAAAAATGACATTTTTCCAAAGGGGTTAACCCATGGTTTTGATCCGAAAATGGCCATTTCTCCTACTTTTTTTTTTAGGCAATATAGGCAAACAAAATGTCTTTTACGATATTCTAGAAGAAAAAAACGCCTTTCTAGGCTATAAAAACAAGAAGTTCAAAAAGTCGAAAAATTGACATTTTTCCAAAGGGGTTAACCCACGGTTTTGGTCTAAAAATGGCCACTTTTCCAACTTTTTTTTTTCGGCAATATAGGCCAGGAAAATGTCTTTTACGATATTCTAGAACGAAAAAACGCCTTTGTAGGCTATAAAAACAAGAGGTTCAAAAAGTCGAAAAATTGAGATTTTTTAAAAGGGGTTAACCCATGGTTTTGGTCCGAAAATGGCGATATTTGCAAGGTTTTTTTTTAGGTAATATGGGCCAGGAAAATGTCTTTTACGATATTCTACAACAAAGAAACGCCTTTCTAAGCTATAAAAACAAGAAGTTCGAAAAGTCGAAAAAGTGACATTTTTCAAAGGGGTTAACCCACGGTTTTGGTCCAAAAATGGCCATTTTTCCATGTTTTTTTTTTAGGCAATATAGGCCAGGAAAATGTCTTTTACGATATTCTAGAACGAAAAAACGCCTTTCTAGGCTATAATAACACGAAGTTCCAAAAGTGAACAAATTAAACTTTTTCCAAAGGGGCTAACCCATTGTTTTGGTTCAGAACTGGTTATTTTTCCAATTTTTTTTTTAGGCAATATAGGCCAGGAAAATGTCTTTTACGATATTCTAGAACGAAAAAATGCGTTTCTGGGCTATAAAAACAAGAAGTTCAAAAAGTCGAAAAATTGACATTTTTCCAAAGGGGTTAACCCATTTTTTTGGTCCAAAAATGGTCATTTTTCCAACTTTTTTTTTTAGGCAATATAGGCCAGGAAAATGTCTTTTACGATATTCTAGAATGAAAAAAACGCCTTTCTAGGCTATAAAAACAAGAATGTCAAAAAGTCGAAAAATTGTCATTTTTCCAAAGGGGTTAACCCATGGTTTTGGTCTGAAAATGGCCATTTTTCGAACTTGTTTTTTTAGGCAATATAGCGAAAGAAAATGTCTTTTGCGATATTCTAGAAGGAAAAAACGCATTTCTAGGCTATAATAACAGGAAGTTCAAAAAGTCGAAAACTTAACTTTTTTCCAAAGGGGTTAACCCATGGTTTTGGTCCAAAAATGGTCATTTTTCCAACTTTTTTTTTACGGATTATAGGCGAGGAAAATGTCTTTTTCGATATTCTAGAACGAAAAAACGCCTTTGAAGGCAATAAAAACAAGCATGTCAAAAAGTCGAAAAATTGACATTTTTCCAAAGCGATTAACCCATGGTTTTGGTCCGAAAATGGTCATTTTTCCAACTTTTTTTTTTAGGCAATAAAGGCCAGGAAAATGTCTTTTACGATATTCTAGAACGAAAAAACGCCTTTCTAGTCTATAAAAACAAGAATGTCAAAAAGGCGAAAAATTGACATTTTTCCAAAGGGGTTAACCCATGGTTTTGGTCCAAACATGGCCATTTTTCCATGTTTTTTTTTTTAAGCAATATAGGTCACCAAAATGTGTTTTACGATATTCTAGAACGAAAAAACGCCTTTCTAAGCTATAAAACAAGAATGTCAAAAAGTCGAAACATTGACATTTTTCCAAAGGGGTTAACCGATGGTTTTGGTCCGAAAATGGCCATTTTTCCAACTTTTTTTTTTAGGCAATATAGGCCAGGAAAATGTGTTTTACGATATTCTAGAACGAAAAAACGCCTTTCTAGGCTATAAAAACAAGAATGTCAAAAACTCGAAACATTGACATTTTTCCAAAGGGGTTAACCGATGGTTTTGGTCCGAAAATGGCCATCTTTCCAACTTTTTTTTTAGGCAATATAGGCCAGGAAAATGTCTTTTACGATATTCTAGAACGAAAAAACGCCTTTCTAGGCTACAAAAACCAGAAGTTCAAAAAGGCGAAAAATTGATATTTTTCCAAAGGCATTAACCCATTGTTTTCGTCCAATAATGGCCATTTTTCCGACTTCTGTTTTAGGAACACATATCCCTAGTGATATGTGTTCCCCCAACTGGGAAACACATATCCCTAGTGATATGTGTTCCCCAGGTGGAGGAACACATATCCCTAGTCATATGTGTTTCCCCAGCTGGGAAGCACATATCTCTAGTTGTATGTGCTCCCCCTCCTGAGAAATACATATCCCTTTTGATATGTGTTCCCTCACGTGGGAAACACATATCTCTAGTGATATGTGTTCCCCCACCTGGGAAACACATATCCTTAGTTATATGTGTTCCCCTTCCTTGGAAACACATAGCTCTGGTGATATGTGTTCCCCCAGCTGGGAAACCCATATCCCTAGTAATATGTGTTCCCCCAGCTGGGAAACACATATCCCAAGTAATATCTGTTTCCCAGGTTGGGTAACACATATCCCTAGTCATATGTGTTCCCCCAGCCGGGAAACACATATCCCTAGTGATATGTGTTTCCCTACCTGTGAAACACATCTCCCTTGTGATATGTTTTCCTCTACCTAGGAAACACATATCCCTAGTGATATGTGTTCCCCCACATGTATTCCAAAGGGGTTAACTCATGGTTTTGGTCCGAAAATGGCTATTTTTTTAAGTATTTTTTTTTTAGGCAATATAGGCCAGGAATATTTGTTTTACGATATTCTAGAACGAAAAAACGCCTTTCTAGGGTATAAAAACAACAAGTTCAAAAAGTCGAAAAATTGACATTTTTTCAAAGGTTTTAAGCCATGGTTTTGGTCCAAAGGTGGCCATTTTTCCAATTTTTTTTTGGCAATATAGGCCAGGAAAATGTCTTTTACGATAATTTAGAACTAAAAAACGCCTTTTTAGGTTATAAAAACAAGAAGTTCAGAAAGTTGAAAAATTGACATTTTTCTTAAGTGGTCAACCCATTGTATTTTTCATCGTTCGTCACAGAGAAATAGGCTTTCTAGACCATAAAAACATTGATCTGAAAAAGTCGCAAAATTTGCATTTTTCCAAAGGGGTTAGTCCATTCTCTTTCTCAATAATTGTAATCTTTCTTATTCTTCCTTTTTGTTTAAAATACGCCAAATAAAATTGCGTAATGTCGTTCTAGATACATAAATAGTCTTTGTAGACTATAAAAACATCAATTAGAAAAAGTTGCAAAATTTGCATTTTCCTCAAGGGGTAGTCCATGGTTTTTGTCAAAAATTGTAATCGTTCTCATTCTTTAATTCTATTCAAAATATGCCAAGTAAAACTGTTTAATGACGTTCTAGATAGATAAATAGCCTCTTTAGACTATAAAACATCGATTTGAGAAAGTCGCAAAATTAGCATTCTTTTTATGGGGTTAGTCCATGGTTTTTGTTTAAAATTGTAATTTTTTACATTCTTTCTTTTTAATTAAAATATGCCAAATAGAAGTGTTTGGTGACGTTCTACATAGAGAAATAGGCTTTTTAGACCAAAAAAACATCGATTAAAAAAGTCTTAAAATTTGCGTTTTTCCAAAGGGCTTAGTCCATGGTTTTTCTCTTTCTCATTTTTTCTTTTTATGCAAACAATGGCGAAGAAAAGTGTTTAATGACGTTGGAGATAGATAAATAGCTTTTTTAGACTACAAAAATATCGATTTCATAAAGTCGCAAAATTTATTTTTTTTGAACGGGATAGTCCATTGTTTTTGTCAAAAATTTGAAGTTTTCTTATTTTTCCTTTTTAGTGAAAATATGCCGAATAAAAGTGTTTGGTGTCGTTCTTTACAGAGAAATAGGGTTTCTGACCATAAAAACATTGATTAGAAAAAGTCGAAAAATTTGGATTTTTCCCAAGGGGTTAGTCCATTGTTTTTCTCAAAAGTTGTTATCTTTCTCATTCTTCCGTTTTGTTCAAAATGCGCCAAATAAAAGTGCGTAATGACGTTCTACATAAACAAATAGTCTTTTTAGACTATAAAAACATCAATAAGAAAAAGTCGCAAAATTTGCATTTTTCCCAAGGGGTTAGTCTATGGTTTTTGTCAAAAATTGTAATCGCTCGCATTCTTTCTTTTTATTCAAAATATGCCAAATAAAACTGTTTAATAACGTTCTCGATAGATAAATAGCCTCTCTAGACTATAAAACATCGATTTAAAAAGTCGCAAAATTTGCATTCTCTTAAAAGGGTTAGTCCATGGTTTTCGTTTAAAATTGTAATTTTTCTCACTTTTTTTTTAGTAAAAATATGCCAAATAGAAGTGTTTGGTGACGTTCTACATAGAGAAGCCTTTTTATATTTTAAAAACATCTATTGAAAAAGTCGCAAACTTTGCATTTTGCATTTGCATTAAGGGGGTAGTCCATGGTTTTTGTCAAAAACCGTAATTTATCAAGTTTAGTGAAAATATGCCAAATAAAAGTGTTTGGTGCCGTTCTACATAGAGAAATAGGCTTTCTAGACCATAAAAACATTGATTAGAAAAAGTCGGGAAATTTGCATTTTTCGAAAGGGGTTAGTCCATGGTTTTTCTCAAAAACCGTAATCTTTCTCATTCTTTCCTTGTATTCAAAACCTGCTAAATAAAACTGTGTAATGACGTTCTTGATAGATAAATAGCCTTTCTAGACTCTAAAAACATCGATTTTCAAAAGTCACAAAATTTGCATTTTTTTTCCATGGTTTTTGTCAAAAATTGTAAATTTTCTCAAGTTTTCTTTTTAGTGAAAATATGCCAAATAAACTGTTTGGTGACGTTCTACATAGAGAAATAGGCTTTTTAGACCATAAAAACATTGATTACAAAAAGTCGCAAAATTTGCATTTTTCCAAAGGGTCCAAAGGGTCCATGGTTTTTCTCAAAAATTGTAATCTTTCTCATTTTTTCTTTTTATTCAAAAAATGGCGAACAAAAGTGTTTAATGACGTTCTATATAGGAAAATAGGCTTTTCTAGATTATAAAAACATGGTTTTGAACAAGTCACAATATTGCGTTTTTCCAAAGTTGTTAGTCTATGTTTTTTGTTAAAAATTGTAATTTTGCTTATTCTTTTTTTAAAGTCAAAATAGGCCGAGTAAAAGTGTTCGGTGAAAAAAAGTAAAGTAAAAAAAAACAAGTAAAATTTGCATTTTTCCAAAGGGGTTATTCCATGGTTTTTGTCAAAAATTGCAATTTTTCTCATTATTTTCTTTTATACAAACAAGGTGGATAAAATGTGTTTGGTGACGCATTAGGTAGAGAAATAGCCTTTCTAGACTATAAAAACATCGATTTTAAAAAGTCGCAAAATTGTCCTTATTTTAAAGGGGTTATTTAGTCCACCGTTTTTGTCGATAATACCTTTAGAAACATGCAACCTTTAAAACTTTCCTATATCAGTCTACAAGCGCTACATTTCTGTCTAGAACGTCACCAACCAATGTTACACGTTCTATTTTGCCAAGAGAGAAATAGTCCGAATGAAAGTTTTTGGTGACGTTCTAGATAGAGAACTAGTCTTTAAAAAAATCGATTTAACAAAATCGCAAAGTTTGCATTTTTCTAAGGGGTTAGTCAATAGTATCGCAAAATTTGCATTTTCCTAAGGGTTTCCATGGTTTTGCTTAAAAATTTATTCTTTCTGTTTTATCGAAATAGTCCGACTAGAAGCGTTTAATGTCCTTCTTGTTAGAAAACTAGGCTTTCTAGACTTTGATAACATCGTTTTGAGAAAGTGGAAAGATTTGCATTTTTCCAAATCGGTTACATGGTTTTGGTGCAAAATTTTTAATTTCTGTATGGTATGTTTTGAAATAAAATAAATCAACTAATTGTGTTTAGTGTTGTTTTATTTAGACTTATAACAAATCGGAAAATTGGCATTTTTCAAAGGGGTAGGCCATGGTTTTGGTGAAAAATTTAAAATTTGCTCATCCTGCCTTTTTATGCAAAACAGGCCGACTAAAAATGTTTGGTGACTGTCTAGATTGAAGACTAGCCCTTTTAGACTTAAAAAGATCGATTCAGGGAAGTGGCACAATTTGAGTATAAAATTCATCGATGAGATTCGCAAAATTTGCATTTTTCCAAAGGGGCTGGTTAGTCCAATGCTCTGGGTCAAAAACTATTAATTTTTTCATTCTGTAGCCAATATACAGGCAAAATAAACGTTTTGGTGATGTTCTAGAAACAAAAACTAACCTATCTACAAGAAAGACGTTAAGAGAGGCACAAACGTTTCATTTTTCCAAAGGGATTAGTTTATGGTTTTGGTGAAAAATGTGTAACTTGTAGTCTTTCCAGACGATAATAACTTCGATCTAAAGTATAAAATCATCGTTTTATGAAATTTGGTAAATTTCCATGTTTTTGGCCGAAAATCTTCCAGTTTGTTTATGTTTCTCTCTTGGCAAAATAGAACGTGTAACATTGGTTGGTGACGTTCTAGATAGAGATGTAGCGCTTGTAGACTGATATAGGAAAGTTTTAAAGGTTGCATGTTTCTAAAGGTATTATCGAACATTTTCGATTGTGTAGAGTTCTTTTTTCTCTATATTTAGGAACCCTTGGCTTTATCCTGATTTTATCTATCAAATGACCGCAGGAGCAAGAAAGTTTGCTAAAAACTGTGCCCTGATTCGTAACAAAGCCAAAGAAACAGTCGAAGAGCGGAGAGCTGCTTTAAAAGACACTGTAAGTATTGCGAACGTGTTGTTTTGCGTAAGAAAGTAAAAAAAAATAGATTTATATTTTTCTCCAAAATTAAACCATCTGAAAGCAATGGTCATACTACACAACTGCTTGGTATAGCGAGTATCTTACGCATGCGTGCAACATATTCTTATATTCCTTGCCTTATCACAGAGTTGTGTAGTGTGACCATTGCTTTCAGATGGTATAATATTTCCATACACCTGTATCTTAATCGTAGTAATTCACAAAATGTTACAAAATTTACAGCTTTTATAATTGTCTCCAAAACCTGTGATTGCTCTTAACCCTTTAAGCCCTAAGAGTGATTAGTATCAAAATTCTCCTTGTGATATCAATGCTTTATTATAAAATGGATTGGTGATGAGAATTAAGGACATGATCACACAAGCCACAATGAGTTGATACTTCAACAACTTCTCACTACTACTTTTATAGGAAATGTATAGGGACAACAAATGAGAATTTGAATTTTGATATTAGAGCTTAAAGGGTTAATAGTAACTAATTTCCACCGGGGCTCCCGCTCGTAATTGAAAGGAATTATGGAAATGAATGAAGCGACTCTGGAGGTGAGAGAGAAAAGGTGTTTTTGAGCTACGCAAGTCAACTGGAAGTGGACTTTTTGCATTTTTGGGCATTGGTTTTGCCAAACTTCTAGGGCAAATTGTCTCTATAAGAGAAAAGATACTTGGCAATACAAATTTGTTAACTTTAAGGCACAATCAAAGGGTAAATGACCGACTTCCGGTTGACGTAAGTCGTTGGAATCTGATTTTGCTTAAGCTCTTTATTGTGTAGACGCGCATATCATCGCTGTAAGGAGATAGGAGGGTCGCCGGCCGTTGTTTGACTTTTAACGATAGACCATTTTACAGTTGTGAGCTTAGTATCCCAGCTTTAGAGTGAACGTGAGGCTGAAGTTAGCATTGGTTTGATACAAACCTCTTTCCTTTTCTCGTGGAAATTATGAAATTAAAAATACCAGAATACCAAAGCAGGAAGGGTTATATCAAAATATGGTCAACTCCTGCCTGTTTCCACCTGTAACTGTAAAATGGTCTATTCACGGACAGAATGCATGAGAAATCGAAGCTTTCATAATACTTATACGGTCAGCGGCATATCTCAGAGCCTGCTTTCCTTTTGGTCAGTGTGAGCAGTGGCCCTTTTTGTGCTGGCCCAAAACAGTGGGCTCTGAGGTCTAAAAGGTGTCATCAGTAATAGGCCATTTTCAGAATAACGTCAAATTACATCAATTATAAGCAAGAGAACAAAAAATGGAAGCAGTCTGGTAATTCTATATGGGAAAATATCTGACCTCTGAGGCCTTCTTAGAAATAATGACCAAGCGCGTAGCCCGATGTTATCATTTTAAGAAGGCCGAGGAGCGATTGCCATTATCTGATGAAATGTACCTTTCCACTGTTTTCAAATCCGCAGGTCATTATTGTGGCCACTGAAGTGAAACAGTAGGCTATTATTGGCAATAAAGAGTATAGAAAATGAGCAGGTAAAAACAGCTCAAAACAATTCTTGTGGATAATGAATTATGTGTAGAAATAATAGACAGCAAACGAAAAGTAAAAGGGTAGTCACGTGGTACAAATTCGCGTTTGCCGTTTGACGTAAACGTGGTGCTTACCCTCTCTAATAACAGAGATATTTAAAGTCACGTTTTCGCCAAGCGTGAATTTGTACCACGTGACCAAGTTTTCCCCTTAATTGTCGTTAACTGTTTATTACTTCTACTCGGAAAAGAGTATTTTCACACCAGTTTTATCCGTAAGAATTGTTCTGGACACTTTTTATTTGTTTATTGTCTGTTCTGAGATTTACTCAACTTGAATCTGACGTTTGCCGTTTGTCGTAAATCTGACTCTTAAGAGAGATTAAGATTTACGTTTACGGCATACGGCAAACGGCAAACGTCAGTTGAGAATTTCTCAGAATAGAAAATAAGCAGATAAAAACAGTCCAGAACGATTCTTGTGGCGTTTTGACCGTAATTTGATGTTATTTTTGTGTGGAAACAATATACAGTAAACGAAAAATAAGGAGAGAACTTCGTCACGTGGTACAAATTCACGTTTGCCGTTTGGCGTAAACGTGAATCTTAATCTCTCTTTAATCTCTCTAATGACCTCCTGTTTCACCTCAGTGACCTGCCTTGCATTTATTAAAAGCAATTAATGAGCCATTTGTTCTTTATTTTTAAGAGTTTTGAGAGTTCTTTGTTTATGACCAAGGTTATTAGTGCATAATTTGCCACTGGCACATCTCCCATAATGCACCTCATTTACCCCCCAAATTTTGCATAACCTTTGTTTTTCATTTCCTCTGGGTATTACAGCCGTCCCAAGAGAAACTGAAAATAATGCTTATGCAAAATTTTGGAGGGCAAATAAGGTGCATTGTGGAAGATGTGCAAGTGACGAATAAAGAATGGAAATTCCCTTAGGGAAACGTACTGCTTCATGTTTAGGGGCATCCCTAGAATATTCTACTTATAACTTCTGCAGGATGAGCAAGAGAGGATTCAGAAGAAGAAACGTTTGGATTTCTTAGACATCCTACTCGGAGCTAGGGTAATGCAAAAATACTATAAAATGTGGCGTATAAGCCCACGGTTTATGTATCTTGGCAAGGTGTTTTAAGACTGCTTATATCCAAAGGGGCTTGATAACCGGAATAGAAAAATCTCTTTGAAACAAGCTACAGCAGTGCTGATCACAAACACGTTTTATATTAAATTTTACTGTTTTTCAATTAAGCTTCAAAAAGTCATAAATCGAACATATTTCAACAAATGCGGAACAGAATTACAGGAGGGCTTATATCCCGCGGGGAGTCCTTGTAATCGCATGTATATTTTTGTTACAGGTAGCCTATAACTGGGGAGTGGGCTTATAAGCAACAGTTTACGGTACACCTGTAACTAGAAAGCCTATTCACCATTGTCACCTAGACCATAATGTTCCTTGTTTACCCCCCAAAATTTTGCATAACCATTGTCTTCGATTTCTCTTGGGACGACTGTATTACCCAGGGGAAATTGGAAACAATGGTTATGCAAAATTTTGGGCGGTAAACGAGGTGCATTGTGGTGTATGTGAAAATGGTGAATGCAGGCGTTTTAAAGTCCTGAGTGACGATCATGCTGCTGCTAGACAAAGATTCTTTTCCTTTTTTCACAAGTTGTGTACGACTTTTTGACTGCTTTGATGTGTTCCGTCTCAAGCAGAACCAATCTTTTGGAGAACGATTATCACAACTTGAAAGGTTTAATCAATCAGTAATCCTTTAAAAAATGCATGCAACCCATCAAATGATGTTGAAAACATGTCAAAAAATGCCAAAAATTTTGTTTAGTGGCGCCACCGTAATCACAACTTCTACCTTAGCGTCAAGTTGCCGTTATAATAATTGTTGCATTTTTTGCTCTATCAAACACTAAAAAACAACCACCATACAAGACTTTTTCATTATGCTGCAGGATGAACATAGGAATGGTTTGTCCGAGGAGGAAATAATTTCAGAAGTCATGACCTTCATGTTTGCGGGACACGATACAACAGCCAGCTGTGAGTAAAACTATAAATTTAGAGGAAAATTCTTAAAAGTGGCCCTTCTTCCTAAATACTGTTTTTTTTTTTTTGCTTTCTGACAAATGGCCATTTCTGTATTAATTAAAATGAAATAAGACTTAGTAGCAATGCAGTGCTAATTGGGGACCCTGGAAAATACAGCGTGAAACAAACAAACTAGATTAGAAAGTTGTATAAAGAATTCCACCCGTTGGGAGAGTTTTGTGTTCGTTGGTTTTACTGATCCGTTTAATTTAGAAAGTGCCGCCATCTTGAATTCGGAAAAAACATTCCTTTTTGTTCAATTCCAAAGCTATCTCTTGGACATTGTACAACTTGGCACGGTTTCCAGAACACCAACAGAAGTGTCGGCAGGAAATTGAAGAGGTGTTTGGAGAGAAGGAAGAGTTTGAATGGTTAGTGTTGATGTGAAGTTTCTAACTATCCTATTGCACATACTGGGTAACTTGCCCAGTCCTTAGGCGCCAGTGTTCCGCGCGGTCTGTGCCATTCAGGTCACGTGGTCCGGGCGAGTTTGTGAGAGCTTCTCCCCACCGTTCTATATCAACCGAAAAGGCCTGGGAAGGCGCATCTTGGCCGGGTATCTGCACAGGAATGAACGGATTTAGAGATGGGGTGGCGGAGGGGCAACGGTCCTCTCCTCTAGTTTGAAATGTTGGTTTTAAAATTTCTGAAAATTCGATCTGTTTTCCAGGTCCTTTATTTCTGGACACAATCGCTCTTAGAGTTCTTTAACCATTACCAAGTATCCATAACTGGTACTACCAAATACTTCGGATCCCTCTTTCTCTCTGCAGGCGATACCTTTAAGAGAACCTGACCGGAATGTCTTTGCATAGAGGCCTACAAGTTTTAATATTGTTCTTTTACGAGTATGCTTATCTTGTCTTTAATAGGAATGATCTCAACAGACTGAAATATCTTCAACTATGTATTAAGGAATCTAATCGGCTTCACAGCGTAGTTGTTTCTACCAGTCGCGTGTTAGACAAGCCCTATGAGATAGACGGAAAAGTGGTACCAGAAGGTTAGTTGCTGAACTGAAGCTCAATTTAAAAATTACAGGCGAACCTCAAAGTGCGACCACCTCCCATAAGCGACCACCTATCCAAAACACCAAAATTTTCCCAGTCAAATCACCACGGTTGCAACCTTGGTAAAATGACTACCTCTCTCGTAAGCGACCGCGACCACTTTTTTGGAAGACGGTTGTAGAATTTCCGATTATTTTTATCCTTCTATAAGCGACCATTTAAGGCATTGTTTGATCTCTATGTTCGTTGTTTGCACTACGATGGTAAGGGAATGCGATGTATGTTCAGGGACAACATAAAACTACACATGTATGGTTACTTAGAAATTGCATGCAATGAAATCTCTTTAAAAACGTAGATATGTCGGGACTTCGTCTTGGAAGAGACTCCCGTGGTTCGATTCTCGTAAGGGATTGATACACCACTCACTAGTAATCACGCTGGTACAAATAGTTCCACTCAGTAGATCGACATTATCGCCTGGTGAAGGCCTGCGGTACACGGTCGAAACGTCGCGATCAATGACTGAGGTCATAACGCAGTGTTATCGCGAGACAAACGATAAACAAATTCCTTTATGCAGCTGTTTACACATAGGAATATCTCTCACGAAACATCTTTATATTGTTTAACAGGTACCTGGGTGAGGACTCACATGTTTGCCTTGCATCGTAATCCACATGTGTGGAAGGACCCAGAGGTCAGTGCGCTGAAATTCAGGGCAGTGTTAAACTTGCAAGGAAACTCGCAACAGCTGCTTAACAAAACTTATCTTTTAGAGTGAAACCAGCAACTTTGTGCATTCTTCAATTACTCATGCCGATTTTATTTTTTAGACTTTTGATCCTCTTCGTTTCACCAACGAAAACATGAAAGAAATGTCTCCATATGCGTACATTCCCTTTTCTGCTGGACCAAGGTAAGGCTTCAAATTTAAATGTATTTAAAAACAATTTCGTCTACGCTAAGAACAACGAAATGAGGATTTTTCTCGGGAGACCACAAAAAAACCTCAGCATACTTTGTGGCCCTTGATGTCTTGAACGATTCACTTAATAACGGATCTTAGGACTTTCTGACCCCTCAATAGAGCAGAATCAAACAATTAGAGGTGCGTCCCTTCATACATCGACCCGCGACAAAGGCGTGGTTCTGTGCATGTGGATCAAGTTGTCCGCGCGATGTATATTATTGATATTTTATTGACTATTTCCTGACGTTGTGGGAATGTAAACACCTGGGAGATGTTTTACAAAGTCTACTCTCTATAACTCCCTTTATTTTCTCTTGCCCTTGTTCGTAAATTCCCCACCCACTCTTTGCGTAAATAAGCAACATCATATTGTAACCCAGATCTCCCTCGCTTAAGAGGAGCCGGGGAGTCTGTGGTCAGGCACCTCTGAGGTCTGAGGTCGAGATCGTCCAACAGCATGTTCAAATTTTCTTATTTCAATTATCAGCAGCTTTTAAGACGTGAGAGAAAAAGAGATCGGTTTTTACATCACCCTTCGTAATTCAAGACGGTACTATCATTTATGCTTTCAGAAACTGTATCGGCCAAGCGTTTGCCCTTGCTGAGATCAAAACAGCTATTGCAATGATTCTTCGCAAGTAAGTGAAAAAACTAAAACAACTGAGTCTGAAGTTTTGTTAATAACCAGGCGAATGAAGTCTCATTTTTACAGGGTTAGCCTTATCTCAAGTTAATAGATGCAGAGTCTTCCGCGGGCAACCCACGTTGAAGTTGTTTTACTGAGACACTTGATTTTAAGTGTCTCATACATTCAAATTGTTTCCAATGTATTCCTCACTCATTCCCCGGGACTACTCGTCTTTGGGAAACGAGAAGACTCTCGGGACAATCTTACATTAGCCTCGTCTGCAGGCTAGTTACAGTTCACTACCAATATTTAAGTGGTCTATAGCGGGCATCCACTCACGTGACTAGGGGCCACCATTTTCACAGAGAAGTCGTTACGTCACTTTGCCATGGTAACAAAAAAAATGACATGTAGGACTTCCCTGCGCATGACTGCACTCAGGAACAAATCAATAGCCCATAGTTTCGTTCCATCGTTGGACAATGCAAATGGCCGTCTCCGTCAAGAAAAATTGTTGGGATGCAAAAATATTGCTACCACGTCACACTTTTTCTCTCTACTGGAACAGACGAGAGTGTTCATTCGAGAAAAGAGTTAAATCCGCACAGGAGTATTGACCACTACAGAAAATACCATAACATACCAAAGAACTCTTTGTTAGTCACTCCAAAACTTTGCATAAGCATTGTCTTCAGTTTCTCTTTGGAGTGCAAATGGCCCCAAAAGAAACTGAAATTACTGAAATTAGGGCTTTGGACGACCAACAAAGAGTATTATGGTAAGTTATGGTATTTTCTGTAATGGTCAATTTTAACACCCTATTAATACACCAATAAGCACAAAGTAAAAGCTTGGTTTCCTTCTGACAGGTTTGATTTAAGCGTAGCCCCACAGAACATTGTATCAAATGAAGATCTCCAATCTCATCTGATTCTTAAAGCGAGAAATGGCATTGTGGTGAATATCTCACCGAGGTCTACTCCCTAGAAGGTGAAAACGAAACAAGATTGTTCAAGAATTCAATGGCTGTTTGCCTAACTCGGTACTCTGAAACTTAGCTAATGTAATGTAAGAGGTGTTTTAAAAATACTTTGTCATGCCAGACTACTGCAAAACAGTCCGTATTTTTGCGTATTCAAGGCTCGTGTGGGTCGCGCGTGGGAGACTTTAAACCGATTTGGAGAAAAATAAAAAACCGACTGTTTGCAGTGTATTGTTATGCATAATCACCATCGCGATTTCTACAAACAAAAGAACCTCAAATAAGCAGTGAATATTAACTCAGAAGCGACATCGCCAAATGACTATGGCAAATGGAAAAATGATGGCCAAAATTTATTGAAACTGAAACGGCTTCATTCAGGGTAGGAAACATTTTCGAGCATGTGACATTTATGCATGCCTTTTGAGGCGCACGTTTTTAAGTACTTCTCGGTCGTTTCCTTTTCAATTTCGCTTTAATTTTAACTTTGATGATCGAAAAGCCTTGCATGTACGAAATATTAGCATGTTTACCGTAAAAACAAATATTATCCCCGTTTTTTGAAGCATTCTCTTTTTCCATTTTTAAATCGGTCACTCGCGGGAAATCGTAAATATTGTTCAAGTTAGTGCGTAGTTTCGTATGAAAAAGTTTGTGTTATGTATTTCTTTAAACCCCCAAAAATATTGTTTTAAAGTGATTGTTAAAAACATATGCATTTCAAGTCTTGTTAAACTGTATAGTCATCTAAAAGCTGAAAAAATGTTTAATATAAACTATCTTCTATATTAGACTGTATATTTATCTAAAAGCTGAAAAAATGTTTTAATATAAACTATCTTCGCTACGTCTTTGAGGCAATAAAAGCGAATAAAGAGAATCGAATTGTTTAGCGTGCTGTAGATAGTGTTTTGCGTGTGTTCATGTGGCTAACTGACCGACAATGCAACATCGTGATCGATGTTAAAATTTTCTGGTATAACTCCTCCTTAAAAGTGGCTTTGAGGTTAAAGGAAAAAAAGGGTAAAAATATATTTTTAAAAAGGAACATAGAAATATGTAAATATATAGAAAGCTAATTCTGTGAATAATTTTTTTTAAAAAGTATTTAGTCAGTCAGTTAACATTGTAAGTAAAATTAATTCAATGATCTATGTTCACAGTTCCCTTGTTCCAGGGGTCTTTTCTCGAAATAGGATGAAATAGACCGTGCTTACGGCTTGATAAAGCTCCCGAGAAGGACGTAGTTGTTTTTTTCTCTCGGCGCTATGGCTTTGCGCCTTACTGCCGCAAACTATCAGAAATTAAGTGAAAAAAAACTTTGGGCGCCCAGGGTATGTTCATAGACAAGGATCGATTAATCGATCCTTTTGTGTTTTGAGATGGGGTTAGTGGAGTGCCAATCATGATCTTTTCGTGCCACATATGACGTGGGACGATTGAACACGTTAAAATTGCTTCTGGTCTGTCCGATTCTTGTCTATTTTGCCTCAAATTAATGGGTAATGAAAGTTAAACAGTATGTGAGGGTTTTGTAATTTCAAATCATCTATATAAATCGTGATGAAAATCGCCCTAAATATCGATTTGTTTTTCAACAGCGCCTTTTTAGCCTGTTTTTTTTAAAAAGATTTTTCAGTAAGTCAGCATGCCCGTTATCGGAATGATATCGATTTAGCGCAAGGGGCGCTAATTTTTTTCTTTTGGGGGTGGATTCTAAATCAAGTACAGAACGGCATTTACAGTTACTCTACGGGACAGAGCGCTTATTTCTTTCTAGACAAACAAACGACAACCTCCATAAAGTATCACAAGACGGTGAATGTTGAATGATGATTGAGTCGCGACTGCTTTAAAAATTATCAGCATTTGTCCTTTCTGCCTTATATTTTGTATAATTTTATCGATTAGTGAAATTTTTCCATAGGGGAATCCATTAGAGCCGTTCACGCAATGTTTAATTTGGAAAAAAAGCTTGTTCTAGAGCGTCTCTCACTAGAACGTCGTATAAATGGTTACTGCGATACGATGGTGGGCCTCTCTATGGGTATTTCCGACGAAATCGAAGTCGCGACGATCGTTATTGATGAAACGATAAAGTTTGGCAACCGGCATCTGCCAAAAAGAGTGAAACGTTTAGAGTTTTTCTTTTGCATTTTAAACCTGATGCTTTTTTATTTTTCCGTTTTCTTCGTCGTCGTCGCTCAAGCTCGCCTATAGTGGTACCCAGCGAACAATTCTTGATATGCTGCGACGATTTCGTTGAAAGCCGACGATATGATCGAAAACCACGACGAAAACGGTGTCAACAGGTACCCATACAGAGAATATAATGAATACTTCAGAAGCCAAGTGACACTACTGTAGTTTCCGAGAACAGTTTCGTTGACTTTCTGGCAGTTCTCGAAGTCATTTGGGCGAAGGAGATCGACTTCGTTTTTTCTTTCCTAGCTTTTCCTGAATATCGTTACTCACAACAAGTAAAATTTAAGTGAAAAATTCACTTGTGAGTGAGACAGGGAGGTACTGGGGCGAATAAAGGCAAAAACAGACCTGGAGTAAGATGATTGGACAAGGCTGTAAACAAGAAAATATTCCCGAATTTTAAACATCTCTTTTTACTTCGCTGGAAACATATGTAAAACCCTGGGCTAGTCACAATAGCTGGTAAGTCACAGAACCTTTATATTATTTGCTTGTTGAAAAGATACGTTTAGCTCAAGTTCTCAAGATGCGTCTGCTCTTTCAAGCTTACTTTCTCGCAATGTTTTTCGTAATGACCGTCAAAGACGATGGAGCTTCTCAATCCTGTCCCAAGCCGTACGACAAGAGGATGGTATGCAACCTGATGTGTAACATTCTACAGGATTCAAGCGCGAACGACGCCATTAAAATGTTGCAAACGAAACTAGAAAGTCTCATTGCTGAGTTGAACAAACCAGGGATAGCACGAAAACCAGGTAAATTGTTGCAGTTGTGAACGACTTTTTAGCTCAGTGAGGTTTGTAAGGCCACAAGCAGTGCTTCTAACCAGAGGAAAACTTCACTCACGAGTGAATTATCATAAACTTTCGCTTTTTCCACAAAGCTGTCTAATGGTCGCGCCTTTTACATTTTATTTAGCCAGAAAGCCCGTATGAAGTCGTTCTTAATTAACACCAGAATTTTTTACTTTCATACAGCCGTTCCCGCTTCCCCGTGCCAGGAACAGTATGAGAAACACAAGTGAGTTCCTAGATGCAAGTAATGTCATGAGAAAGGTAATTTTTAAGTGAAAGACACTGGCGGCTCTGAAGAAAATATCCGCGTACTTCCAGTAGGAGTCGAACCTATGACCGTCAGGTTACTAGTCCAGATGCTCTACCGCGGAGCTACAGGCGAATCATGGGAGCTAAGGCTACTAAACAAGTTAGGTTCAAATAAGTACTGACAAAAAGGCAATGATCGCCAAGAGACACTATCCTTTTCTTTTTCGAAACCAGCTTTAAAACGTTGATCTTCAATATTTTGACGCACAGTCAAGAAAGAACAAGAGTTGTCCAGAAATGCAAAAATGATCTTTGGTGAAGTAAACCTGACAGTCACTATTTTCATTTTCGTAGTTCGACCAAAAGCCAAGTGTACACGCTGAAGTTTGGTTCGCAAAAGATTCCTGTTTACTGTCACATGGGAAACTTTGGATGCGGAGATGGAGGGTGGACGTTGGCCATGAAGATTAATGGCGCAAAGGTAAAACGATTCTCCTGGCATACGGAAGTTATGTATATAGTGTAAAGTTGATGGGTTCTTGTTTGTATTTCAGAAAACTTTCCAGTACAACTCTGGGTTTTGGAGTAACAAGAATTCCTATCACCTTCCAGGAGGCAAGACCGGGTTTGACGATCAAGAGACTAAACTGCCATCCTTGACCTTGTGTAGGAAGAGGTTCTAGACGGACCCATACTTCTAGCCGGTCGTATAGTTCAAGTAACAATAGTTGTTCTTCCGGCGAAGAGAGCATTCATTGATCGCAGACGGGAAGTATCGCGCCACGTCACTGGGTCGTAACACGTGGAAAAAGCTGATTGGCTCTCAGGCCTCTTTACAAAGTAACTGTAACAAGGGAGGTTTCAATGTTCTCTGCGGTGGGACCAAAGTATGAATTGGTTTCCTTGCAAACAACGAAAATGAATGCAAATCATGCGACTCGGGGATTGGATTTGGTATTAATGTTGGTGCGTACACGAGTGGAAACTTTGGCGACAAAAGCATCAAATCCATGGGGTATATCTTGATTCAGTAAAAATGAACTGACCTGAGCATTGTTAAACTAAGCAGCAAAGGAAAAATAATAATAAAAAAGTTATTAAATACTAGCTGTGATTGTAGTAAGATTTTAACAAATCCATTGATTTCCTGGCAGTTAACAAGTGCGAAAAAAGGGGACACAATCATAAGTTTACGCAGAAAAGACCTTCATTCCGATTCGTCATTGAGCAAACGATGAGACACAATAACTCAAAAAGTATACCCACCCGCTCATCCGTGAAACTGCCTTGTCTTGAAACCAACAGAGGACGTGGCTCGTATTTAACTCAGCTTGTTAAACACCCATAACGATAATCTAAAATTAATGCCAACTTACTTTCAAAACATTACCTTCTCACTAAATTATATCAGTTCGAGGACCAAATTGTTGTAAACTGCCCAACGCAACGCAATACACCAAAGTGTTTTAAGGACGGTGCCCACTATTGTTACTGCGCACATTTTCTGCGCCCGCCAAGGTAGTCGCGCACGACGCAAAAGAAATGCGAAACACGCAGGACACGCGGACTGGTTTTGTCTCCTGTAAGTCTGGGAGGTTCTAGTTATTTCTTTTGGAAAAGATGCGTCGTTTTTCAACAGATGAAAAATAATTTCTATTTACCTTGTCAGTTCTTTGAAAACCGAAAAAGTATGCGCATGTTGCTATTTCTAGGTATGATCGATCTGACCGAACATTTTATAGTCAAATAAAAGTCAATTCTAAAACATCAAAAGTTATTGCTTTAAGATGTTACGTTTGGATCTTGGGTATTAAAATATCCCTTAATAGGCAAGGGTCAATAAATCAGAAGGAAAATAGCTCTAAGTCTTCCGCTTAATTGAGAAACTGCAAGCTTACCTTTCACTCGCGTCCTTCGCGTTTTATCGTCTATCGGCTATAAACACTTTCCAGAATATTTTTTAATGTTGTAAGATTTTATGTAATTATTCACCAGAAGATAGATTTAAAGCGTTCGAGTACACACAGATGTCCCTTTTATTGAGAGTCCTAGGCTTTTATTTGTTGAACAAACAAGAAAAAAACTATCACAAGATCACTTGGATTGCTGAGATCGCAGCTTCACAAATAGTTGCGGACGGCAAAGGAAACGCTTTCATCGCGGAAAAATGGTAAAACAATTGTTATGCTTTTTACTATTATCATTGTTATTTAAGCATTTTGGCTTTACATGTACTAAGCATTGAAATTATTGACTCATTGGCAGCTTGTCGTGTAGATAGTATTTCTTAAGGTTCAATTTCACGCCACACATAATCTGGACATTTAGACATAGCTGCCATTTGGCTGTTTACAAACTAAAGATGGAAGGTAAAATAAAGTATTAGCCAAAGTTTGTTTGTTTAAATAAACTATCAACTGTTTTTTGCAATGAGGACAACGAATTTTAGCGTGCTGTTGTGTTTTGTGTCTGTACCTGAACATATCTCTGAGATTTTTAATGTCAACAGAACAACGGATCGACAATCCAGCATTGTAATGTCGATATTGAATTCTCTGGTGTACCTCTGCTGAAAACTGGCTTACATGTAAGGGTTATGGGGAAATATGGCCAAAAAATATATCTAAAAAAAGCAATGTTGAAAAATGCAAAATATAGAAAGCTACTTCTGTGAATAATTTTTTCAAAAAAAATAATTAGTCCGTCAGTTGAGATTATATAGTCCAATGATCTGTTTCCACATAGCTTCACCCAATAGAAATCATGTGTGTTTCCATTTCTTCCTGACAAGAAAATGCTTAGATCATAGCTACTAGCGACAAGAATAAGAGGTCAATTGTGTTTTAAGAAGGGGTCATGTGGTGCCCATCATGTTCTTTTGCACTGAGAAGTTTGTACGACATATGACATGAGGCGATTGAACACGCTAAAATTGCTTTTGGTCTATCCAATCCTTGTTTGTTTTGCCTCAAATTAAATTTAACTATTGATAACGTGATTCAAATTAATGGGCAATGAAAGTTAAACAATACTATGTGAGATTTTCGTAATTTCAAATCATTTAGATAAATCGTGATGAAAATCGCCTAAATATCGATTTGTTTTTCAATTTCACCTGTCTAGCCAGGATCATTTTTTCAGGTTTTGAAGTAAAATCAGAATGCCCAATATCGGAATGATTCGATTTAGCGCAGGGAAGATAACTATTACAAAGTTTTACAAGAAGGTATATGTTTACAAGCTAAGGTAAAATGACGGATTGAGTCGCTAGTGATCTAAAATTATCATCATTTGTCTTTTCTGCCTTATATGTTTTTAAGTTGATCGATTAGTGTAAATCGTCTGCCGGAGAATCCATTAGAGCCATTCACGCAATGTTTAATTTGGTCGCTGTACTTTTTTTCTTTTAGCTAACTTTCTTCTTGAGCGTATCTCGCCACACGGCCATACGATGGTGAGCCTCTATGATTATTTCCGACGAAATCGAAGTCGCGACGATCGTTAATCAGTGATGAAACGAAAATCTTAGAAATTACAGCGACTATCGCATTGCCATTCCGATCAGGTTTGGCAACCGTGAGTGATGCGATGATGACAAAGGAATCTGCCACAAAGTGTGAAACGTTCAGAATTTTTGTTTGGTTTGCTTTTTAAAGCTATTTCCTTTTTATTTTCTCGTTTCCTTCGTCGTGGTCGTGGTTGTTCGAGCTAACCCTAACCCTAAAACCCACGATTTGATGGAAAACGCGAGTCGCCAAAAACAGAGACTGGATGAGAAGATTATAAAAATCAGTTCAGAAGCTGAACTCAAGTGACGTGTCTCATCCAAGTTACAGATATCAGTTTCGTTTTCATTCTGGCACTTGTTGACTTCATTTGGGTCGAAAGAAACCGACCTTGTATTTTCCTTCCTAGCTTTTCCTGAATATCGTTCTTTTTAACAACGATCTCTTCAAAAGAGAAAAAAGTCACAACAAGTAAAATTTGAGTGAACAATTCGCTCGTGAGACAGAGAGGTACTGGGGCGAGTAAAGGCAAAACAGACCTGGAGTAAGATGATTGGACAAGGCTGTAAACAAGAAAATATTCCCAAACATCAAACACATCTGTTTTTACTTCGCTGGAAATACAGATGTAAAACCCTGGGCTAGTCACAAGACCTGGTCAGTCACAGAACCTTTATTTACTTGTTGAAAAGATACCTTTAGCTCAAGTTCTCAAAATGCATCTGCTTTTTCAAGCTTACTTTCTTGCTATCTTTTTCGTAATGACCGTCAAAGGCGACGGAGCTTCTCCATTCTGTCCCAAGCCGTACGACAAGATGATGGTATGCAACCTGATGTGTAACCTTCTACAGGATTCGAGCGCGAACGACGCCATGAAAATGTTACAAGCAAAATTGGAAGGTCTCATTGCCGGATTGAACAAACCTGCGATAACACAGACGCCAGGTAAATTGTTGCAGTTGTGAACGACTTTTTAGCTCAGTGAGGTTTGTAAAGCCACAAGCAGTGCTTCTAACCAGAAGAAAACTTTACTCACGAGTGAATTAACATAAACTTTCGCTTTATCCACGAAGCTGTCTTATGGTCGCGCCTTTTGCATTTTATTTAGCCAGAAAGCCCGTATGAAGTCGTTCTTAATTAACACCAGAATTTTTTACTTTCATACAGCCGTTCCCGCTTCCCCGTGCCAGGAACAGTATGAGAAACAAAAGTGAGTTCCTAGATACAAGTAATGTCATGAGAAAGGTGATGTCTAACTGAAAGACACTGCCGGCTCTGAAGAAAATATCAGCTTACTTGCAGTAGGAGTCGAACCTATGACCTTCAGGTTACTAGTCCAGATGCTCTACCACCGAGCTACAGGCGAATCGTGGCAGCTAAGGCTACTAAACAAGCTAGGTTCAAATAAGTACTGACAAAAAGGCAATCATCGCCAAGAGACACTCTCCTTTTCTATTTCAAAACCAGCTTTAAAACGTTGTTCTTCAATATTTTGACGCACAGTCAAGAAAGAACAAGAGTTGTCCAGAAATGCAAAAATGATCTTTGGTGAAGTAAACCTGACAGTCACTATTTTCATTGTCGTAGTTCGACCAAAAGCCAAGTGTACACGCTGAAGTTTGGTTCGCAAAAGATTCCTGTTTACTGTCACATGGGCAACTTTGGATGCGGAGATGGAGGGTGGACACTGGCCATGAAAATTAATGGCGCAAAGGTAAAACGATTCTCCTGGCATACGGAAGTTATGTATATAGTGTAAAGCTAATGAGTTCTTGTTTGTATTTCAGAAAACGTTCCATTACAGCTCTGGGTTTTGGAGTAACAAGAATTCCTATCACCTTCCAGGAGGTAAGACCGGGTTTGACGATCAAGAGACTAAACTGCCATCCTACTGGAACACATCCTTCTCCAAGATCTGCCTGGGTATGAAGATCGGCCAGCATATCAAGTTCATTGTTATCAACAAGAAGGCCGCTTCTCTGCATTCATTGATCGCAGACGGGAAGTATCGCGCCACGTCATTGGGTCGTAATACGTGGAAGACGCTGATTGGTTCTCAGGCCTCTCTACAACCTAACTGTAACAAGGAAGGGTTCAATGTTGGTCGTGGGCACAATACCCCAGGAGCCAGGATTGGTTTCCTTGGAAACAACGAGAAGGAGTGCAAATCATGTGACTCATGGATTGGAGTTGGCACTGCGACGAGGTCTGACAGCTACACCACGTGTGGAAACCAAGCCAACAGCGGAGGTGATAATGGAGACAAAAACATCAAAGCCATGGGATACATCTTGGTTCAGTAAAGTTAATATGAACTGACTTGTGCATTGTGCATTTTCTAAAAAGCAAATGAGGAATTAAAGAGTAATTTAAACCTGTTTGTAATGGTGGTATTATGATGACTCTGACAAATCCATTGACTTCCTGTCAGTGATCATTGACAGCACTGAGCGAGAAAAACGAGTAACTCACTGACTTAAATTGGGGGAAATTGGAACTTAAGGACAAACACTTCCACAGAAACGTTCTCCGTTGATCGTCAGTGACCAAACGATGAAACAAAATAACATTAACTGTTAGAAGGGACAAACATATACCCACCCGCTGATTCGTGAAACTGCTTTTCCCCAATACCAATAGAGTGATTCGCATTCAACTCGACTCAACACCCATAACAGTAATAAAGAAAAACGACAATTTACCCTTTCACCAAATTACTTCACTTCGAGGTCCAAATTGTTGTTAACTGCCCAACGCAACGCAATACACCAAAATGTTGTTAACAGAACGATACGAATTTGTTAGCTGCACAATGTCTTGTAACTGAGCAAATTTTTCATCAACGGTGTGTTTGAAATTGAGTGACAAGTCAGCAAACATTCCAGAATTATACTATTTTTACTTTTGTTTCTTCAACAAAACTACCATCGAATTAAGTTTGTGATTACGCATTTATTCGTAATCTCATATTTAAGAGTACAGAGAATGTGGATCCATACTCTTGCCATTACAATATGAAGCCATCACGGTCGGTACAATTAGCAGCCTGACCTGTTCTAAATCGCTCTGTTATTGAGAGTGTTCCCATTAAAAGGAAAGAAAATCGCAACCCAGGGTCGAGCCTGGACACCGAACACGCACCTTTTGTATCCTAATCTCTCTCTCTCTGACCACTACACTACCACACCGACCGGCCAAACTTCCGAATAATTTAAGTCTATAAACTAGCAAACTGTCTCTCTTAACTGATACATCAATAACAGGTGACCCTAGCCCTTTCCATAACTTTAAACGTGGATTCAAGTTAGGGTTCAACGTCGCTCTTTCTAAGTCTATTCAAAAACGTACTATATTCAGTATTTACCTTAATGTAACTTAATCTAGGGAATGCATTTCATCTATCGTGACTAATACCTTGGTTACCAATGGTGGCATCGACCGTTAAAAATGGCAACGACCGTTTACGAAAGGGAAATAGGCGTTGTAGTCCAAATAGTTGTAATAAAGATTATGATACCTTTTCCCGGCTACAAAGGTGTTGGTCTTCAAACTTGCCCCAGTCCCTTCGCGCATAACGATCATTTGTAGCCGAAATTGTCCCTTTGTTGCCTTTTTGAGATGAAACGAGAACGGTGACTTCCCCCTTTTTAAATTAGTGTTATTTGCTCTTTATGGCTCCATGAAAATTGTACTTTAAGGAGGAAAAAATCTGTGTAGTCGACGTTGTATTATTTCGATATGAATGACTTGAAACTCCGCATTTACAGCCACAAGAAGTGCGAGATTAAATGCTAAAATTGTCCATTTTTCCACACTTTTACAATATCGGGTAATTTGAAGTCACTTTACTGAAAAATTATAGTCTAGACAAACAAACGGGCTATAAGTTTTCGTAAGATTCATAATCGGTTTTCGCTGTATCGTAAGGATTTTTGACGGACATAAAATTTAAAATCATGGCCAGGTAGGACGGAAACAAGCACGGTCACTCCATATTTTGTTAATTCTTTTCTGCTCTTGGAAAATCGCAATAAATAATCACTCCTGAACTCTGAGCCTGTACTCAAAGGGGCTGAAGTCTCTTATTTCGAACTATGCGCAACAGTATTCTAGTCTTCGGATATCTTCGGCAGTATACGGACAGTTTCGGTAGTCTTCGGAAATCTTCGTCAGTCCCCAGGAATCTTCGGTAGTCTTCGAGAAATCTTTAGAAATGATCGGGAACTGTAGAAAAATGTCCGAAAAGTTCTTGATGTACCAAACAAAATAATATTGTTGGCTTTTTTGAAGCCGTTTTGCATCTTTGTAGAAAACTTTTACTGTTACAGTGATCTTTTCACTGTTAATATTAAAATACCTAACATTTCACTCTTTCATGTTCCAGAGCAGAAAAAAATAAGTATTTAGTGTTACCCACATTCGGACCCTCTTTTATAATATTACAGTTTTCCAATGCAATGTCCTAAATATGGCTGACAATTGTGCCAAGTTTGGAAAAAATCTGGATGATCCAAAAAAATTACAAACTGATTCGGTCCTGAGCCTTATTCTTTGCTGCTAAAAATACAAGGAAAGCTACTTGCAATAGTGTATAAAACTGAGAGGCAAGTTATTTAAAAACACCTGCTGTACTTTTCAGACTTTTGCTGTCATTCTGTCTCCCGTTTCATAGTCAATGATCTGTTATAAAAGAAATTAAAAGGAAGAGCTGTCCTAAAACTGGGGCTTTACCTTAGCATGTAAGTGATAATTAGAACAATTAGTGTCGATCAGTTAACACAAGTTAAATAAATCGGCGTCTAACACATTTCCCCTCATGGAAATCATATCTACTTTCTGTTCCTGAGATTGACATAGGCTGCACACTAAATCAATTATGTTTTGCTCATGGGGCATAGTTAACAACAGCGACGTTCGTGTTATCAGTAATGGAAATAAATTTCTAACTTTAACATTATGCCACGTGGACGGGATAATTGAACACGCTACAGATACTGCTTTTGTTCTATCAAATTCCTGTTTATGTTTTCTTAAATTTAATTTTATTATCCATAATTTGATTTAAACTAAGGTCGGTAAAAGAAACAAATTCAAATGAGAACGTCTCAATTGACTGGGTATGAGATTATCGTTATTGAAAATAATCTCTTAACCGTACTGAATCATTACAATCTCCAAAACATGGAAACGAAATATATTAATACCCCAGCGCATTTCAGTTTAAAATTTCTCTCTACTCAGTGAAGGATCAAAAGTAACTATTATTTTTGTGTGCATGCCTTAAACAAATTTTTGACAAGCGTCCGGAATGTTGGTCATTTTTGTACTCTCAAATTTGCAGTTCGTTTCTATTTTTGGCCATGTCAACGAACTGAGTGTTGGCTTGAAGACCAACACAAAAGAGGCAACGACATTTTGACTTCACAATTAGGCCTGAAGGTAGCCCCAGTTACACCGTCGCATTTCACATGTGCCGAATTTAATGTTGATGAGCAAAAAATTGGTCATCATTGGCCTTTCACTTTTTCAATGAACTGGTCAGGATGTTAAATCTTCTGGAAGAACGATGTTGAAGTGATTAGAGACTTTGATTTTTCTCTTGCTCAGCTTGGTCAAACAAAAGCCTTCATAGGTTCTTCTTTTTTTTACAGCGTTGTAGAATACGACGCTGGGACTTCATTTAGGTCGAGAGCTATCGCCTTTATCTTTCCTTGTGTGAATTTATTGCTTTGACCCACAAACAAGCAAAATTTGAACGAACAAATTTCTCAATACGGCAAAGAGGTACAGAGACGAGTAACAATCAATGCAAACCTGGAGTAAGTTGATTGGACGAAGCTGTAAGCATGAAAATATTCCGAACTGTAAACATAACCTTCTTCATTACCTCATTAGCTGTGTAAAGCCATACGTTAGTGACGAGAGGTGCTGATTCACGGAAACTTGGCTTCACATTTACTTCAAGTCCTTAAAATGCGTTTGTTTTTCCAAGCTAACTTTCTCGCGGTCTTTATTGTAATGACCGCCAAAGGCGATGGATCTTCTTCATCCTGCCCCAAGCCGTACGACAAGATGATGTTATGCAACCTGATGTGTAACATTCTACAGGATTCGAGCGCAAACGACGCCATTAAACTGTTACAAGCGAAACTGGAAAGTCTCGTTGCAGTGATGAACAAACCTGCAATAACAACAGGTAAACTATAGCAGATATTAACGAACTCTCACTTCTTCGACGCATTTGTCTTCCGTTCTCACGCGTCTTATTTTGCTAAGCGAGAGGATCTGAAGACATTATTAATAGAAACCTTTTTATTTCCTATTTGATTACAGTCATTGCCGCTTCCTCATGCAAGGAACAGTATGAAAAACACAAGTGACTTTGAATCTGAATAGATAGATACAGTGTTGTGAAATAAGGCAATTGGCACCAAGAAAAACTGGCTTTTTCTATTTAAGAGATGCTATAAATTTTTTCTTAAAAATTTGACATTCAGTCAAAAATGACAAGAGTTGACGATAAATGCAAAATATAATAATACAGTGAATGTTGCGTTCGCTATTTTCATTTTCGTAGTTCGACCAAAAGCCAAGTGTACACGCTGAAGTTTGGTTCGCAAAAGATTCCTGTTTACTGTCACATGGGCAACTTTGGATGCGGAGATGGAGGGTGGACGCTGGCCATGAAAATTAATGGCGCAAAGGTAAAACGATTCTAATAGCATACGGAAGTTATGTATATGGTGTAAAGCTGATAGGGTCTTGTTTTTATTACAGAAAACATTCCATTACAACTCTGGGTTTTGGAGTAACAAGAATCCCTATAACTTTCCAGGAGGTAAGACCGGGTTTGACGATCAAGAGACTAAACTGCCAACCTACTGGAACACATCCTTCTCTAAGATCTGCCTGGGTATGAAGATCGGCCAGCAGATCAAGTTCATTGTTATCAACAAGAAGGCCGCTTCTCTGCATTCATTGATCGAAGACGGGAAGTATCGCGCTACGTCACTGGGTCGTAATACGTGGAAGAAGCTGATTAGCTCTCAGGCCTCTCTACAACCTAACTGTAACAAAGAAGGGTTCAATGTTGGTCGTGGGAACAATATTCCAGGAGCCAGGATTGGTTTCCTTGGAAACAACGAAAAGGAATGCAAAACATGTGACTCATGGATTGGATTTGGCACCGCAACGTGGTCTGACAGCTACACCACGTGTGGTAACGGAGCCCATGGTTCAGGCGCAGATAATGGATTAAAGAAAATCAAAGCGATGGGGTACATCTTGGTTCAGTAAAGTGAATATGAACTGACTTGTACATTGTTTTTCTCAAAAGCAAATGAGGAATTAAAGAGTAATTTTAACCTGTTTATAAAGGTGGTATGACTGTAACAAATCCATTGATATCTTCTGGCAGTAAACACTGAGCGAGAATATCGAGCAACTCACTGACTTAAACTTAGGGAATTAGGAACTTAAGGACAAACACTTACACAGAAACGTTCTCCATTGATCGTCAGTGACCAAACGATGAAACAAAATAACCTTAACTGTTAAAAGGGACAAACATATACCCACCCACTCATTCGTGAAACTGCTTTTCCTCAATACCAACAGAGTGATTCGCATTCAACTCGACTCAACACCCATAACAGTAATAAAGAAAAATGACAATTTACCCTTTCACCAAATTCCTTCACTTCAACGTCCAAATTGTTGTTAACTGCCCAACGCAACGCAATACACCAAAATGTTGTTAACAGAACGATACGAATTTGTTAGCTGCACAATGTCTTGTAACTGAGCAAATTTTTCATCAACGGTGTGTTTGAAATTGAGTGACAAGTCAGCAAACATTCCAGAATTAAACTTTTTTTTACTTTTGTTTTTTCAACAAATCGAATTAAGTTTGTGATTACGAATTTAAATCTCATTTTCAAGAGTACAGAGAATGTGGATCCATACTCTTGCCATGACAATATGAAGCCATCACGGTCGGTACAATTAGCAGCCTGACCTGTTCTAAATCGCTCTGTTATTGAGAGTGTTCCTATTAAAAAGAAAGAAAATCGCAACCCAGGGTCGAGCCTGGACACCGAACACGCACCTTTTGTATCCTAATCTCTCTCTCTTACCACTACACTACCACACCGACCGGCCAAACTTCCGAATAATTTAAGTCTATAAACTAGCAAACTGTCTCTCTTAACTGATACATCAATAACAGGTGACCCTAGCCCTTTCCATAACTTTAAACGTGGATTCAAGTTAGGGTTCAATGTCGCTCTTTCTAAGTCTATTCAAAAACGTACTATATTCAGTATTTACCTTAATGTAACTTAATCTAGGGAATATATTTCATCTATCGTGACTAAAGGCTTGGTTACCAATGGTGGCATCGACCGTTAAAAACGGCAACGACCGTTTACGAAAGGGAAATAGGCGTTGTAGTCCAAATAGTTGTAATAAAGATTATGATACCTTTTCCCGGCTACAAAGGTGTTGGTCTTCAAACTTGCCCCAGTCCCTTCGCGCATAACGATCATTTGTAGCCGAAATTGTCCCTTTGTTGCCTTTTTGAGATGAAACGAGAACGGTGACTTCCCCCTTTTTAAATTAGTGTTATTTGCTCTTTATGGCTACATGAAAAATGTACTTTAAGGAGGAAAAAAATCTGTGTAGTCGACGTTGTATTATTTCGATATGAATGACTTGAAACTCCGCATTTACAGCCACAAGAAGTGCGAGATTAAATGCTAAAATTGTCCACTTTTCTACAGTTTTTACAAGATCGGGAAATTTGAAGTCACTTTACTGAAAAATTATAGCCTAGACAAACAAACGGGCTATAAGTTTTCGTACGATTCATAGTCGGTTTTCGCAGTATCATAAGGATTTTTGACGGTGGTTCAAGTTTCGAACATTTCGCGCGCAAATAGGACAAAAAACTTCAAATCACGGCCACGCAGGGTGGAAACAAGCAGCACGGTCACCCCATATTTTGTTAATTCTTTTCTGCTCTTGGAAAATCGCAATAAATAATCACTCCTGAACTCTGAGCGGGTGCTCAAAGGGAGCTGTAGTCTCTTATTTCGACCAATGCGCAACAGTATTCTAGTCTTCGGATGTCTTCGGCTGTATACGGACAGTTTCGGTAATCTTCGGATCTTTTGAAGTCTCAGGAATCTTCGGAAGTCTTTGGAAGTCTTCAGAAATAATCGGAATTGTCGAAAAATGTCCGAAAAGTTCTTGATATACCAAACAAAATAATATTGTTGGCTTTTTTGGAACCGTTCTGTTTCTTTCCCAAAACATTTTACTGTTACAGTGATCTTTTCACTGTTAGTGTTTCAATGCCTAAAATTTCACTGTTTCATTTTCCAGAGCAAAAAAAATTAAGTATTTAGTGTTATCGAGGTAACCACATTTAGACCGTCTTTTATTACAGTTTTTTCAATGCAATGTCCTAAATATGGCTGACAATTGTGCCAAGTTTGGAAAAAATCTGGATAATACAAGGGAATTACATTCAGTAGCTCCTTGTGCGCCTTGTTAATTTGCAAACCCTGACTACACTAAATGTTATGTAGCAACTGATTCGGTCCTGAGCCTTATTCTTTGCTGTTAAAAATACAAGGAAAGTTACTTGCAATACTGTGTAAAACCGAGAGGTAAGTTATACAAAGAAACACTTGACTTTTCAGACTTTTGCTGTCAGTCTGTTGACGTATCAAAGTCAATGATCTTTGATAAAAGAAATTAAAGAAAAACCTGTCCTAAAACTTGGGACTTGCTAAAAAAAACAAAAAAACAAAAAGTTACCTCAGCATGTAAGAACATCATCTTACAGTCTGTGATAATTAGAACAATTAGTGTCGATCAGTTGACACAAGTTAAATAAATCGGCATCTAACACATTTCCCCCGACAGAACTCATATCTATTTTCTGTTCTTAAGATTGACATAGCCTGGCTGCACACTAAATCAATTATGTTTTGCTCAAGGGGCATATTTGAGAAGAGCAACGTTCGTCTTATCAGTAGTGGACATAAATTTCTAACTTAAAAATTATGCCACGTGGGCAAGATAATTGAACACGCTACAGATACCGCTTTTGTTCTATCAAATTCCTGTTTATGTTTAAATAAATTTAATTCTATTATTCATAATTTGATTTAAACTAAGGTCGGTAAAAGAAACAAATTCAAATGAGAACGTCTCAATTTACTGGGTATGAGATAAGCGTTATTTGAAATAATCTCTAGTAAATCATTATAATCTCCAAAACATCGAAACGAAATATATTTAAAACAGACAGAAGATTTGAACCAACGTCTTTCAAATGCCAATGATGATAATTCGCACTTAATACCAAAGCGCATTTCAGTTTAAAGTTTCTCTCTACTCATTGGAGGATAAAAAGTAACTATTATTTTTGTGTGCATGCCTTAAACAAGTTTTTGACAAGCGTCCGGAATGTTGGTCATTTTTGTACTCTCAAATTTGCAGTTCGTTTCTAATTTTGGCCATGACAACGAACTGAGTGTTGGCTTGAAGACCAACACAAAAGAGGCAACGACATTTTGACTTCACAATTAGGCCTGAAGGTAGCCCCAGTTACACCGTCGCATTTCACATGTGCCGAATTTAATGTTGATGAGCAAAAAATTGGCTATCATTGGCCTTTCACTTTTTCAATGAACTGGTCAGGATGTTAAATCCTCTGGAGGAACGATGTTGAAGTGATTAGAGACCTTGATTTTGCTCTTGCACAGCTTGGTCAAACAAAAGCCTTCATAGGTTCTTCTTTTTTTTTTTACAGCGTTGTAGAAGTCATTACTGCCAATACGACGCTGGGACTTCATTTAGGTCGAGAGCTATCGCCTTTATCTTTCCTTGTGTGAATTTATTGCTTTGACCCACAATCAACAAACAAAATTTGAACGAACAAATTTCTCGATACAGCAAAGAAGTACTGAGACGAGTAACAATCAATGCAAACCTGGAGTAAGTTGATTGGACAAAGCTCTAAGCATGAAAATATTCCAAGATGTAAACATAACCTTCTTCAGTAACTCAGTAGCTGTGTAAAGCCATACGTTAGTGACGAGAGGTGCTGATTCACATAAACTTGGCTTCACATTTACTTCAAGTCTTTAAAATGCGTTTGTTTTTCCAAGCTAACTTTCTCGCGGTCTTTATTGTAATGACTGTCAAAGGCGATGGATCTTCTTCATCCTGCCCCAAGCCGTACGACAAGATGATGGTATGCAACCTGATGTGTAACCTCCTACAGGATTCGAGCGCAAACGACGCCATTAAACTGTTATAAGCGAAACTGGAAAGTCTCGTTGCAGTGATGAACAAACCTGCAATAACAACAGGTAAACTATAGCAGATATTAACGAACTCTCACTTCTTCGACGCATTTGTCTTCCGTTCTCACGCGTCTTATTTTGCTAAGCGAGAGGATCTGAAGACATTATTAACAGAAACCTTTTTATTTCCTATTTGATCACAGTCATTGCCGCTTCCTCGTGCAAGGAACAGTATGAAAAACACAAGTGAGTTTAAGTCTTGAATAGATAGATACAGTGTTGTGAAATAAGGCAATTGGCACCAAGAAAAACTGGCTTTTTCTATTTAAGAGATGCTATAAATTTTTTCTTAAAAATTTGACATTCGGTCAAAAATGACAAGAGTTGCCGATAAATGCAAAATAAAACAATGCAGTGAATGTTAGGTTCGCTGTTTTCAATTTCGTAGTTCGACCAAAAGCCAAGTGTACACGCTGAAGTTTGGTTCGCAAAAGATTCCTGTTTACTGTCACATGGGCAACTTTGGATGCGGAGATGGAGGGTGGACGCTGGCCATGAAGATTAATGGCACAAAGGTAAACGATTCTCCTGGCATACGGAAGTTATGTTTATAGTGTAAAGTTAATGGGTTCTTGTTTGTATTTCAGAAAACTTTCCATTACAACTCTGGGTTTTGGAGTAACAAGAATCCCTATAACCTTCCAGGAGGCAAGACCGGGTTTGACGGTCAAGAGACTAAACTACCAACTTACTGGAACACATCCTTCTCCAAGATTTGCCTGGGTATGAAGATCGGCCAGCAGATCAAGTTCATTGTTATCAACAAGAAGGCCGCTTCTCTGCATTCATTGATCGCAGACGGGAAGTATCGCACCACGTCACTGGGTCGCAACACGTGGAAGAAGCTGATTGGCTCTCAGGCATCCCTGCAGACTGGGTGCAACAAGGAGGGGTTCAATGCTGCCAGTTCCGGCTCCTATGCTAAGGCAAGAATCGGTATCCTTGGAAATGACCAACGAGATTGCCACACCTGTGATTCCAAAATTGGGTTTGGAACGGGAGGAGACAAAGACGATTCCAACACATGTGGGAACAACGCTGTCAAGGGATATACATCGGATAATGGGGAGAGAAACATCAAAGCCATGGGATATATCTTGGTGCAGTAGGCTGAGCTCAATTTACTACTACCTTTACTGTACACGAAAAAAAATGACGCAATAAAAGGATTTTTGAATATTTGTGCCCTGCTATTACAATATGAGTGGTCCTTTTCTCTGAGGAAGTGACTTATTTACCGATAATAGCTAAGGAGTGATCGACAAATATGAATGGCGTTCTAACCAACTCAGTAACTGATGAATAAGTTTTCGTAAACCCGTCTCACTGGCTTCAAGAATTAGCTAATCTTTGGCTGATAAAAATAGACCTGAATCAGTGTTTAAGACTGAGCAATAGAAAGCCATATTAGAATAAATGCCCAAACTAAGGACCGACAAATTGGTGAACTAAGTAAAGCTATGTTCAGACAAGTATAGTATGAACAGCAACAACACAGAAATGGAACAAGCCGTTCACACAGATCGAACATCGAGCCGGAGCGGTTGGCCGAGAGGGTCTGGTGACCTAAATCCCAGTCCTCACTCCTGACCATTTTCTTTTGTCTCAGTGGATTCCAGTCTCTGCTCCTACGTATTCACTTCTGCTACGGTCCAAAAACCTGTTCGCACTGCACAAAGTGTGGCAGAGAACCTATGCTACACTTCTGCTACGGTCCAAAAACCTGTTCGCACTGCACAAAGTGTGGCAGAGAACCTATCCAATAACATATGATGATATGTGACGCTACACTTTCGAGATCGGCGCGGTAAAGCTTCACTCTGTTACAGAAATCGGGCCGAAATCACCGTTCTTGCGTGTGAACGGAAGCCCTAAGCGATATGGTTTTCCTGCCGGCGTAAGAGCTTTCCGGTACAGTGTGAACAAATCCTAAGTTAGGCTAAGTTGCTCGACCAACTCCTGTCGTGTTGGATTTGTAAAAGCTGGCACGCAAAAATAGATTATACAAAAGAAATTTTTAATAATCTTCCAACCCATTAAAATACACCGTTCCAGCAGGTACTGTTTCAAATGAAAATAAGCTTTTGACATTAAAACAAAAATCATAAACAGCTCAAAGTGTCTCAATGAGAATGAGAATCTTATTAGTTCATTCGCACTTGACATGCTATTACAAACTTGTAGCAAAAGTGAGAAGATAAAGACCTGATGTCTTGTAGTGGAAAATCCTCAGTGTCCTTGGGCAACTTTGAAACGCAGCCTTGCTATCTTTGGTCGAGATCCCTCTTGCTGTAAGTCAATTAATAAGAGAAAAATACCACTAACATGACAAGAAAAATTTGGCCAAATATCCCTTCGAAAAAGGCGATTGGCCACTTTAGAAACGAGAGGGGAACTGAAGCCGAAATGCGTCCCGCAATTGTTTCTGGGAGCGTTACTGGGGACACGCCGGTCAGCTATTGGCCAGTTCTAGAAATAGTCCCAGAACTCTTTGCGAACGTTAACTCGGCCCAGCTTCCCTCTCTTTTCTAAAGTGGCGAATGATGGGGATGCCCAACCTCGTCCCCAGGGCTTTTCTCTACAAAAAAATGCCCCTTCCCATTTTTTTTTTAGGGAAAAAGCCCTGGGGACGAGGTCGGGGATGCCAAGTGGAGTGTTAAGGCAGGCTGTATGTCGGTTAGTGAAAACGTAGACAAAAAAGTGAAAGAAAAAAAATAAAAACCCGACAATGTTTTAAAGAAATCCAACTCCATCTCTTCCTCACCTGAGATGTCATTTTTTGCCCTAAGAACCTAAGATCCGCCAAAGGAATAACAGATGGCCTAAGCAGGAAAACAAACTGGTTAATGAAAAGACAGATATTGAGTACAAGTATGATAATATTGAATTAACAGTTCGCTCTTAACCTATTGCAATCATTCATAAAAGCAACCAGGGCCTTATACCTGTTAGAGAAATGATAATAATGTTTCACGTTTGCGTCTTTGGGTGGAAGCCAAGGTGGTGCTAATTGGTGATGTCTGTTACGAGGCGCTTAAATAATGACCTCTATTCTATACCTCCAGAGAGAGAGCCAACCTTCAACTGGCCAAAAGAGGAAAGTTAGGCGCGCGAGGCGGCGATGGGCACTCATAAAAATGACAAGGATGCCGGTCGTCTCGCTTAGAGGTGGAAATTACGGATTTTGTTCTCAGTTTCAATTTTCAGGACCGAAAGCCAATATATATCACTATAAGATATCACTTTGAGTTTTTCGTAAAGAAATTGTTAAATGAAAATAACAAACGCCGTCATACTGTGTTGGAGTAAGATCCATTTTATGGGTGAAACAAAGCGTGGGTCACGCCCACGCTGGTCTCCTTTAGCGGTTTAATTCTAATTGTCCAACGAGTATCCTGTATCCTTGTCATTTTTATACCAGAGCTACCCCTCCCCAAACCTCCATGGGAGTTAGAGCCTTTCTATAAGCCCCACCCACCTGCCATGAGCACATTGAAAAGGTAACTGACACTTAGACGGGCGATCACTCACTGACACCAGTCTACTCTCCATAACCCTCTTTATTTGCTCTTGCCCTTGTTCATAAACTCCGCAGCCATACTTTGAGTACATAAGCAACATCATCTTGTAACCCAGATCTCCCTCGCTCCAGAGGAGCCGGGGAGTCTGTGGTCAAGCACCCGTAAGATCTGGGTTCGAGATTATCCAACATCATGTTCAAATTTTCTTATTTCAATTATCAGCAGCTTTTATGACGTGCGAGAAAAAGAGATCGGTTTTCACATCACTATTCGTAATTCAACACGGTACTATCATTTATGTTTTGAGAAACTGTATTGGCCAAGCTTTTGCTCTTGCTGAGATCAAAACGGCTATTGCAATGATCCTTCGAATGTAAGTGAGAAAACTAAAACAACTGCATTTTGATGATAACGAGGCGCGTGAAGTCTCATTTTTCCAGGGTTAGTCTCTATCTCAAGTTAATATATGCAGAGCCTCTTTCGCAGGCAACTCACGTTAAACGTTTCTTTTTTGCTGAGCCACTTGATTATAAGTGTTCCGTACATTGATTCAATTTGTTTTTGTGTTCCTCAACATGAGCGTTGACCTCGTCCCAGGGAATGCTCGTCTTTGGAAAACGAAAAGACTCTGGGGACAATGTTACATTAGCGGCCTCGTATGCAGGCTAGTTCTAGTTCACTACAAATACTTAAGCGGCCTACAGTTAGAGGGCATTCACTCAAGTGACTATGCGGCCTATTTCATTGGAAGAGAAGAGAGTGTTTACACGAGAAGAGAGTTGAACTCGCACAGGATTATTGTAACACCGTATTGATATACCAGTAGGCAGGCCTCTCTGAGGGTGGTGGGGTGGGTAGAACAATACAAAAAGGCTCTAATTGCTGCAAAGTGATAACTTGGTTGCCCTCTTACATGTTTGATTTAAGCGTAGCCCCACAGAATATTGTATCAAATGAAGATCTCCAGCCTCATCTGATTCTTGCAGCGAGGAATGGCATCGTGGTCAATAATTCACCGAGATCCACTCTTTAGAAGGTAAAATCCACGCAAGAATGTTCAAGAATCAAGTGGTAGTTCGCTTAACCGAAACAGCTGATGAAATGTAAGAAGTGCCAAATGCTTTGTTATGTATAGGCACCAGCGAAATTTTAGAAACGAGAAGAACCTCGAGTTAGCAGTGAATATATTCAGGAGCGACACGAAGTCGCCACATTTATAATTAATATCTCTGGAAAATCTGAGGAGCCCTTGGAGAATGGCACATGGAAAATGATGGCCACATTTCATTCAAACAGCTTCATTCAGGGCAAGAAAAATTTTCGGGCATGATATCTGTCGATGCCATTTTGGCAAAGTAAGGCGCACGTATTTAAGGCTCTACTTCTCGATTGTTTTCTTTAAAATTTCGCTTCAATTTTATCTTTGATGGGTGGATGAAAAGCCCTGGCATGTACGAAATATAACCTTTTTTTTACCGTAAAAACGAATATTATCTCTGTTTCTTGGGGCATTCTCTTTTTCCATTTAAAATCGGTCGCTCGCGGGAAATTATCGTAAAAATTCTTCAAGCTAGTGGGTAGTTCTTATAAAAAATTTTGTGTTCAAGTATTATATGTCAAGAACATTAGCATTTCAAATCTTGTTACGGTTCATACGTACTATTTAGCTAAAGAGACGAATAATGATTTTAAATAAACTATTAACTAGGTGTTTGTCGCAATAAGGAGAACGAATTTTAGCGTGCTGTTGTGTTTTATGTGTGTACATGAACACATCTCAGAGATTTTTAATACGGTCAACAGAACAACGGATCGACAATACAACATTGTAATGTCGATATGAATTTTCTGGTGTACCTCTGCTGAAAACTGGCTTACATGTAAGGGTTATGGGGAAATATGGCCAAAAAATATAACTAAAAAAAGCAATGTTGAAAAATATAAAATATAGAAAGCTACTTCTGTGAATAATTTTTTTTAAAAAAAATAATTAGTCAGCAGTTGACATTATATAGTCCAATGATCTGTTTCCACATAGCTTCACCCAATAGAAATCATGTGTGTTTCCATTTCTGCCTGACACGAAAATGCCTAGATCATAGCTACTAGCGACAAGAATAAGAGGTCAATTGTGTTTTAAGAGGGAGTCATGTAGCGCCCATCATGTTCTTTTGCACTGAGAAGTTTGTACGACATATGACATAGGCGATTCAACACGCTAAAATTGCTTTTGGTCTATCCAATCCTTGTTTGTTTTGCCTCAAATTGAATTTAACTATTGATAAAATGTGATACAAATTAATGGGCATTGAAATTTAAACAATACTATGTGAGATTTTCGTAATTTCAAATCATTTATATAAATCGTGATGAAAATCGCCTAAATATCGATTTGTTCTTCAATTTCACCTTTTTAGCCAGGATCAGTTTTTCAGGTTTTTAAGTAAAATCAGAATGCCCAATATCGGAATGATTCGATTTAGCGCAGGGAGAATAACTATTACAAATTTTTACAAGAAGGTATATGTTTACAAGCTAAGGTAAAATGACGGATTGAGTCGCTAGTGATCATCATTTGTCTTTTCTGCCTCATATGTTTTTAAGTTGATCGATTATTGTAAATCGTCTGCCGGAGAATCGATTACAGCCATTCACGCAATGTTTAATTCGGTCGTTGTATTTTTTTTCTTTTACCTAAGTTTGTTCTTGAGCGTATCTCGCCACACGGCCATACGATGGTGAGCCTCTATGATTATTTCCGACGAAATCGAAGTCGCGACGATCGTTAATCAGTGATGAAACGAAAATCTTAGAAATTATAGCGACTATCGCATTGAAATTCCGATCAAGTTTGGCAACCGTGAGTGATGCGATGATGACAAAGGAATCTGCCACAAAGTGTGAAACGTTCAGAATTTTTGTTTGGTTTGCTTTTTAAAGCTATTTCCTTTTTATTTTCTCCTTTCCTTCGTCGTGGTCGTGGTTGTTCGAGCTAACCCTAACCCTAAAACCCACGATTTGATGGAAAACGCGAGTCGCCAAAAACAGAGGCTGGATGAGGAGATTATAATAAACACTTCAGAAGCTGAACTCAAGTGACGAATCTCATCCAAGTTACAGATATCAGTTTAGTTTTCATTCTGGCACTTGTTGACTTCATTCGGGTCGAAAGAGACCGACCTTGTCTTTTCCTTCCTAGCTTTTCCTGAATATCGTTGTTTTTAACAACGATCTCTTCAAACGAGAAAAAGTTACAACAAGTAAAATTTGAGTGAACAAGTCGCTTGTGAGACAGGGAGGTACTGGGGCGAGTAAAGGCAAAAACAGACCTGGAGTAAGATGATTGGACAAGGCCGTAAGCAAGAAAATATTCCCAAATATCAAACACATCTGTTTTTACTTCGCTGGAACACAGATGTAAAACCCTGGGCTAGTCACAAGACCTGGTCAGTCACAGAACCTTTATTTACTTGTTGAAAAGATAGCTTTAGCTCAAGTTCTCAAAATGCGTCTGCTTTTTCAAGCTTACTTTCTTGCTATCTTTTTCGTAATGACCGTCAAAGGCGATGGAGCTTCTCCATTCTGTCCCAAGCCGTACGACAAGATGATGATATGCAACCTGATGTGTAACATTCTACAGGATTCAAGCTCGAACGACGCCATGAAAATGTTACAAGCGAAGCTGGAAAGTCTCATTGCTGTGTTGAACAAACCAGGGATAGCACAAAAACCAGGTACATTGTTGCAGACGTGAACGACTTTTAAAGCTCAGTGAGGGTTGTTAAGCCACAAGCAGTGCTTCTAACCAAAAGAAAACTTCACCCGGGAGTGAATTATAATAAAATCTCGCTCTTTCCACGAAGCTATCTTATGGTCCCGCGTTTTGCATTTTATTTAGCCAGAAAGCCCGTACGAAGTAGTTATTAATTAACAGCAGAATTTTTGACCTTCTTACAGCCGTTCCCGCTTCCCCGTGCCAGGAACAGTATGAGAAACATAGGTGAGTTCCGAGAAACAGGTAATGTCATGAGAAAGGTGATTTTTCAGTCAGTGACACAGGCACGGAAGGAAAAATCCGAGTACTCCCAACAGAAGTCGAACCTATGATCTTAATTCTTTCTTGTCACTAGTCCAGATGCTCTACCACTGACCTACAGGAGACTCGTGAAAGCTAGGGACACTAAACTAGGTTCAAATAAATACTGACAAAAAGGCAATCATCGCCAACAGACACTGTCCTTTTCTATTTTAAAACCAGCTTTTTAATGTTTTTCTTCGAAAGTTTGACACCGTCAATGTAGAACAGGAGTTGTCGAGAAATACAAAATCCTAGATGAAGTAAATCTGACGTTCATTATGTTCAATTTCATAGATCCACAAAAAGCCAAGTGTACACGCTGAAGTTTGGTTCGCAAAAGATTCCTGTTTACTGTCACATGGGCAACTTTGGATGCGGAGATGGAGGGTGGACGCTGGCCATGAAGATTAATGGCGCAAAGGTAAACGATTGTCCTGGCATGCGGAAGTTATGTATATAGTGTAAAGCTAATGGGTTCTTGTTTGTATTTCAGAAAACTTTCCATTACAACTCTGGGTTTTGGAGTAACAAGAATCCCTATAACCTTCCAGGAGGTAAGACCGGGTTTGACGATCAAGAGACTAAACTGCCAACCTACTGGAACACATCCTTCTCCAAGATCTGCCTGGGTATGAAGATCGGCCAGCAGATCAAGTTCATTGTTATCAACAAGAATGCCGCTTCTCTGCATTCACTGATCGCAGACGGGAAGTATCGCGCCACGTCACTGGGTCGTAACACGTGGAAGAAGCTGATTGGTTCTCAGGCTTCCCTGCAAACCAATTGCAACAAGGAGGGGTTCAATGCGGCGAGCACCAGATCCATCCATGCTAAGGCAAGAATCGGTATCCTTGGAAATAACGAACGAGACTGTGGTAACTGTGATTCCAGAATTGGGTTTGGAACGGGAGGACACACTGACGATTCCAACACATGTGGGAACAACGCTGTTAAAGGACATACATCGGATAATGGAGCGAGAAACATAAAAGCCATGGGATATATCTTGGTACAGTAAAGTGAGCTCAGTTTACTCCTACCTTACTGTAAACGAAAAAAATGTCGCAATAAAAGTATTTTTAACTATTTGTGCCCTTTTATTGAATTCAGAGAGGTCCATCCCACTCAGGAAGTGAAATACTTACGGATAATTGCTAAGGATTGATGGACAAATATAAATGGCGTTCTAACCAACTCAGTAACTGATGAATAGGTTTTCGTAAACCCGTCTCCCTGGCTTCAAGAATTACCTAATCTTTGGCTGATAAGATTAGAACTGAATTGAGACTAAGCAATAGAAAGCCAGACTGTCAAAACTAATGACCGACAAATCGGTGGACTAAGTAAAGCTATATGTTCAGACAAGTATAGCATAAACAGCAACGACACAGAAATGGAACGAGTCGTTTACACACATCGATAATCGAGCCGGAGCGGTTGGCCGAGAGGATCTGGTAAACTAAATCCCAGTCCTCACTCCTGAATATTCACTTCCTTCTCGGTAGATACCAGTCCCTGCTCCTACGTAGCACAAAGTGTGGCACAGAACCTATCCGATATCAAACACTCCACTTTAGAGATCGGCTCGGCGAAGCTTCGCTCCGTTACAGAAATCGCGCCGAAATCACCGTTCTTATGTGTGTAAGGAAGGCCTAAGCGGTAATGTTTTCGTGTCGGCGCAAGAGTTTTCCGGTTTAGTGTGAACAAATCCTAAGTTAGGCAAAGTTGCTAGACCAACTCCTGTCGTGTTGGATTTGCAAAAGCTGGCACGAAAAAAAAAAAAATTATACAAAAGACATTTTTAATAATCTTCCAACCCATTAAAATACACTGTTCCAGCAGGTACTGTTTCAAATGAAAATAAGCTTTTGACATTAAAACAAAATCGTCAACAGCTCAAGTGTCTCTATGAGAATTAGCATCTTGTTAGTTTATTCACTTGACATGCGATTGCAAACTTGTAGCAAAAGTGACAAGATAAAGACCTGATGTCTTGTAGTGGAAAATCTTCAGTGTCCTTGGGCAACTTTGGAACGTAGCCTTGCTATCTTTGGTCGAGAAGCCTCTCGCTGTAAGTCAATTAATAAGAGAAAAATATCACTAAGATGACAAGAAAAATTTGGCCAAATATCCCTTTGAAAAAGGCGATTGGCCAACTTAGAAACGAGAAGGGGACTGGAGCCGAAATGCGTCCCGCAATTGTTTCTGGGAGCGTTACTGGGGACACGCCGGTCAGCTATTGGCCAGTTCTAGAAATAGTCCCAGAACTCTTTGCGAAAGCTAACTCGTCCCAGTTTCCCTCTCTTTTCTAAAGTGTTGAATGGTGGGGATGCTCAACCTCATCCCCAGGGCTTTTCCCTAAAAAAAAAAGGCCCCTCCCAATTTTTTTTAAGGGAACAGCCCTGGGGACGAGGCCGGGGGATGCCAAGTGGAGTGTTTAGGCACGCTGCACGTTAGTGTTAAAATCCAATGATGTTTCAAAAAAATGCAACTCCATCACTTCCTCACCTGAGATGTCATTTTTTGCCCTAAGAACCTGAGATCCGCCAAAGGAATAACAGATGGCCTAAGCAGGAAAACAAACTAGTTAATGCAAAACCAGATAGTGAGTACAAGTATGATAATATTAAATTAAAAGTTCACGCTAAACCTGTTGCAACCATTCGTAAAAGTAACGAAGCACTTATATCTGCTAGAGAAACGATAATAAAGTTCCATGTTTGCGACTTTTGGTGCTAATTGGTGATGCCCATTACGAGGCGCTTAAATAAGGACCTCTATTCTATACCTCCAGATAGAAAGCCTACCTTCAACTTGCCAAAAGAGAAAATTTAATAGGCGCGCGAGAAGGCGATGGCCAAGCAGGCTGAACTGCAACTCGCGAAAAAGAAAGGCACTGACTTTCATTTTATATCTGCACTGAATCAAAAGTGCCCCTTAGCACCTTCCGTCATATGGGCTTACGGCTTTAGGACTTTATGCACGACACGAGACTTACACGTTTAAACAGCCTCGGGGCGGGAGGTGGGTGGGGAGAACTCCCTCGTTAAAATGACGGAGATGCCGATCGTGTCGCTTAGGGGTAGAAATTGCGAAATTGTGTTCTCAGTTTGGATTTTCAGGGCGCAAAGCCAATTTTTGTACCCAAACATGCAACGATATCACTTTGGGTTTTGCGCAAAGAAATTAACTAAAAATTAATTAACCAAAAATAACAAACGCCGTCATACTGTTTTGGATTAAGATCTCCTTTATGGGTGAAACAAAGCGTGGGTCACGCCCAGACTGGTCTCCTTTAGGGGTTTAATTCTAATTTTCCGGTTGAGCTGCACCGTTCTGAACCTCTTATTTCATTGCTCCCGTTTAGTCTGCACTTCCATTATTTTGGAGGGCCGTAGGTTAGAAAACTGTCACAGGTTATTGCGCTTCCCTCTTTAAATAAAGTTATTGTATTGTATTGTATAGTATTGTTTTCAGGGATAGGGGCATTGTTATGTCACAATGTTTCCCCAGCGAATCACAAACAATCTTTCAAATAGGTGCTTACCAGAGCTACCCCCGCCTCCCACCCACCCACGGGGTTAGAGCCTTCCTGTAACCGCTCCACCCACCTGCCATGAGCACACTGAAAAGGTAACTGACACTTGGACAGGCGATCAATCAGCTCCTGACACTCACTGACACCAAGAGGCTCTCCAAACTTTACTGCTCCTAAACACAAGCAAACGGAAAAGAAGCAAACGTTGTGGGTGTTTATTTGCAGGTGATAAGAAGAGCCCGCAATCCTAATCTGCAGGTTGTTATTACGCATGCGTCGCATGTATGTAGCCGGCATTCGTTAAGACTTCCACTAAGAATGAATGGAGTGCACAAAACGCAATGTGACCATCTATCACGTGAAACTTACGGAAAGCACAGCGTTGGAGCAAAAGCGTTTGGACCTTCGTTCGTTGTCCTCCGCACTCCCTAACCTTTGGTTATTACTAGTACTGAGCAACTAAATATCCGTTTAAATGGACCCAAAAATGTCAATTTTTTAAAAAACCCTTTTCAAAATGAATAATTTCGAAAACGCTGTTTTTGGGTTGCCAGCTGGACACCTGAAAAAAGGATGATGCTTGTGAAAATTCTTGTGTGGGGTGGGGGGCTGGAGGAACAAGACCTTTGGGGAATGTAAATGTTGCGTATGAACAACAGATCCGGACCGGTTAAACCTTTTTTCTTGTCTAGATAGGAATATATTAACTCCATAAAGTGTTCATACCATGACAGGCCTGGGAGCTGATAACTTCAGAGATGACATTAGGAATCGGTGCTGGCACTCCACAAGTCACTGATAGATGCTATAAATAAATTTAAGGAAAGAAAGAAAGATAAATGACAGGAAGTTAAATACAGGTGGACCTGTTCTAAGTACAAGGTATGGAATCAAATAGGGAGTAAAATAAGAAAAATATTACCTGTTACATAGTAACAACTTACTTTAAGATGTTCTCTGATTAGCCCCTGGATAAAAGGAGAAATAAAAGAGCAAAACAATTAGATAGTAGCACTTACATGTTAATTATGAAGGAAATTAAGAAAATTAAAACATTTGAGTGACAAATTCATGTCAGGGGAATGACGAATATTTCTAAAATTTAGTGATTAGGGTTAGGAAATTAAGTTAAGCAAGTTTTAGGTCAGTTTGTCCAGTATGATGACCTTAAATGGAACCTGATTCACTCAGTTTTCTAGTTCGGCGTTGCTGCCACATTGATGAAAAAAGGAAACAAACAAATAAACAATTAAATAAGTGATCAATAGAGACCTTAAAAACGCAGAAAAAAGCTATTTTCACGATGCACTGCAAACGTACGGGCAAGATTGAATAAGATTTGACCAAAACGAAAAAAACATTCACTTATAAAGCACTTGTGATGGCTTTGAAAAAAAATCAAGACTTTTTACCATTTTTCAAGACCTTTTCCAGGTCTGAAAAATTGCTGGGCAAATTTGAAGCAAGAATTCAAGACTCTGTAGGAACCCTATTCCTTAGCGTATAAAGACGTGTAATTGGCAATATCTAACTACAGCCTTGTCACAGCCCTATAAATTATTACTAGAGGTAATCATTGATCATATCCGCGTTCGTCACTTACGGAAAAATTACGGAAACGAAATCGAGTCGAAAGAAGTCCACTTTCCCGGCCGAGGTGCCCCTGATAAAATTAATAGGGGCGGCTAATTTGCAGTCGCCTGTAATAGCTCGAAAATTTCTGCCTTAGTGTCACAGGACCAGATTAGGATGTGTTCTTATGAACGCGATTACCTTCACTTTGCTGACAGCGACAGAGGGCCGTCCACGTTTAACCTCGGACACTTCTCGTTCAACTAACACAGAAGGAACGCGATGAACAAACACCAATGTCTCTTCAGAGTCCTCAGATGACTCACTTATAACAAAATGTATTCCAATTCGCTCCACTTCGCACTGAAATGTTCTTAACAGTCTTATTTCCTCCCCAAACAATGTAACCTCCATCGGTGGAGAAACTGGTGAGGATTTGATGCAAGGTTTTGCACCTGAAGTTTGGCTGTTGTTGCCACCTTCAAACAGTTCTGTGGAAAGGAATCCGTCACAAGTCAATTCAAAAACAGGCCATTTCCGATTTGCCCCAAGCCTCTGTTTCAAACCGAGGCTAAGTGTGACACTATTGATCAACCTCGCTCCCAGGTTCTCTTCCCTCCCTGGGAACGAGGTTGCACTATTGATATGAACATGATTTTTTATTGTCATGCAAATAAAACTCATTTTTACCAGAAAGGTTTTGCACTTGGCCTCATGTTGAAAGTGAGAGTTTCTGGAACTCGGAAATGGCCTATTACTATTTGAGTCATTAAGTCCTTAGTGTTGTACATTAACAAAAACCTATTTTCTAGCATTTCCTTTGGAGAAGCAGCTCTCTCATTTTGCTTGCCTGTCTCAGTTAATGATTTCATGACTTGCACGTGAGCTTAAAAAGTTTCTTGCTCAGAAAAAAAAATGAAGGTTAAAAAATCTTATTGTCCCAGACCACGAAACAGCATCTTTTTTTAACCCTGCAGTCTTTTTTGAAACGGACCCCCGATTCTTTTGTTCATTATGTCAAACTATAGTTTATTTTCTTCCTCAATCGATCAATAGTAACCAGTATGAAAAAGGAAAGAAACAATTAAAACACAAAAGACTTTCAGACTTACCTGACTGTAGATGTTCTAGTCGAACACGCTCGTGAGCAGCATGTTGATCTACTAAAACCAGCAAGCGATCGTCCTCTGCTAAGATAAAAAAGACTTGTTCATTTGTGCAACAACTGGCCTTGCAGGAAAGCCTTTCCCAGCTTATTAATTATCTTGCCTACATCGCTTTTGCTTTGTAATGCATCACACAGGTGGACTATAAACCATAGATTTACATCTTGTTTGTCAGGAGTATTTTTTTAAACACTGTTTTACATACAATGTAGTTTACGGTTGATAAAGGAAAAATGGGGGAAATTTGCCCGCGGGGGGGTACTTCCTTACAAGAGGCTAATGGGGATGTGCCGCTGGATGGGGTTGCATTTTCACGACTGCATTGACTATAACGGGGTGCATTTTCAATAGAGATACTTGAATGGGGTTGTATATTTTCGCATTTTGGGGAGTAAGACAGTTCTTCATATACGGTTAGCAAACGTACCAGAATGTTTGTATTGTAGATGAAAAATAAAGTATTCTTCATTCCATTTAAAAAAAGGGTCGATTCATGAAAATAGAAAGTGACTAAGTTGGGATCGCGAAAATTACATATTTGCCCAAAAGTGACCAAGATGCGGTCTATAATAATTGGCCACAGAATAGACTGTAATGGGGTAGGGGTGCTGAGAGGCCAGTGGCACATACCCAGCAAAAATTGACCCAAGTAACCCCTACCAGTAAATAAAATTAAATAAGTGATTTACAGTTGTCATTACTACTGTCTTTACTGCAAACAGGTCCCTCTTTCCCTTCCAGAGTGGGTGATGGGGTCTTGTAGGTTGTTTCTACCTTAGTTTGGTAAAAGTGAAGAGCTCCCCTAGAAGTCTGTCAGCCGACTGTTGGTTTTCTGTTGGCCCACAGTTGGCCAACAGTATAGGTGGTTTTCATGCAGTCTCGGGAGACACAAATAACAATGGTGAAATGAACAAATGCTGGTGGACAAACAAAACGAGCTAATGAGCGATCTTTTGTTTACCGTCCACCAACATGGCGGCGATGACGTAACATGAAAACCACCTATACCAACAGCTTACCGACCATTGACCGACAGTAAACTGACAATGAAAAGAAAAGCATGGTAATTACCGTTCTGGTGACAAACAATTATTTCGTTTCCCTTTTCCTGTTAGTTTAATGTTGCTAAAATTGCTTCATTGTACATCTTGGGTAAGTTTAACTATGAAATCGCCCTACAATGCATTGCGGTTCAATATAGCAAGTGAAATTTGGTAATTCTGTGGGCCACTTTTAAGAGTAAGGGGGTTCAAATGTAGTCTTGAATATGTATTTCCTATAACAAGGAGTTGCCTTCTACTTAAGGGTCCCTTGTTCCCTTGACTGCATCAATTAAAAATGCATAAACCTTAAGAAAATAACTGAATAAGAGACAACCACTCTAAATACTTTTTGACATTTATTCCCGTATTGGTTATAATAATTGATGAAGCATTATTGGCTCTCTTAGCATCAAACTTTTAATGAATCCTACCTTCTTGCGACAAAACGCCTACGATGAACTTATCATCTAGCTGTTGCAATACCCTCATGCCTGCCAACATGTCTCTGGTAAAGCGATATGGGTGGACCACATTATGAACTGAGATCTGGTTCCTGGCACAGTTGCCTGGTTTGTTAGCTTTTAGTATGCCCTTAATGCAAACAAGACAAAAGCAGATCAGTTGGTACAAGAAGTTTAAGCATCTACAAATGTTTGAGGAAATTACAGTCCCCAGATCAAGCATAACCCTCAAGATGCCATTAATGAATTTATAATGCGATAGCTGAATCCGTTGGTAGCTGTACATTTCAGCTTCATCTCTGCATTCCTACAAGGCAGTTATAAATTTTCTACCAGCTCAGTTTTCTTGAATTTGATGTAAATGTCTGGAAAATAATTTCATCCATTCAAAGATTTTTCAATGTGACCAAATACATTGAGATTATCGTTCAAACCTCACTGCTCAAAATGCCTGCAGGAATGCAGATCTGGTTGAAGTAACAAAAAATGAATTCATATTTCAAACAATCAATTCATAAATGGAGTCTATTGGGGTACGCTTGACCTCGCCTGACTGTAACTGGTTTCATTTCATCCCTCTAAGTGCAATTTGAAAATAATTCAGTGCTGTCATTAAAAATTTCAAGTTGCCAGGTAAATACAACAAGTAGGTGGGGAACCAAACAGCTAGGGATTTTTTTGGTTCTATTTTTCTTCTATTTTCCTATGAATGTTGCTGGGTTCACTTTCCACAGCCCTTAATTCCAACCAGTTAACAACTGTGTCGCTAATGGAGGTGGGTGTCTGGGATGTCCAGGGGCTTCCACCTATGGCACAGCCAGCCCCTACACAGAGTTACGTCACCATGGCTGGCAAACCGGCGCCTCCAGCCACGAGCCCCCATGCCAATGGAATCAGGCACCTGTCAACTTGATTTATCAGTGCAAGAATAAAGGGGGGAGGGATGGGGTAAAAGAATGATCCAAAGGCTAAACTAAGAGAGTGGCCGCCAGGAAGACGTTGTACTGAGCACAGGAAGTTAAGCAAGCAAGGCTGACCAAGCTTGAGCCAAACGACAGACTGCTGACCATGCCCGCACTCCTTGTTCTTAACTGTGTTAACTAAAAATTTTATTTAACTTCATGCTATAATAATTATCACCATCCTCCCCCTCAGTCACACCCACCCAAGACACCAGGACGTTAATTCCAATTTATTATCGGCATTGTCTCTAGTCTAGAAAAAGGACCGGCTCTACAAAGATAGTCAATCAGTTTTTGATCTCACCCTTGCTGGTGCTGGAAACACAGGATTCTGCCAACATTCAAGCATGTCTGCTACGGTATTGTCTGATCCAATTTTCAACAGATTCTGTTCATAGGCTTCCAGTGCATCAGCATCTGTCCACTTACAGAGCTTATCATCTTTCTCTTGAATATCATGGTGCTCCTGGTACATTGCAGCCACATGTGACATGTCTGTGAAATACAGTCGACTCTCTCTTAATGGACACCTCTATAAGACAGACACCTCCCTAAAACGGACACCTAAAGTTGGCCCCTGCCTTTCTTTACTCCCTTTATTTGACTCTCTATAAGATGGACATCTCTCTAAGACGGACACTTACTGCCAGTCCCAAAGGTGTCCGTCTTAGAGGGAGTTGACTGTACAGTTTGTTTTCCTTTAAAAGGGGTGTCTTGAAAACAAAGACCCCTAGGAAACTGCGTTGATCAGCTTTCAGGTCAGTTTGTCCAGTACGAAACAAAACCTGAGTCACTCAGTTTCCTAACCCTAATCAATAAAGTTCACAGTCATTCGGTGGGGGATCTTAGGGGGTCTTACGGGTCTTAGAAGTCTTTGTTTTCAAGACACCCCTTTAAAAACGTAAATGCAAAATAATAAAAGACAGAAAACATTAGTCTTTTTCCCAACCTAATATAACTCCAGTTCAGTAGTGTCAAACCACCATGTGTAAGCACCTCCCATAACCACCTATCCAAAGCACCTTAATTATCCCACTCAAAGCCCTGTAATAAGAACCTCTCATGAATGAGAACCTCTTATACATAGCCGTAAGTGGTGACTGACAATTTTTTGGCCTGACAGTTTTATAGTTTTCCATTGTTGTTATCTTTATCTTTAATCATTTAATTGCCGATTTTTTTTGCTGTTTGTACTACACCAGTCAGTGTATATCAACAACTTTTAGAGACAACATGGAACTACACAATTTGGGTGGTTGCTTATGGGAGGTTCTACTGTATGAAGAATACAAAGTCAAGCAGTCTCTACTAAGTGAGATACTCCTGCTGTGATAGTAATGGTATAATAAAAGTGGTTGCGAAAAAACTCCCTAAAAAATTAATTACCTTTAGGAAACTCCTTGTCTTCATCAACACAGGTAGGCATTTGCTGTCTTCGATGTTCTCTCGGCAGCCAAGGGGTACAAGAAAATGACAAGTGAGAGGCCACTGGGTGTGGAATGTGCTGCCTGTAGTCATTTGCAACTTCCAGACCTTCTGTTCCAGACATTTCACTGCAATCATCTTGCACAAAATAAAAATCAGTGGGAGGTACAAAGGAGGAGTGTCCTGTCCGGGTATTAATGAAGAGATTTCTCCCAAGAGATGCATCAAATGTACAATACCACTCATTGTTCAAATAAGATTCTTTTCCCTGATTCTTACTTTGGTTTCTTGTGGCTATGCTGGTTTTTGCATTTGATGAAGCTGAGCATTGTTTTGACTGCTCCACAGAAACCTCTTTCTCTTCAGCTTTCTTTTCATTTGAAGAACACAAAAGCTCTGTACACCTGTCTGTGACACAGTCACGTTTCCTGACATTATGGTCTGAGAGTATTACAGAGTCACTGCTGTTTTCTTTCCGAGGCTGCTTACATTTGCCATCTAAACTGAGATCACAAACCTGGTTCATGGAATCACCAGCAGCTGTTTGATCTGAAAGGACAGAAAAAGCAGGACCAGAAGTCTTTTGAACTGACGCGGACACCAGGGAAACAGGATCATTGTTATTAACACCAATCTTAGTGGTCAAGTCTTGGTCCATTGCTGTCCCAGACATGCCATCACTATTGGAAGCCAATATATTTGAGTCTTCACCTTTATTTACTGTTTTTGGTAAGTCACAGTGCTTAAGACTCTGTTCATTACATTTGCGGATGCTAGCGTTAGTGGACTGTCCTGCTAAATCTCTGTTATTCTTGCTCCTTCTCTTGCAGCTACCTTGTAGTGAGATGAGTTTCCTATTCTTGGATAGAAGTCCAAGGTTTATTGCAGAAGCTTCACTACTTTCCTGCGATGTCTTCCTTGTGTAAACTTCTGATAATGTTATAGGGCGTGGAGATGTAAATGTTGGAATTGTTTTAGTTCTTTGTCTGGTTGATGTGGTACTGGGTGTTGCTGTGGTTCTTGGTTTTGCATGGGACGACTGAAAAGAACAAACAATATCTGTTCCAATATTTGTAGTTTGTAAATTCTCCTCCGTGTCCAAGGATAAATATAAAGCAGAGGCTTTTCTATTTTGAGAAAATTCTCTGGAATTATATACACTATTGTTACTGTGACTCTCTGTCGCATTCAACATATTTCTCTCTAAATGCTGGGAACTGTCAATACCAGAGTGACAATTGAAAGTCTTCTGAAAATTCTGAAAACAATAACTTCCAATTGACTGTGATGAGCAAGGGTGGTTAGAACTATGAACTACATTGCTTGATACTGTTGTTCTGATATGGTTAGCTTTTCCTGTATTATCAAATTCACTCTTATTGACTTGGTCTCTTTGATTCTTATTGCAAGCTTTATTTTTGAATTCAGCTGCATTTGATGAGAAACATTTGGCAACAGTTGTTGTCATGTCCACAGAAGATGCAGATCCTTCCAATATGTGGGAGAAATCATCCTGTGGACAACTTGGACACATAGAAGCACATAACGAAGAATGTAATCCCACTGTATCACTCAAATTCTTGTCTTGGTGATTTTGATCAGACTCATGTGAGACTATAGGTCCATTTTGAAGGTTGGTTTGGGCTTCCTTACCCACATTTTGTCCCATTTCAGTCTTTCTTGGCCTAAACACAGTTGAAGAGTGTAGACTCCTCCTTACATTGCTGGTCTCAATCTCCCTTCTGTACTCAAAAGCCTCAAGACTTCTGGTACAAGACTCCTCTTCTTGGCTATCATTATTTTCTCTAGAATCTGCTTGTTCAGGGTCCAAACTAAAGTTGTGTTTTGTCAGGAAGTCCTTGATGCATTTCTCAACACAAAAAAGAACACTTTCCCAGTCTTGAAATTCAATCAGAGTTTTTGCTGGCTCAAAACAAATGTCATATTCTGTGACCAGACACTCTACATTAAGAAAAAATATACCATGATTGTCAGAGGACTTCGCATTCTGAGGGCTGGTTACTTTAGTCTGAGGGCCCTCTGGTTCAGAACTGCTTACTTCAGAAGCAGTGAGTTTTCTTAATAGCTCTGATTTTCCAAGAATGCTATTAATGACTTTGTGAATCTTTGTCTTGAGCACAAGACGGTTGTTCACAAACACAAACTGCAGGCTTTTACTGTGATGTGTATCAGTTGAAATAAAACCCGACACTTTGAAATCCTTGTGCTCAAAACACACTTGCTGCAGACCCTTGGATCTGTAGTTACCAAACAGCTGGGAAAACGTGGAGACAGATGACTTGCAAACATGCGTTTGAAGACATTTTGTCCCTGATGAGTCGTTTATCAACAGAAATGCGGTCTTGGGGTGAACGAGAGCAATAGAAGCAATTCTGTGCCTAACTCGTTCAAAGTCGAGTACTTCGGTGATTGATTTACGCCTTACAGGGAGATTAGCAAAAATGTTATGAAGCGTGACAGTTGTTCCAGATTGAGTTCTTGGGAATCTGGATTCAGCGAGGTCCAAAACCTGTGCGTTTCGAAAGAGTTTGCAGTAAGTTTGATAAGAAGATCTGTGGCGAGTAACTATTTCCAGCACATCACAGATCTCGCGCAAGCTTGCCAAAGCTTCTCCTCTGAATCCGTAAAAGGTCAACTGATCAAGGTCTTTGAGGACGTGGCATTTACTGCTCGAATATCTCTCGCCAGCAAGTTTCAGATCTCCAAACGTGATACCACATCCATTATCCGAGACTTGGATCTTCAAATTTGGAATATCTACTCGCAATGTGATGTTAGAAGCTCCGGCGTCAATGCTGTTCAAAACAAGTTCTTCCACGCATTGAGTCAAGTTAGTTATTGCCACTCCAGACCTAAGGAGAGATCGCACTTCTTCCTGTAAAGGACGGATCATTCCACGAAGATGAATTTGGTTGCTTCTTTTCACAGAGCATCACCCGTTTGTCTGGTTTTAATACCCACATTTTCTTCTTTGAAAGAGAAAAACTCGCAAAAACTGCTTCAAAGTCGGCGCCATATTGAAAATACCTTCGCGGCAAATCCCACTAACCTTTGCGGTATGTCAAATGACAGACTTTTCGTGCATTTTACATAACGTCAAGAAAGGTCGCCATCTTGGTTCTCGAACAGAACGTGAGAAAAAGCAAAAGTGAGCGCTTTTTTCTTTGAGATTTATCTCCTTTACTGTCACGCTTTTAGGTTTACATTGTAATATTACTGATCTGTATCATTTTGATTGCAGTGGCAAAGGCAAAAGCAAAGTAAGTGATCGCATGAATACACACATTTTTTGCTATCAATCCCCTTTGGATTTCATCAGATTTCAAAATAAATTTTCAACCAGTTATCAAAGTGTGGGATAGGTTACGGAAATAAATCCAACTTAGAGTATTCTGTACTGATGAACTGTTTTATAGGGCGAATTGTGGTATTTGCAGCTGTACACCACCATGTATTATTACAAAAAATATCAATAATGATGATGATGATGATGATGATGATGATGATGATGATGATGATGATAACGACAACCACGACAATGATGAGAACAGTGTCAATGACCATAATACTAGTAAAACTAACTAAATATCATGTCAAGAAAAAAATACCAAAATTAGTAAAGTAACAGCTTGTTGAATGACATGACATGTGCATTTTAACTTCCTTGTTTATGTAGGAGACTGATTGTAAGACTTGTTAGCATGGCTGGTACAGGTTATTATTATATGATGACGAGAAATAGACTCAAAACAAGACCTCTGGAATTCATGAAATATGATCCTATAGGTAAGTAATAAGTAAGCGCAGGTCTGGAACACTGTAGCCTGAGAGCAATTTTCTCCTCTTGGAAGTCACTCTCGGGCTTGCCACTCGCTTTCACATTATCAGGCAGCTCGCTTCATTTGCCCCTTGAAATAGAGAGCTTGTTCACAGGCTAGGAACACTGTGGAGGATAAGAGTACCTAAAGCTAAAAGCCTAAGAAAGAGACCTCTCCCTTTTAACCTAAGAAATTATTTTTCAGGTGTCTATACACCTGCCTACATTTTTTCAAGTCAAAGGTACAAAATTTTTTCCTTAGAGTGCCAGGATTTTCCTAAGAGGACCCTATCATGTCCGAAAAGGTCCAATGATTTCCAAAGACGTTCCAAAGTTCTTAAAAAAATGACTCTGAAATTATTTCATTTTACAGTCAAATATTTTGACAAACTACGATCATTCATATGGACTTTTCTGTTCTCATAATGGTTCAAGTTTTTTCTAACTCTCTGTTTTAAGGAAAATGGGTCTGTTGGGGCTGCCATTTGTGAGAAATTTGCCCACAATTATAGAGCTGGTGTGAGATCGTAGTTTTACAGGGCTCGAAAAAAGTCCCTCTGGTTGTCCGGGACAAGCAGATTTTCATCCAGGGCAAATAACTTTTAATTCCCTTGCCCAATGGGCAAGGGTCTAAGTAAGTCATCTTCTAACTAAATCAATAACTAAGACAAGCAAGAAGTGGCCCCCAGCAAGCAAAATGTGAGAGCTGCTTGCCCAAAGGATAAGCTGGAATTCAAGGTTTCTTCGAGCCCTGTTTAGCTCCACCAGCATGAGACTAGCCTGCATGACGGGAGTTAACCCTTTAAGGCCCAACATCCACATACAAATTCTCCTAACTGATCTCCATACATTTCCTTTAAGAATTAGCTAAGATAATTTTTATAAAAGATTGTGGCATTTTCTCTGTAGTGATCATTTTATTAATTCTCCTAACTTTGTCTCTTGACAATGTATGGATATTGTTAGGAGAAAATTGATGTTGGTCACTATTGGCACCTAAAGGGTTAAAAGGGTAAGGGGAAGAGGAAGGAGGGATTCGGGCGTGTGAGGAGGGTGCATGCCCTTTCCCCCTCCTTGTGCACTCCTTGCGAATTCCCTCTTCCCCTTTTTACTCCTATCATGCAGGCTAGCATGAGACTGGCAAGTGAAGAGTGAGAGTCTCCAGGTATAAGTTTCTTCAGCAAAATAAATAGCTATATCAGTGGATGTTTTGCAGTCAGAGCTTTTTCAGTGGAGGTATTAAATATTACACAGTGAATATCATACATAAAAACAGTCACAAACAATAATCATGATAATATCTTTGTAATTTTCTTCCTCCTCAGTGAACAAGCATGTGTTATTTGTGGAACAAAAAGTCAAGAAAGGAAAATGATTCTCTGTGGCAATAAGAGACAAGACAGTATTAATTTGTAAGATGAACTATAAGGAAACAAGCATTTCACAATGGATTCAGGAGGAAAATTACATTGTGTAAATTGATGGCAGCATCGAATCCCAAGGAAAGGACAAAAATACATTGACTAAAAATCCTGACTGTTATTAAATTGCACCTTTTGTGTCAGTGAATCAGGACAAGAAATACAGCAAGGGAATGATAAGAAGTGAAAATTAGCTAGGCTTTGTCCTATTTTCTCCTGCTTAAATTGCCACTGGCATTTTTTCCTTGTTTGCCATTGTAAGAAAATAATAGTCAAGTAGTCCCTTTGACAAGCTGGAAGATAAGATATTTATTCTCATTTTTGTTTATTCCATATTTTTTTGAAACATGAGGCCCCAAAGAAATGTCACTAGGTTTAACAGTGGAAGTTGACCCCAAGCAACTGTACAGGAAATGTATTTAGCTGTCAAGAACAGTGATTTAAAACTTTTTCAATGAGCAGACCAAACTTGAAACACACACAACTTGTTACAAACAGTTCATCTTTTTATCAGTAACTAACTAAGGACAAGGCTAACCCTGTGAACTGTTGCCTTTGCTTTAATTCAACAGTCCTAATGAATTCAAAAGTTGACAGCCATTTTAGAGGAAAATAAATTTTTAAGACTTAATTAAAAACATAACATTTCCTTGCGCTCTGTTCAGTATTAGCCTAAGTTGCAGCCAGACTTGTTAGAAAACTGGATATAGTCTGTTGGTGATTTAGACTGTCTGTGACACAGGCTTTTCATTATTATAAAATGAAAGTACCACTTCCATAGCTTAAATTACTGTTACATTTTACATAGAGATTTTGTTTTTGTTTCATGAAAAGCAACCATCTGAATAATTTGAAGACCTTATCTGGCAGAATTCAGTCACATTCTAAGATCTATATATTTTTCTCTGAATAAACTGAGTTTTCTTAAAATGAAGCGATATACTTAACAGTATATTTTGTAAATTTGCTGAAACCTGCCCCATTTTTACTAAGCATACAAAGTGTTTTTTTCAAACCATTATGCGATTTAAAGGCATATGCCCTAACTAGAGGTTTTTTGTCTTGAGCAAAGCATAAATTATTCAATTTTCATTAAACATTCCATCTTTTTGAAAAAATAATTTTTGAACTAAGCAGCGATGTTCTTAGCTATCCCTTGCCTCACTTAACCTCCTCAAATTGCAACCTACAATCTTGACACTGTTTTTCATACATTTCCTATTGTACTGACAAACAAACTATATACAGTGAAACCTCTATTAAGCGGACCCCCAATTAAGCGGACACCCTCTACTAACCGGGCGCTAAGCTGGGTCCCGAAATTAACGTCTTAAATTTCCCTCTATAATGAACCCCTGCTCAGCAGACACCTATATTAAGCAGGCGTGGACACAAAAATAAGGTGTATTTGGCAAATTTCTATTGTTAAAAACCTCTATTAATTTTGGTGGACACGGGACTGAATTGACAATAGTAGTATTGGATTACATCCTTGAAATACAGACTGAAGTCAGTTAATGTTTTTTTATTTACAAACAAATTAAAGTTGGTCATGAAAGGTAATGAACTTGAACCCTGGATATCAACTGGATAGCTTGTTTAACAACATGCAACTTTATCACAGTACAGGGTAACCGTTGAATGTTGATCGTTTACAAACGTTGTGCAATTTTTACAACCTCTATTAAGCAGACACTTGGGAAGGTCCCGATGGTGTCCACTTAACAGAGGTTTGCCTGTATAGGGATTGTTTCTTCTATGTCCCATAATATTCACTTTGTTCATGATCACAGCATTTTGATGCCTTACTGCAGGTCCTCATCATGCCATGGTGTCCATTTGCTGTGTGGGATAGCCAGTGTTCTAGGCGTTCAGATTGTGGAGATGGTGAAAAGAGATATGAGAAGGAAAAACAGCAATGGGATGAGGTAGGGAATGAGAGCAAAGCTCCCTCCTCTCTCCTTTTCCCCCTCTTCCTCCTTATTTTTTCCCAATTTAAAGAGGACAGATGGCAAATTGTTGTTCCTCGAAATATCTAAAAGTCTAAAAAAATCTAAAAGTCAGAACTGTTCGTCAGTAGGATGCCTAAAATGTGTGCAATTCTGCAATTGGTTTTGGCTATATTAAATTCTATAACATTTTAGGAGAAGCCACCCACAATGTGAGCACAGTTACCGACAAGGTATATGAGTAGGAAAACAACCCAAAGAAAATGTAATGCGTTAAATAACGAACTACCGTATTTATTCGACTATAAGCCGATCTCGGTAAATAACAAATCAATTAAGTAATAAAAGAAAGTGACTTTCTGCTGCACTCCACAATCTGAATGCCTGGAACAGGCTATGTGTGGGACTATTAGTTGTAGTTGTTGTTAGTGACTGATGCATGGTCCCACCCACCCATTATATTATAGATACCATTGCATGATGTATATCAGCAGTAAGTAACCAGAAGGTCAACGACAATAACAAAGTGACTACTATGAGATTAAAACGATAAATATACCCCATCATACACAAACCAAGATACCAATAAAACCTTTCCTTATATTAAGACCTTTTATCTGTGGCATCATTTCTCATATTCTCATTACATAATGTTTGACAATTAAAAGAGATATCACATGGAGAAATTAGTTTCTGATCACTTTTAATCAGCATCAAATTTCTCCTTGTAAAATTTATTAAGCAGAGTCCTTGCAAGAATTAAGGACATGATCAAACAAGATGAATTTCACTTACACTTATCCAACTTTCCCCCGCCACCTCTTTAGGAAATGCATAGGGGCAACAAAAAGACAAGAGTTTAAATTTTGGTGTTAGGTTTAGAGGGATAAACAGGTAAGCCAGGCAAAAAGAAAGGCACATTTTATGCAACCTGCATTTTCAGAAGTTACAAATCTGTGACAAAAATTTTTTTTATTTACACTAAATCTTAATATACATCAGTTCTGGAACTAAAATCATCACAGCACCCAAACATTAAGAAACTTGTGCACATGAAATTCTAAGCAAAGATTTCAACCACCTCTCAATTGTTTGGATACCTGTTTGTCAATACTATGCTGAATAGCTTTTAGTGCCGGCACAAAAAACTATCCAAACAGTATAGTATGAACAGCAGTTGGCTGAGAAGGTTTGGTCAACTAAACCCCAGTCCCCACTCCTGAATATTTACTTCCGTCTCGATGGTTCCCAGTCCCCACTCCTACTTATCCACTTCCACAACGGACGACTAACTGTTCACACTGCACAAGAGTGTGGCACAGAACCTATCCAATATGTGACACTTTACTTTCGAAATTGGCACCGGGCAGTTTTGCTCTGTTACAGAAATCACACGTAAATCACCCTTCTCAAGTGTAAACAGAAGCCCTCTCCAGTCTGATTTTCACGCTAGCGCGAAAGCTATGCAAGGATGGTGTGAACATGGCCTACTTTTCAGCCGGAGCAAAAGATCAACAAACCAGCGTCATTGTAATGCTCTTTTGTTTCCTCTCCTTTAAAAAAATAATTTCAATATACTCTGAGAACTGCTCATCTTTGAGTGGGCCAAGAAGAATAAGCAATCAAAAATAATTTTAAATTCCTCTCCTTTCTGGATTTTTAAAGTGGATTCACATTCACACTGGTGAGAATCTTCCCCTTGATGGAACATAATCATTAAAGAGAGAAGGTGACAATTCTTTTCTCGTGGGGTAGCTAATCTGAGTTCCTGGAGCTAAGACAGTCGCTCTGGCAATTTCTCCAGATCTACGCACAATTTCTTCAAAAGGAAGTGTTGAGTGTTTAGCCATGTAAAATGCCATTGCCCCAATAAATGCATCTCCAGCACCCTAGAAGAGGGAAAGAGTTATTCATAATATTTAGCTCAGGAAAATTTCCACCCCAAATCCTTGCATATTCAGCTTCATATGTCACAAAGGCAAAGAATGTGGCAGTTTTCATGACTGTCTCAATGGCATAAGGCCACATTGCAACTAGTTCTGTTTATAGAAGCTTGATCATTAAAGCCTATTAATATGTGATTTTATTGCAGATAAAAAAAATAAAAAATGAAGTATCTTAAATTGAATGTTGATTTTCATGAGAGCCAACCAGGAAGGGGACAAGAGGGGAGGGGTTGAAAGTAGTTGTGGCATCTCAGGATCACTTGCTTCATAATCCATGGTTGCTCCACAATTCAGCTTGATGGCAAAATAAGCACATTAGCACAAGAAAATAAAATGGGGTCTGTTTATTACAGTCTTCCTCAGTTAAATCTCAAAAGTCCTGGGGGGTTACTCAACAAAGTTTTGTACAGGAAGGCTCTGCCCTGAGGTTCAACCATTTACCCTTTTGTATACCTTTTTTTTTAACAAAAAGGTACCTCCTTCATATACCTTCTATTGACAAATGTTACTCCTTTCACATACATAGTTTACAACTTTGCATCCCTTTTAAACGCACAGTCTTTTAATTACGATTAAATCACAAAACCAGAATGTTTTACCACTTTTTCACAGCCATAAAATGCATCTGTTAGCTGTTTGCGCTTATTTACAGACCAAAATTACAGATGAGGGATGGGAAAGTATATTGTGAAGCCTAAAAAAGCGGAGCCACCCTGTGTAGGCCTTATTAAATTTTAAGGAGTACCCTCCAGGTCAAAAATATGATATTATCAAACTTACTGTGGTATCAACAGGATCAGCAGGTGTGATAGGTATGTGTTTTGGTATGGGGTTTTCTTGCGTCCCTATAACAGAGCCTCTCTTGCCCAAGGTAACTACCACCCGTCCTGCTCCTCTATCTAATAACATGATAACGGCCTTCTCCGCATCATCTATTGTTTTCACGGGCAAACCTGTTAATAGCTCAGCCTGAATAGGAAAGGAACAATGCCATCAGCCATAATTTAATTTAGTAAAATCCAACAAGTGGACTATTAACAATGCTGCATTCTGATTGGTTGAGCTACTACTAGGCTATATGTTACAGCCAACTAGTAGCGAAAAGCTTGGGCTTTTTGGCGGCAAAAAGGATTTAAGTCTAGTTTTAACTGGCTAAAAGTTTTTTATTCTTGATATTTTTGACCAACTAGTTGGATTTTACTAAAACACTTATTTCTCGAGCCCTCATGGCCTCTGAATCAATAGCCCATGAGGCCAAAGGCCGAATGGGCTATCGACTCAGAGCCCATTTGGGCTCGAGGAATAATTGTTAATTAGACAATGTGCCATGCTTGCAACTATATAACAGAGGAAACATCAGATGGTATATATCACACTGCACCCACTTAGGTATGGTGACTAGTCAAAGTGAGTAAATCTCTGTTTTAGAGTCATAAGTTACTCCTGTAGAGGTTTGGATAGAATGGTCACAACACAGGGCCTAGTCAACAAAATCAAGAGTTAATAAATAAACATAAGAAAAATAGATAAAATTATAAATAAATAACAATTTGGTCAGGTGGCAATAAATCCACAACTTAGTTCTTTGTCTACTGTTCTAGATCAAATTGGAATTTGGAAATGTTGGGTTTTGAGGAGA